ATCAGGAGATGGCTCCATCGGGAGAAACGAGTGCAGGCCATTTTGGAATGTTTACATAGCCCCCCCCGGGTTAGTTTCGTAATCTCAGAGGTTCACAGCAACCAAGCAATTTAAAACAATTCTGGCGATTGAAGTATTCGGGTATTTAAGTAGGGGAATAGAGAGGGTAAACACGGTACTAGTAGAGCTGTATATAAATGAGGATGGCAATTTACCAGGAATAGTAAAAAGAATTGTAAAATGGCCTTCCGAACCGAAATTAAGAAAGTCCTCTTATAATACTGGTAGTACTTTTAAAAGTGGTATTAAATTTTCTAATCTGCATAGGTACTCCTTACTAAGATACCTCTAGTCATATTTAGGGCAGCCCCGGTTGAGTCCACAGGAAATCGGCCCCAGTCTGGCCTGGGCCAACATTCACGCCGATGGATTTGAACCCCAGAACACTTTAATCCTTACTAAGACCAACCACTTAGAAAAAAAACGGCAAGGTTGGTTCGCTGGGAGCGTTAACTTGGTTTCAAATCCTCTTTCTGAACCTCGATAAGAGAGACGTATTTACCATCCCGGACGTCCCTATTTTCAGCCGCTTGCAAAGCCCAGGCTGTGAGCTGTCGCCCTATTCCAGCTCACGTAAAGGCCGTTCCTTTCAAGAGCGATATCGGGAGACGTCTTCGGCGGCCGACCTAGTTGCACTTTAACACTCGATAGACAACCACTTTTATCTTTCCCAAATCCTGATCCAGGACCAAAGTGGATATCACATAGCAGCTTTCCATCGGCGGAGAATTCAGACCAACCTTTTATTGACGCCATACCCCAAAATCACATGGTTGTTCTCCAGTATCTGCATAGATCCCCGTGAGTCCGATCCAAGTTTGTGAGGACTTAGATACTCTGTCTCAACTTCACTGTCATTGCATCTGTATCCAAGTCAATGATTATACACCGAGATTGATAGGGTGCGTCAAATAATACTGCATTGTTAAACAATGTAACTGTGTTGTTTCGACTAACCTTGCATGGTGTTGCAGTCTGGTATTGGTGGCCACCTCTTCCTAAGAGGTCCCGAAAACATATTTCGCTTCCTCCTAATATCCAAATGAATTCCCTGGTATCACCTAAAATATATATGCAACGGCATTTGCATTTCTCGTGGATACAAGGTAGTTGCCGTAAACATCTTTTTAAACACTGTTCATGTAATACGATCCCGTACTACTTTGTTTCTGGCTTTATTTTCAGGTATCCCCACCAGGTTAGTGATATTCCAGTGGCTGTGACCCAATTCTTTCATACAGGAGTTTATTGGTCTCTATGTCAAATCCCTTGAAAACCACAGTCACGCACCCAACCATACTTTGGTCTATTTAGCGGAGCCAAGTTATACGGGATTCTCTTTGCTAGCTGTGACCTATGCAGTTTGGTCCGGGTAATCTGCAGTTTATAAGAATCCACGTGCCAACATTGGTAGCATGTATAGCGTATGCTTCCTTATAATGGGTATCTAGCTATTGCCTTGTCTGGTGAGCATTAGATATCCCTAGAGGGAATAGGTGATATACCTACCATCAGAATATGCCAAGAACAGGGCTGGATTCTAGAAACGTCGAAACAGTAAAGTAGGGCCTATCTTAATGTATTATAGGAGCAGGGGTGAGGGAATTATCGGCCAATCCTGCGAGCAGTGTGTGTGAACTACTGTCGCAGCTATTGTTATATTGTTAAACATTAAGTATAGGACCTAGGGATGTTAGAGGACTTTGTAGCGCTGTCGAGGCCATCGTCCCAACGCTGCATGATTATGACTAATATCTGCAAAAGTGAGACAACATTGCAGCACTATGCAGCAGAAGCTGTGCCGCAACATAATTTAGTGGTTTCACAGCCTTATAACAGGCCGCCTTTTACCGGAACACGAATAAATGCAGAACGGGACCATAGCGTGCCTTGATCAAGCTCTTTGCACAGTGTGGCGCTGTTTACAGATACACTTAGAAAAGTAGTCATTGTTTAGTAAAAAAAGGGTCACGGGCAGCGCCAGCACCTGGTAGTAATATATGTTGTGCTGGTCATTATTCTTGATTGTTCTTGACTGTTTTGATTTCGCCAATTAATGTATAATAAGATCGGATACCTAGTAAAGTTGCATTCGGTAAGAATTCGGGCGGCGGGAGGGGGTTAGCAACCACCTGCTGCGGATAAACCGCACCTATATGCAGAATCCGCTACCTTTGCAGTTTGGTATGGATTCGGTGCGGTAGTGAATCTGGTTTGGTATTTTAGCCTTATAACTGCTGGCCACCTTTCATTGAACACAAATCAATGCAGAGTGGGATTTTAGCATACCTTGGCGCCGTTCACGGAAGATTCGCTACTCATCCGCATTAGGAAGATCTACTTAGTATACTGATACTATTTCAACAAAGGTATTCCTATTTATCTCCGACAGTGTATCCTCGAGGTCGAATCAAATATGGTCGTGGGCATGGTCTGAGCTGAAGATAGCGCGGGACGGTCACGCCTTCGACGCGGAAAACGTCCTGTCCGTGATGACCTTCTGGTTTCGATCTAGATCACACTTATAGATCCACGCGGTGCATTCGCCGATGTGCGAAGAGATCTGGCACTCCACCTGTGTGGTCACCGTGCCAGTGGATAAGATACACGTGGGACAGGGTTATGTTCAAGTCGGCCAGGACTTGTCGGATGTGGTTGGTCCAGACGGCTTCACCGTCGCTGGTTATAATGGATGTAAGGGTACAAGGCATTCCCATCTGGCCTGTATCTATCAGTAGTCTTGACTTCCAGGTGCCGACAATGTAGGTGGTTGTGGCCTTGCAGGTGCATCAGACCGGCGTTTCCGCCGAGGATTCGGAGGTGTGTCTGATTCCATATAATATGATCAATAAGATATTCCACTCTACTACGTACTAGACAGTCATACACGGATTGACGCCTACCAAGAAAACAAAATTCTTTTTGGAAGTAAATCACATTGTCCCAGTGACTCCACAGTATGATGGGCCCTAGAAAGGATATAAATTAGACACGGGCGGCAATTTATTCTTTGATTTGTCCGAGTAGTGACCTGTATACGCAATATCCCTGATATTGTTTCAAAGGCTCGTTATAATATATAGTACGGCACTGTGCTTACCACACCCGCCTTTAATCCACTAGAAATCCAAATAGGCAGCCCGATGATACTGATATCTCATACCATTTAGATAAATCCTATCGTCTAACATGAATGTTAGGCGTAGGTAGGAATAGGGGTGGAAGTTGCTTGACCCTAACATTCCGGGCAAACTACTGAGACGGAGATTATAAATAAATCCCCTGTAATCCCTAAACAATAAAATGAAGATCATTATTATGCAGCATAAGTCGACGAGAGCGGTCCAATTCCACCACTCTCAACCCTTAAATTCAAACCCGAGACTGACGGAGCATTTGGAAAGCTCTCCCAACCGAAACATATCCTGCATCGAATGGTCCCACCCGATTCTTGGCTGTCGTCATCTCGAACCGGTGGCTAAGTCAATCGTCAACTCATTGTGCATAAGTACTTTTACAAGATTTCGGGTACACAGATGATCTAGGAATTCATCGCTACTATAGTATTTCCATAGGATAAATCCAACAGTCTTGAGCAACATCACGGCGCTGGAAGGGTGATGAACGGGGAGATTAACAGAGGGTAATGGTGGGTCCGATTGCTTCCTGATTATTTCCCACAGGGGAAATAAAAAGAATAGACATGTTCTTGTTAGAGGTTGCGGATATATTACCCCCTGCTTTTCTTAGACACTATCATCACTATCATGTTGCCATCAACCTAAGATGACAATCCGTTGTAATGTTGGACTCCAGCTTCAGCTCGGTCAAAACAATGAGAATCATCTGTTCAAGGGAGTTCTAGACCACTTGTGGTACTAGGATACTTTTGTACCACGGTGAACTTCCATAAGCAGGGCATCTAGTCGGATTCAATTGGTCTATCTATTCTTGACACGGTAGCCATCCATGGATCTAAGATTATGGTGTACTAAAAATAAATAGTACGACCTTCAAAAATAAGGATAAGACTTGTCTGGGTCTCGCAAGGTAAACTAGAACTAGTAATTAATGTGAGCATCTCGACCTCTCGGCTCCTTACTAAAGCCTCCACGTCGTAAAAGATAATTATGGATGTAGACCAAACACTTTTATAGGACAGTTTGCTCAAGTTATATAGTACTGTATAGAATGATGCACATGAACTACGGCGAACAGAGCAGCAGGCCAAGTAGAAGTGCGATACAATCAAAAAGAACGAAACATTATAATTCGAACCAAAGATTCCAGTTCATTACCGATTAATCCATCAGTCATTCATTTCCGTAGCCATCGTATAGATCAACCACATTGTCGCTTTTACAGAGCCAGACCGACACCCGCAACATAGGCGAGCATCCAAGGAGCCCAGTTCTTATCGACAAAGCCGGCAGCGGCGTTGTCGCTCGGACTGGCCGAGGGAGAACTGGTTCCGGACGAGGTGCGCGAGGATCCGTCACTTGTGGTGGACGACGTATCGCTGGTGCGAGAGGCAGACGAGGTGGGAGGAACGGGTAGTCGTCGACGTGACGGCGGCTGAGGAGCCTGAGCCCGAGCCTGAGCTGGTAGAGCTGCTGACGCCACTTGAAGAGCCCGAGCCGGTCGGGCTAGCGGTGGAAGACGACTCAGTGCCGGTCTGGGTGCCGCTGGAAGTGCCCGTCCCGGTAGCAGTACCACTGTCAGTGCCAGAAGCGGTGGGAGACTCCAGTGGGAGGACCAGGAGCTCAGTCAGGGTGACGCCGCCGGGAGGAGTGGCCGAGTCTGAGAAGGTGGGCAGGGTGAAGATGGGTCCGCCGTCGCCCCGAGTAGGGGACACGTCGGTGTTGTCACCGGCCTGGGCGTAGGCGACGGAGGCCAAAGTAGCGGCCAGGAGGGCCGTAGACTGGAGAGGAATATACATTATTGGTATTTGTATGTACGTAGAGGGTAGGTACAGCAACACTGAAAATAAAGAAGACAAAACACGCTGAAGGGAGAGCTTACCTTTATAGCATCACCACAGCCACGCTGACACAGCCCCGGCACCAACAGCAACGACATTGATATTATTAGGTGTTGTTACGTCGACATCCGGTCTGTGTACACCAGCCGTCTCATCCGTCAGCAAACAGTCAGGTAGTCATGAGTCTCATCTGGGGAATCTGGAAAGACCAAGACCAGTAGCGGGGCAAGGCTGATTCTCCGCTGCGTCGCCAAGAGGCACCGTCGTCTTGATCGGCGGCATCGACTGGCCACAATGCCACGACCGCCGGACCGCCGAGTGGATCGACGCTGCTCAGGACCGTTTCAGTGACGAGGCCTTAGGCTGATGCGTTTTTTTTTTTTATTTATAATTTGTCTCTGATTTTGCCTTTGTACATGAGTCGGCAGATCACCCTCATTCGTCCCCATTATGTCATTGCATAAAAAGCATTGCGCAAGCCTTGCATGACTGACGAGTCTATTTCTTGTCTTTTTATGTCCTGTGTGTGCTGACAGCAGCGACGCGGTTAGTGTCATCGTCATCAGACAGGTAGGCAATCCTGGTAATAATCGTGCCATTTCCTACTCCTGCCATTAATTGTCATCTCAACAGTTTCTCGGAAACTGTTTCTATGATGGGGCAAGCGCTAGTTATCGAATCTATAGCAGAATTAAACAGGTAATTGTTAGTAACTATAAGATTGGCGGTTTCTCTGCCACCTTTATTGCCTACGAGTTCAAAGCGCCGTCTTATTTACCCAGTATGTCATGGCCCACGCATCTATTCCAGGTTTGTTTTATTAGGTAGGGGTGAATATTCCACATGTTTTGAGCATACATGCCATATGGATATTGATGACCCCAGAGCGTAGACACTGATATTCGACTTCTTGAGGTGCCTCGGTCTTGTTTCCGCGCCAACTGCCAGGTTACTGGGGTACTATTTATAACCCATCAACTAGCATGGATATTAACCAACAGCATAGAACAGGAGAGACATACAACGGAGATACCTTCGGATTTAAATATTTGTTAGGTCCCTCGATTAGGTAAATGATGGAGCCCACTGGTGCTGTCGTACGCGGCAGCGGAGAACAGACGATGAGACAGAAAGGGATCATATATTTCTGTCTGGGACTGCTACGCGGGTCTGCATATGCGTGGTGACCCGTTAAATACTATTTTGTACTAGCAGTAAAGAATATCCAGTGAACAGAACATTCAACATTTTAGATGAGCTCACACAGTATACGGGGATTCTCTACAAAGTGAAACAATCCCACCGATGTTTCAGACATCTCACCTGCCAAGTCCCTGTCCAGAAAAGTTGATGCAGGTCTAATCGACTTCTATGCAATCATGCTTTCATACTCTCCCAATGCCCAGGCTAACACCTCCGGATACCATCGCCGTCCCACATCCTGATGACTGGTGATTCGATGAATGAATGTCCCTCTCCGATACGCCCCTTTGTACATCTGATTGAACGTGGCTTCCGCATCGGACCGAATCTTCTCATCGCGCACCAAGTCCCTGATATGCTCCGGAATCTTCAAAGAGATATTCTCCGCGGATAGATCCAGACTCATTCCCGAAACACCGGGATGGAGAACCGCGGACCGAGGGAGACACCCTGCGCGTCGACGAAGTTTTTAGGTGCCAGACTCACGCGGTGCGTGGTGGCCGTACAGACTCCGCCTGTCAGCGCCTCCAGAGCGCGACCGATATTCACGACCAGGGAGTTTTCGATCGGTGATGCGGGGATCCATTCTCCGGCTTTATTTTGCACTTCCAGTCCCGGGTGAGGTGTGGCTTGGAGCAGGAATGTGAGAAACTCTGAGTCTTTATGGGCGCCTACACCTTGTGTTTCTTCCTCTGTGGATGCCGGTGGTGGCGGGGATATTTGACCAGCTTCAGTTTATGTTGAGAGGGGAGCTCGAAATACGGTTTCAGAGCATCTGGGGAAGATCTAGTGCTTCCGCCACAAGGGTCTGGAATTCATCTGCCAATGGGCCTACTTCAGCTAGGGTATGACTCAAGAGCATGGCGGAAGCCAGGGATCGCAGTTTCGTCCGGCCACTGGTTGGTCAGCGCGTTTCATACAAATTGACGATGTGAATGCCTACCTGATTAGGACCTCGAATATTGCGATACAGTGGCTCGTCCGGACGAGGTGGAGGCAATTCAGTTGCAAACTAGCATGTATTAGTGCTACAGAGCACCGCAGCCTTGGATGAAGAGTGATAGATCATACATCAAATTGCTCTCGATAATCCGACTTTACGAGCTGTGAACTCTGCTCCCAGCCGAGAATACCCCAGGAAGTGTTTACTGTTGACCATTTCAATTTCCAATTTCTTCCAGCGGTAGATCAAAAGGGTGATTGCCTTGGCCACCAGGTTGTCCCTCACCTCCGTATACCGGCGGGTTGGTGAGATAGAAGAACCCCACATTGACGAGAGCATTGCGCAGCTCTCTCAGGAAGGTGGCCTTGGTATCCGATGAGGTTGCGAGAGAATAGTCCAAGACAGGGATGGCAGTGAAGGTGTCCGACAAAGTCATGGTGGGATGATGATGTGACGGAGAATGGGCGGAGATGTCATTCTTAGTGGGGTGGTTTTAGTGTTCGCGCCATCGCAGGATCGTTTGTAGCACGCCATCGAAGAGGCTTTTTGTGACGCAATTCCATGCTTGTGAAGTGTGCCTTCATATGCCTATCATGTCGAGCCTGTGTATGCTTAGCCTCCAATATAGCTTTTTATAAGCCTATTTTAAGTGCTTGACATCTATCTTGAGTCATGGTTCATGCGTAATCGAGAGCTTCATACCCCGTTGTGACATCTTCAGCATACAAAGATCGGCTAGTGCTCGCAGTCCTCTCAGCCTTGTTCGACACATATCTTACTGCTCGTGACACTGTGTGATAACTCGAAGAGTATATCCGCCATTTGGCCTATAAGTTCTCCAGGATCGCATGGTAAATATCAGGATCCAAGGCGTCCTCCTTTCCGGTCCCGAAGTACAGTACATCAGACGTTCTTTTCCCCTCAATCCAAGTCATAACAATAAATGGCCCTACGCCGGTTGTATTCTCTTCCAACATCCTGTAGCCTATGGTGCGAGGGACAGGGATGCGGGTATTGTTCGCAATGTACTTTATCAGCACTGCCTCGTTGCGTACTTTTTTTCATTAAGAAACATGGATTTTCCAGACAGGAGAAACAATCAGCCGATCTTCATCGTCCCAATGAAGATGAAATCTGAAGTTAAAGGATCCTGAATATATGGAAACGGGCTGCAACCATCACGGTTGGGGTCTCGACTTGCCATCTCGCACATCCCTTTAATCAGGTCGAACACAATCTGATGCAGTCTTTTGTCAACTTCTCATAAGCAGCCATTGCGGTGTCATCAAATCCATAAGAGCTCTCAGACAGGGATGGTAATGCCAGGCTGAATGTCAATAAAACCGGGGACTTCCATTCTAGGAAGTCACTTTATCGGTGCTTGTACTTCATTTTCGTGAAAGTGTAAATGAGCTCTTCTAGATAAATCAATAAATGTACTATACCCTCCGCCAGGTATATAGAAATATTCTAGAATAGCTGACAGACTGTGGTTTAGAAGTGTTGCTCCGGCAAGACAATACTAGTGCTACAACGAAATAGAGTAGTAGCAAACTGAACGAAATAAAAAAGCCTCTTACCAGTGCGGGCTATGCTCAATTTTACACTTCATTCTGGCATTCGAGACGTATTGACTACAGGGTAGTAGACTAATATACCACAGGCTACAAGATCACATCCACCATCGCATGATCTGGCAAGACAACGTTAGACCCTCGAAGTCAACTTCACCTTCAAAGCCGGTTTATCCCAAAGAATAAAGCAGTCTTGATCTGTCCACACAAAAATTGGGATCATGCAGTTCCATGTCAAAGTTAAACACGACCCGCGCCAAAATAGAACGCATCTCAACGTATGCCAGACTAACGAAGAATTAGTTAAGCTTTCCCAAAGTCGGTAAATATCATACTTGCGCCCAATACAGTTCCGAGGCCCGAAGCTAAATGGTTGAAGTACAGTCTTACTGTCGTTTTCGAACCGAGGGTCACCCAAAAAACGCTCTGGAATGAAGCTATCAGGCTCGGTGAAATTTGACAATGAATGGTATGCCGCGAGTTGATATACAGAAGTAATTGTCTTAAAACATATGTTAGCAAGGATCAAAGATCTAGAATTTAGGGTACTTACGCCCCCAGGAACCCATTCCCCGCGATAGTATCCCCCTGCGGATCTACAATTCGGGGCAACCCAACAGCGACAGGAGGATACATTCTCAGTCCTTCATTAATCACGGCATGTATATACGTCAGTTGATTGCAAGCCTGCAGAGTTATCTCGTCATCGGATTTGAACGCGGTTCGCACTTCCTCTTTCAACTTGGCGTATGCATTAGGGTCTTTAGCAAGTAATAAGTAACACCCGAAAGCAGTGTCGCGGTTGTTTCGATCCCGCAATAATTAGAGTGCTTGCGTTTGTCATTAATTCTCCAAAACTCATGCCCTTCTCAGTGTCTTGATGTTTCAGGATGTGGCTGAAGAAATCGGGCCTCTCATTGGAGCTTTTAACCGGCCCAGAACCTTTTGTTTGGTTAATTCGAGATGCTGGTATCTCTGCCGAAGGATAGATTTGGGGATGAACAGTGTAATAAGCGGCTTGAGTATTGGAATCCGCCGCATGAGGTTAGAATAGGCACCGAATTTGATGTTCCCCAAGATAAACTTCACCCATGGATGGTATCTGACTCTTCGAGACAAACCAAATGGCTCCCCAAATGCTAGGTCTCCCGATAACGTCGAACGTGGTGTAGTTGTACCACGACACCATGTCGACGGGCTTGTTCTCATCATTGGCATTCTCATGCAGACGCTGAATCAAAAGATCGATGTAGCCTCTGACGATTGGCTCTTGGCCTCGGAGCGAGCTCGGAGAATGCATGCGATAGTAGACGCCTGAATCGAGAATGATCCGCATCGTTGGATTGATGATGCTGGGGACATTATTTGCGGTGGGTGGGAATACCCGACATCCTTTGGCTTTTGGCCATGGCCGGGACGAGTTCCATATATGGGTTTCCAGGCGTCGCCATCGACGAATGACAGTTCGTCCGGGGCAATGCGAATCACTTTGCCGTATTTTACGTGTAGATCCCCTGATGGTTTGGGGTATACGACCCTTTAAGATGGTTCGTATGTATGGGATCCGTGTCGCTGCGAAGGACTTGGGACCGGGGAATCGCGCCAGAGGGTGGAAGTAGACATTGTAGATAATTATACCGATGAGGTATAAAATTCCCTAGCCACGATATGTTATTGGTAAATAGACTCCGTTGCTATCATCACGCAGGCTCACTTACCAGTCCAACGGCCAGTCCGGCCACCAACACCGCAGGATAAGATGTTTCGGCCACCGCAATAGCCAAGGGTCTACCCATGTTAAGTCTACTCGTATTAGAACCGGTCGTGTCATGCGAAGGTAATAGGAAATTGCCTGCAGAAGTGACGGCCCCGGAGAGTATTTATCCCTTTGTTACGCACCGGTAGCCCCTCTGTTGATCATTTACCTTGACCAGTCAGATAAAATGCCCCATGCAACTTGTACAACGGCCTAATACCATGTCAGTGAACATAAAGTAAGAGAGACAGATCCGCAACTCTACGGGGAAAATAACCTGATATTCACCATACCCCGCACGTCATATGCTACTCTCCCACTGACGTACATATTGTGTTGTAGAATCCATATGATCCACGTACGAGGCTGTTACGGCTGGGTGACTGTTGGCTGCATGTCCATGCCGACATTCCCGAACATATGTTAGGGCTGTGAAGGAAGATCAAGCATAATGACCATGTGCATATCCTCGCCCTTCTTCAGGATGCAGGTACCATATTAGTTGGTGGTTTGGTAAGGCGCTTTCATCAACTACGTTTAAATATTGTACACAGCCGTCATATTGAAAAGTGTGGAGACCACGGCTGTGGCACGTAGTTTAGAGATGAAGATATTTAGAAATAAAAAATCTCCGGCTGAAGAATAGACTTTGAAAAACTCTCACGAATATGGCGTATTAACTAGAGCTCCTTTAACTCGCTGATTAAGCTTCGACGGCTTGCCTGTCAAAAGGAAGCCCAAGAATGTCTCCATTTTTGTTTGCCTGTCCCTAAAAATACGCATTACTGTAGATTTAGGCATACCCGGTCTGCTCATTCGATTTTGCCAGCTGATAAACACGCTGGCGAAGGTGGAATAACAATCTAACTACCTCAATAGAGTGTTCTGAACGAGAAGATTTTTTTGTCTAGAAATTTTGGCTATAGCACTATTTTGAGGTCTAATATGGATCATTGTATTGAATGCCTAATTTGCTTGTGTGATCAGGTGACCTAGGTGGCTCGTGACCACCTCAGTGGCAATCTTGCAGAGTTGGCTGATTAACATATATTTAGGCTGGCGACTTCTTACTTGCTTCAAGGCTTCGAGTATATTGAGCGGTAGCAGAAGTCGATCTAGGTTATAGAGGGCAGAGGTAGAAGGCCACCTTTAAAGCCCATCAAACAAAGCGATGATGGGAAGAGTCTCCAAATTTTTATAGCTCCCCGTGCAGGCTGATGCAATAACTACCATACCACCCTTTCATAGCTGTCTCTTCTAAAGCACATCCCCTTGGGCTCAAGAATTTCGACGACTGCAAACAGTCTAAAATTGTGGAATGACGACACACCGAGCAGGTTCTCTCCCTGGAACAGTATAATCCCACTACCCACAATCCAACGACATATCCATTGCCATCGTTTTACCTGCTGGAGATGCAACGGATGCTAGAACTTGTAGCATTCTATTGGCTTGACCTCCGCAGAGGTCAAGGACGACGATGGTCTGATGACAATAAAGGAGGTACCCCTTTGCGAATATTGAGTCGGAGAACCATGCAACTCCAAAGGAAAGCGGGCCAGTTTCCCTATTTGGGGAAAACCCTGGCACGAAACAGGGTGCATGGGAATAACCCTCTGGATATGCTGGGTTTAAATAGCACTCGTCGGATGCACCATACACGGGAGTATCACCTTTTTTTTTTTTTTTTTTCGGACGTTTCTAGTGCTACGTTAAATATCATAAGGTCAAAAAATGGAGAATGAGTTCATTGCTATGATGTCAATCATCCTTCAATACTCCGTAGGTGGACCCATGGATATCAAGGAGGATGCTCGTGCCTAAGACTCTACTAATAAACTTGGGTTGAACTACGAGTACATACAAGTCCACAGGTACCTATTGAATGCAATTCTCTATTATATCCAAGGTAACTATATAAGCTTATGCAAAACTATCTACAAAAAAGAAGGGGAAAAAAGGACAAAGAAAATCAAGGTATATATTCAAGGCCAGAAAAGAAAGTAAATGACCAGCCACCAACCAATCCAATCATCCAGTGACTATCTATATGGTCATCAAGAACGCGACCGAGACAGCAATCAGCGCAGAATACCGATTCAGATGCCCGCGGGTAGCAGAAGACGCAGCCTCCTCCATCTGCAACCCGGTTCGTAATTCTTCGGCTCCCGACTATCGACGGTGCCGTTCCAGCAGTAGTTTTTGAAACAAGTCTCGCAGGCCTTAGGCAGGGTGGTACCGGTTCGTTCTGCGGAGCGAGAGATGATCGCGCAGCCGACACACGATGGCCAGTCAGCGTCTAGGAGGAATTACCGCGAGTGACGACGTTATAGCCATTCAGGATGATATCGTCGCGCTCGAGTCGGAGTACTCCATCTTATAGGTGGAGGCGTTAGAGTGGTATGTGTGGGGCGAGTTGGGCAGATACACGATCAGGGGCGACGGGCCGGTGAGGTTCTTAGTATCGCAGCCGAAGAAAGTCGGACGTTTGTTCAAACCCAGATTAATGAATGTGTTCTTGTCCGGAACAGCGGGGAAGACGGTTCCGTTACCGATACCGGTGGAGTTGAGACTACGTTCGTAGGTGTGGACGAGTGAGGCACCGTTGGGCCAGCTGTTGGTGTCTGCGGAGGAATCGACAGCGAAAACGACGTCGACATGGCGACTGGGCTGGATCACTGGATGCAGAGGGATGTTCTGACCGTCTTCGCCGCCGTCGACAACATCGAGATCGCGCTGCTGGGCGTAGATGTGGGTGGCGTTGCGGTAGCGGTAGAACGGGTTGGGGGAGTAGACGGCGATATCCTCGTCGTTTTTGTCCATGCTCTTGAGTAGTTTGTACATGGTGTCCTTGACGAAGTCGGGGGCATCGGTCTTGTTGAGACGCAGGAGACCCTGGTTGAACAGTGACGAGGAGGTGCCCATGACGAAGCCGGCGTTGTCGAAGCCTCGCACGCACTTCGTCGTCAGCTAACTTGCCGTCCTCGAATCGAGAGCCGAGGAATTCCAGTGGCGCAAAGCCGTAGACGGAGGGATCCCAGGTGCCGAATTCCCAGGGGTTGAACTCGTAGACGGTGGAGTTGGTGCCGATGACCTTTTCGCCAGGGTTACGTCCGTCGGCAACGACCAATGGCAGGGGCATCTGTCCGCGCTTGAAGGTGTCGGTCAGGGCGATGGAGGACCAGGTGTAGTCGATGCCACCGTCGTCGGTGGTGGAGTTGATGAACTGGTGGGAGAGGGCACGACCCCAGTAGTCAGTGATGGAGGTGTTGTAGCCGGCTTCTTCCTTAGCGTCCACCGCTTTGATGAGATGTTTCCAGTAGCTGGCGGTGCTGAGGATCTGCACGCCCTTGTAGTTGGGACCCTCGAAAATGCTCTTATCCAAATTCCAGACCTTCTCGTCCGCCTGCAGGGCGCCGACGGTGGTGAAGTTGTTAACCACGATGGAACCCAGTAGCCAACTGCCACCGCTGAGGCCGGAGACGTAGGTAGCCGACTGCAGCAGGCCGCCCAGCTGGCCCTTGGCGGTGGAATTGTCGGTGCGACTGTCGAAGGCCTTGAGGGCACCGGCGCCGTTGGTCATGGCACGGTAACCACCGCCAGAGACGGCGATGGCGACATTAGGGATATTGGAGATGTTGCTGGAATGCGTATCGATGTACTTGGCGGCGTCAAAGGAGGCGATGTTTAGTCGGCCCAGGAGATCCTTCAGGGTTGAAGGGTCTCCCTTGCGACGGATCTTGAGCCAGTCGGTCTCTGCTGGCAGACAATTCTCCGGCGGATCGGATGCTGGGACGAGTGGCAGGACAGGAGACATTGGCCGGGGCGTAACCGTCAGGGGCATTGGGAAGGGCACGCGGATCGAGAGGGAGAGGCGGCGCTGGACAGACCAGCTGCCGCAAGGGACAGAAGAGGGATCTTCATTGGGCGGTCCTGGGTATGAGATCTATGAAACTTCACAGTCAGAGAAGAACGGACGGAGCATTATATTATTTATTTTATCCCAAGGAACCACTCGATCCACCGTTGGTACAGCCTCGTCAATAGCGTCCAGTTAGCGTGGACCAACCGGAACGACAAGGAACGAAGATACGGTGCCCGGTGGAGATAAATCCCCCAATCGTGACCCCAATCGGAGTCCGGCAGTGGCATAGGGCTGTAGGCAACATGATTATTGAAGGTTAGCATGGGATTGCTCGTATTCGCTGTGTCTGTACAGGACAATCGTGGCTGACTGAGTGATCCAGGGACAACAAGGCATATGGGGCGCCTGAGGGGTGCTTTGTAGGCAGCAATTTCTCCTCTTCTATGGCGCAGTGTGGCTGGATAAGAGATGAGACATCTCCGAAGCGATTGTCAGTTCAGAAAGACTGAAATTCGGCCCCAGGCCCCCAATTTTGTCATTTCCCAGTCCTTTTTCTGATCTTTTTGGGCAGCCCTTTTTTTTTTTTTTTTTTGCCCCACGAACCGGTAACGGAAGATGACTCATCATTCGCATAATTTCATAACTTCCTTTAAGAGAATTGTGCCTGCACCGTATAGTCTGTACTGGATATTACTGCTACTGCCATTAAATAGTATACAACACTGGATGGGATGTAGAATCAATATAATTAATATCCTATAATCGATCAACTACCCAGGGTCATCAAACCCTGATCAATCCATGGATACATATCTTGTAGCCTAGCCACACCAGGGAGGATGGTCAGATCGTGGGCCAATCCCCATTCAATTGGGCAAGTCCCGCGGAGTCCGCTTGGCAATGCCAATTTTCACTTTATTCTTCCTTTTCGGGTGGACCATGGATGTGAAAATCCTGTGGCGGTGCATATAACTGCCTCCCCTGACTGACAGTACTCACTCTACTTTTGCTCATCACTGCATGGCAAGAAATACTCACATAGCAGTGAAAGAATGCTAAGAGTTTATGAATGTAAACAACGTTTCCAGAAACCAGGATAAAAAGAGTAGATTATATCGCAAATCTAGGACTACCTATGCCCCCTCCCTTATTTCCTTTACCCGATCCCCGCAATCTGCGATCCACCAATAAATCATGGAAATGCTTATCTGCCTAGTTGCAAAACTCTTCGGCAGAAACAAAGCCGAATCCCAAGCCAGCGAGGATGAACCCCACGCAAGAGGTGGCAATCACAAGGACTATCTGGACAAAGGGTAACTAGCCCTCCCATGATTCAACGGAGCTATTAACAAGCGCAGCTCTATATGCCCAGGAGAGAAAGTTCGGAAGGAAAAAATCGATCCGAAATAGACGCGCGATGTCAATGAGAAGATCACAGATGCAGTGTGCGAAAAAAATTCGAGAGTCTCATTGGGTATTTAGATCGGTCCCTGACTTTGCAAGTAGCTGACTGGTTGATGTAGAAAGAATGTGTCGGAGAAATGGTCGAATTAGAGAATTGGGAATAGGATAATCGGGAAATCGTCGATAGTGTAATATTCAATAGCATGGATCATCACCTATATCTGTCTTTGAAACGACTTCAACAATCCCTGGAGACTTGATCCTCTTTGCGGTTCCAGGAACCGTGTATTCATCCGACATAGTTCCGCCATCGTGCGTACATTCTCCGGTAACTCGGTGCCTGACTCATCATACGAAGCGAGAAGTCGATCGAAGTAGCCCTGCGCCTGCGGATACTGCTGTCTAGTCATATACATCATGGCCAACATGGAGAGCGTGCCCTGTACATCGGGATGGCCTCGTCCCAGCCGATGTTCTGCCCAGGTCAGATACCGTTGGAGCCAAGGCACTGCTATTTCGGCATTAGATCCAGAAGCGCCATACGAAAACCTGGCCATGCCGCCCTGCATTGCATACATCATGCCCATGTGCGCCACGATGTTCATAGTCTCCGGGGTGGTCCGCACCCAGATACTCCTCTGCGCTGGCGAGCGCGCGTCGCAGCGTCTCCGAGGGCTCGGTGATGCTGGCGCTGGCCTGCATCTGACTGGCGCCGAGGATGCGTAGCCCCCAGATGGTGAGTGGGTGTCGGGGACCGAGAAGATTGTGCAATTCGCGGGAGACCTTGGAGATTTCATCAACGGCTGTCTGTGTCTGCGGGTTAAATCTTGCGGCGGCTCTCTCCACCTCGGTCTGGGTATGGTTCGAGACGACGAGCTCAGCGGTACAGAGCACTGCAGCCAGTGCCTGGATGTGGTTCTCACCCAGGAGATGCTGCAGCCGTGCGGCACGTTTCAGCCGCAGCGACGCCTTCCTCGCGACGACCGAGACAGCCATACGCCTCGGCGAGTCTTCGGCGGGTTTCCAGCGTATCGAGATCGTCTTCGCCGATGGTCATCTGCTGCCTGGCCAGGACGTTGGCGCATACCGACTCGCCTTCCTGGTATTTGCCCTTGTGGCAGAGAATTTCACCCATGAGACTCTCGGCTTTCATGGCGAGAGGATGTCGTCGGTCGAATACGCGCTGGGTGTTATTCGAGACCCATTCACACCACTCTGTCGCCTTGTTAAGGTACTCGACCGCAGGTCGATCTCCGCGAGGTTATATCCGACCAGTAACGTGCTGTGGTGATCTGGACCTAGAGTCCGTAGATGTTCCTGGAAGATGGCATATTCTATATCTCGAGCTTTATCCCACTGCCAATTATTCTTTGCTCTGCGGCCTGCATGGAGCGGGGATCGTTATCGACAGCGACAAAAAGCGTTCCGATGACTCGTTGGGCAGTCGGTGCTGGCGATCGACTGAGAGGGTAGGATGCGCTGCTGTTGAGATGCATCCGGGGAGGCACAGGGGGAGGTAGACGCGACGTCGTCGACGGTTGCGGGATGTATCCCTGCTCGGCAACGAGGACTGAATCTGCGATCTGTTTGATGTTTCCTTTGATGAGCTTGTACATCGATCCGCGGGAGCCAACCTTGCACATCTGCGAGTGATCTGCGTCGAGTTTGAGGCGGGTCTCACGCTGACCGGGGAGGCCCAGGACGGCAGATTCTTCGTCGACGACTAGCTGTGTTGATTGAGTTTGAGTGATCCACAGCATTGGGAGAGGATATACGAACGTGACTGATGGACGCTGGCCCCGAACCACCAAGCAACACCTCCTTTCCCTCGATGAAGCTGACAACTTTATAATCCTCCAGCTGGTGCGAGAAACGCACGCTCATCTGTCGGGTAAACAGCGAATTATGTTCCAAACAATCTAACAGATCGTTGCTGGCATGGCCTTTGATACGAACCGGGCAACTTTGGCTGCGATCTTGCCCAGTTCGACGCCTTTGGTGCCGTGATGCGGACAGCCGAAGAAGACGAGGCCGGAGGTTCCAGTTCGGATGGCGGTATACTTAGGGTCTTCTTGGGCGTTGAGCAGGGCCTAAGTTGACATTAGATGATATACATTGGAATTGCATGACACAAACCTGTTTAATCACCAATCCGCCTAGACTATGGCCGATGAAGATGATCTTGGGGAGTCGGACGTTCTAACGTTCTGTTAGCATGCACAACATACCGAAGAGAACAGAGATGATAGATACCAACTGCGGACTTCGCCCATATCCAACAAGTTCAATAGAGTATTAGCATGATCTCTGACACCCGCAGTCGACATAGTCTGCGGGTTCGTAATGTTGGAATTATATCCATAGATGAAGATGCGCGCCTGGGGAATGTCATGGGGAAGGAGATCTCTGGGCCAGAAGGTGCCATTTTGATGGGTCCAGGTCTCGAACGGATGGTCATTTCTCCCACGTGGGTTGAGGCCGTGGACGAACACAAAGCTGAGATGTTAAAAAAGAATAGTAAACAGTGGACGAAGAACGCCTTACTCGATCTTGGGTTGCTCAGCAGGTGTAAAGACTTCCTCTAGGAAGGGGTACTCATGTTCTCCAATATTCTTCTCACTTAGCAGTTTACAATCAAGTACAGAACAGGATACTTACCATGATGGATGCGCGCGACATCACGACGATGGATACAAAACAGCATCCAGTGTTGTCAGAAGATAAGAAAGTCAGAGACCTCGTCAACTGCAAGACTGGAGTGTAAATCTAGATCGTGTGACGGGCAGTCTGAGCAGTGAGATACCCACCTACTTACTTCCAATCGCTTCTCTATTCTGGGGCCATTTAGAGCAAGAATGACAGCCAAGATGATGCGAGGCTGCGATACGAGGTTAGTGGCTGGAGGATACCCTCCGGATTGGCTGTGTAGCCGACTGTACTGGAGTTGGTGCAGCTTTCATGCGTGTGCCGGACTAGATTGGGCGTAATCATCGAGAAAAATGGAGTGATTGGGGAGGCTGTTAGATCTGCTGCTGGATTCTATATCCCTGCTTCCAATTGCGGGAGGTCGGATTGTCGAAAGCCCGGAGAAGCTCTGATGACATCCTGAATCATCTCCAGCTCTAACATCAACGTTAACTCCCTGCCCATTGCCGTCCATTCAGTTTCACAAAATCCATCAGCCGCACAACTCGACCAGGCCATTGGGTTACTCAAATCTGAAGGGTCGCTTTGAAGTGGCGCTAATTTTTCTGTCAGGGTGACTCCTGGCCGTCAAAGCGATAAAACCTGACTGTTTTACCAATAGCAACAGCCCCATACAGCTTTCGGGGTTGCTTCAAGATCGTCTAGAAAGTGGCCGGTGACTGTATTTTGCAATTGGCAGGGGTGTCAAGGGATGTTGGCTTGCATTTGACCCGAAGGATACAGCTTTCGGCGAAATCAGTCGATGCAGTTGGGTTTGGGTTCAGTGTCAATATTTGGAGAACGGTAATATAGGGTACGTTGTTCTTCGTAAGCATTGGAGCTTTGACTGCACAATGGTAATCTTCAAGAACGGGGAACGAGGCTCCAACATTTGCTTGCCAGAGCCGTTGTACTGTTTGTGACTCTCTGGTTTGACTGCATCCAATGCCCTTTGAATGGCCATGATTTGCGGAATTGGAGGTGGCTGGGACAGAGTCACTTGATCCAAGGAAGTAATAAAACTAAAAGAGGAGAGAATGAACTTGAAAGAGGTATGCTATTCTGGTATGTAGGGTAGGGATTTATGCCCAGAGGGATACATGCAGGTATAAATAGAGAACACAGAGAGAGTTCCGATATAGTCCCCAACCCCCAGGGAGCCTAGAAAGGCATCATTCAATTGGCACTGTCAGTAAACTAAAGGGGATGAGATATGTAGGGTTTGTATAAGCATGAAGACTGAGCTGCAGATAGACTTGATTCCTCTGCAAGGGGGTTGCAGCAGCAGAATACTGAGCCAGTAAATCACTGCAGCCCTCGAAAAGTTACATATTCTGACGCATAGATAAATTCTGTTACAAGTCACTAGCTATAGCGGAGACATGCCACGGGCTGCTTTGCTTATCATTCTGGTTATAATAAACGCTGACCTAGGATTCCTACTGAGTTTGGTTGAGCCGAAAATTATTGCTGTCAATGGAAAGAACTGATTATCAGAGTAATTTCAAGAGCATGCTAGGATCAGCAAGAAAAAATCTTTTATTTCGCACCAACTAGAATCAGCACTACTGTGCTAGACTTGCTGGTGCTTATTATAGTCGACATAATGGATTTGGATTGCTGGTACGGGCGTCTGGCTTATAATAATGCAAGCAATTAAAAATTTAAACGAACTGTTAAATTCCGTTGCTAAAATAGATACTAAACTTACTGCTTAAAATTTAATATGCTTTAACGTCCTTGTAGATGCTGACATATGCTAGGCGACTTCTACTAAATTGGCACCACCTCGTTTTCTGGGATTTATACATATCTATAATATCTAGCACGTCCGTGTAATATTATTTACCTGATCAGTTTGTGAAATTTATTGGCCATTAAGTGCCTGCAGAGTATATTATTTAAGAGTAGACAACAAAATTTCGACGTTATATATACACAGTATGCGGGAGTAAAATGAAGTCGTACGTTGTTCGCCTACCCATTCTATGAGTTGTGGAAATGTCTACAAAGAATGGAAATGACCAACCCAGGCGAGGAGGACTTTTACGCATGCTAAAATAGATCGGCGTAAGTATGTCCTCTAAAACATACCTATTATAATAGGTTCCTAGGGTTGTACTCACGAATATTTACAGTGGATAAATGCAGAATCCCGGAAGGAGGGTCCACCCAGATACTGGGGCATATTCTAAGGAATATATACTGCTTCTTTTACTCTATATATAGCAAATGGAAACCACATTACTATTATTGGTTTTTTAATATTATATGTAAGAAATACTCCACTAGTTTAGAATACCGGGCTAGCTCTGTCCACTGCTGTTCTAGAGTATTTGCACTTCTATCTATCCGGCCAGCTAAATCGAGATATGAAAACCCGGATTCAGTATATATCTATATGCCGATCAATCCGTGATAGCTTCATCCTCTGCCTTGGATTTAAGGTTCTGCAGACAAGGAGCGTGAAACAAACTACCCTGCCATGCTCCACGTGCAGTCCGGCTGGCAACCACCAGCCACAGCATTACCACAGCAGCAGCTAGAACCTTCAAGCAGTCAGACCTATATTATTGCATAGACCAATAGACAGGAGATACATACCGTCCCACAGATCTTAAAAAACATCAAATCCATCTCTACGCCCAATAGCATGGTATTGGCTGCATACACACCCAGCGGAAAAGTAAATCCCCACCAGCCCATATTGAAAGGAAACGGCGAGCTATAATAAATAGTAGCCAGCGCAAACACCAGCCAAATGAGACCAAAAGCCCACATGAGCAGTGATATCAAGATGCCGAATATATAGGCTATATGTCCGACTAGTGGATCCAAAGTATTAGACTCTCCAAGTAGCTTCCGAGCAACCTTCCCAAGATAGAGAATGCTGTGCGTAGTCAGTATCAATACCTATTCATATGGACTGACAGTTACCTGAATCCACCAAATCCTAACGGCCCAAGAGGCAGAAAGCAGCTCACAATTGTCTCCCCGCGATGGGAGCTTATGGACGGCCAGTCGCTGATAGTAAATAACCAAAACCATCATTGCCATGGGTGTCGCCATTCCCCAGAGCACATAGGATGCAATCATTGTCCCCTTGGCGGGGTAAGGTCTGGCAAAATATCAGCTACTTCCGCACTGGCTCCAGAAGCAACAATCGTTGCAGCAATCGGGAGTAATTGAGGGCCGTGATGAGCTCCAGCGAGGTGACATGGCTCTGTGATATGCTAGGCATATGTTAGGATCTTATGAATACCATCGGTGGGAAAACTAACAGGACAAAAGATAACGATACCGTCACTGACGCAGCAGCAACCGCGTCGACAATCCACAGTGCCCAGGCTGTCGTACGCGCCCAATCACCCCACCTTGGCACGCAGATAAACACCCACATCTCAATCAACGTGGCGAGCCCCATGGGACAAGTAGCGAGAAAAGTGAATTGACGGGATCTTGGATCATTACGCCCCAGATCTCGGGGTAGAGCGCATATCGCAGGATGGACATGGAGAAGACGGTGGCGAAGAGGATGGCATTCAGGACGAAGAAAATAACGGCCATGTAGTCCAACGCTGCATATTCAAACGGAATAATGTGGAAGAGAATGCCAACAATTCCGGTCCCCATTGTGGTTGAGAACCATCTGCGAGCCGTTAATAGATGCGCTTCAACATGGATGCGATGAGGTCATACGATGGACTGAAATTGCTGATCACACGCCGCCATCCTGCCGTGTATTTGCGAGAAATATGAGACCGTTGGTCCCCGCGGATGTTAGAATTAGTCGCGTTCATTGTAGTTATTCTAGAGTGAGAGTAGAATAGGAAAGGAATATTCGAATCATTGAATATAGGGAGAAATATGACGGCCGGCTCGGCCGAGAGGAATCCGATCCGCCAAGCCCACTTGAAAACATCACCACATCTCTGGCGACTTCAGATCTAAGTTTCTATCGACTAACACCAGCATTGACACTATTAACTCTCTGTCTATCGTCATATGTCTTACACATTAACACATCCACAATGCGTTATGTTATGATTATTCGCTCAGGGAAGGAATGTGTGGCAGAAGTACAGTATACCAGCTACACGCCAGTAGCAGGGGCTCGGGCAAGCTGTCTAGCTTATCTAGATGGGGACTAACTAATGTTGGAGCATATTGCCGCATGGGCGCCTGCCCCGGTTTCGACCTCGCTTAGTCATCATTTATGTAAGCTCGCTTTTAGCAACACTGTAACCTGGCGGCGACCCGGCCACCCGTTCAATAGAACAAGCAATCGCTTCCAACAGGTTATGACCCCTCAATTCAAGCTAAACGAAGACCATTTTGTTTATAAAAAATATACGGAATCGCTTCGGCTAGCACTAATCTACCTGCTGTTTCTTTTATATCGTTATTCCACCCTATTGCATGTTCTAAGGGGGGGTTAAATTATTATTTACTGATTCATTGTTTACTTCTAATGCGGATTTACCCCTAGATTCGCTACCAGTTGCGATAATTATTGTAGTATCACCACCGCGATGCCTCCAAAACCTCCAAAGGAAAGGATAAAATAACTGCACCGCAGACTCCCCTTATTAGTAACACCAGCTTTAACTGCTAATGGCCCTTTATAGAGTAAGAAGGCAGCCCTTAACTAATATCTAATCCTATAAAGGAAGCCAGAGATAACAATATTAATATAGTAACACTACCAACCAGTATAAATACTAATCTTATTTGTTAGATTACTAAGTTAATTCGTGATTAAATAGCAATACCTTTGCGCGATAAAATCGCGGAAGTGCGCTGGGAAATGCGACAAAAGACCTTGTAACAATTATTAAACAAACTATGTATATCCAAAATATTCAACAAACTTTCCTTCATACAATGGATTTGTTCAAAAAATAATGGCCTACCAAAACTATCACGCATATTCGATATGCTGAACACCACAGTTTACGTAATTGGAGAACCTCAAACCATGGGGTCCTTCGCAGCGTGCAACTTAGATCTGCATCAAAATTGGTAATAAGCGTACTTTTATGGATGCATGCTTAAATATCGGTGTTAATGTCAAGTCAGGATTTGCACATCCTTTATTGCATGTCCCTTTCGAACCGTTAATTGGATGTAGGTTTTAGATTGAAGGGAAACAAACATTATTCACTTTAAATCCGTTTCACGCAGCAATGATCCACCTAAGGAATCAGAAACATGGAGTGCACGGCTGGTAATGTCATACTTTTGGTAGATTTACATTCCGGCGGCAGGACGTCACACACATGGCGATGGTTTTGTAGTCTCCTTATATTACACAAATCAACCATCCCTTGCTCAGAACCCCTGAAAGCTTACCACCAAACAATAGCGGACCATTTCACAGTTGCGACAACTGTTACCAAGGGCTATCTCCTTGGCCTGCCGCACGGTGTGTTTTGGAGTTATTCCATAGCCATTTCTTGATCTCTCGTATGGCAATACGATTGCTTTCATTGTCTCGGTAATGCGAGAGTACTTCGCCGTAGATTAAGCCATCAACCTTCGCGAATCCCAGTAAGGTTCCCGCAGTGTCGGTGTTTTCCTCTTTATCTGTAATTGTCCAGCCAAAGACCTTTCCAATCCTGGGCCTCCTTGGTTTAGCACGATCGCGCTCCTTGATGCTGCACTTAGTTCATAGCAGACGCCGCTATACTTCCCCAATTCCTTCTATCGTTGTGGCAATCCATGATACGAGGCAACCAGAGAGCCGAAAACCCGAAGTCTATAACCCTCTGATGTGAAGGGATCATATTTTTATTCTGTTTACTAGAGAATGTATCGATGGCCGATTGAGCCTGGCGTTTAGGCCCATCGCTTCATTTGCCGTCAAATTCTTAGCAATGGTCTCCCAGGCTCCGCTGTTAGAATGGTCCAGGCTGAAGCCATAGAGAACTCGGACACCAACGGACTTCAATTTCTTTTGTGCCATTTGCTGTAGCTCTGTGATGATACACTCATTGCCTGCCGAAGAACAATGGCCTGGGTGCTTAATGTCCAGCCAGAGAAAAGTAATTGGCTTCCCATCTTTATGCTGCGCGGCAACAGCGCTAAACAATTTTTCCACGGTATCCTGTGGCCTATCCCAAGGTGTATTCTTGTCAGCATGCCACGCATACCAGACCCCATTATAGGGTGCCACATCCACCTCAAGTGCATTGGCACCGTCACTGAGAGCTTGTGGGACCGCACTGGCATGCAAAACGCGGTGGGCAATGAGATATATCGGTCGTCGGCTATCGCTTTGCAACACAGTCTGCTCGAGAATACTCTCACCAGAGCAGCTGCCGGCCAGCAAGAAAGCAAAGGGTATTATATGAATGAGACATAGCTTTAAAAGCATTATGAAAAGGATCCAGCAAGCTATTGATAACTATGACCTATTATCCTTGTCAGTCTCTATTATATAATGCATTATTTACGTTTTGCTTAACGGGCCTTTTGCTTTCATACCTCAGACCACTAAATTATTGCAATATGTGTTGACTTGTCCAGAGTCCAAATTAGTTTTAGACGGCGCCAAGTCGAAATCAATATTAGGATACTTATAGTACATAGTAGAGCGAATAGAACTAAATGCAGATTAGGTTTCCTATATAATCATTCTCTTTATGAGAAAAAGTTTAAGACAAAAAAGTTTAAAACAAAAGTAAAGAAAGGCACGTAAAAATTAGAAAGTGAACCAGAGAAAAGCTCCACAAACCCGTCTGTTACTCGGATGGCTTGCAGGACCTTAGGTGAACATGTGCAAGTGATGACCATTACACTTCCTGCATGCCATAAGAACACGTACTTCAGCTAGACACAATTCCAAGAATATATCGCAACTAATTCGTCATATAACTTAGTGAGACGATGAATTTGTCATAGACGTTGCATTCAGAAATGTAAATGTGGGCGATGGAAAGTCGTTACTTCAGACGCTCTCCTGAGCACGGTATCATCGTCGTTGGCTATTAGTTATGGCCCCTAAACTGGTGATTATATAATGATATCATGGTCATCCATTGCGCGAGCGGAAATCCTTGAGTGGTGTTCTAATTTGGCCGAAAAATCATATTATATTACACAGAAGGGTTATTAACATTTCACCGGGACTTTCTCTCTCAATAGATCGATCCACTAGATACTTTATCTGGGATAGGGCGTTGGTGACGCTCTCTGTCGCACGCTGTGGCTCTGAAACGATCAGCAAATCATATAAAAGAGCTGTGTTCTGGGGAAAAAAAAAAAGGGACAGTTGAAAATGTGCTTCTATTAGCGTTTATAGTAATGAGGGAAAAGGCGAAGCGGGCTTTGGCGAGTAGGACTATCGGGGTGGTTCTGGTCCCTTTCTCTCAATTCGTAGAGGTTTTAAGTATTTCAAAACATTATAATAATGGCATGTACTGAGAGAAACTAAAGGTTTGTGACTATCTGTTATCTGACACAATCATCCTTCGAGATAGTGTACAGATTAACAATATACACAGAAGTGCGACTAACTCTGCCCAAGCTTTGTGGGAAATGGTAGATAATTGAAGCCAAACTCCCGTTTTAACCTTTGACGACCTTTACTACTGCAGTACCAAGTCCGCTACCAGTCCTGTTGTAGCCATCCGCAGTCACAGTATAGCCGGATCTGATGTTTTGCACCTGAAATGTATTCGTTTTCGACCAGAAAGGTACCTTCCAAGAGAGAGTAGCGATGCAGTCATCATCTAGATCAGTAAGATCAAGGGTACCTTTTGTATCAGTAGGTTCCGAGTCGCGGCCGCAGAAATTCACGGTGAATTCGTCATTGCTCTTGATCTCTGTGTCATTAAGATCACGGGGAGGGATTTCCTTCTTTGTCGCCCGCCTCGTGAAATTTTCCGCTGTGATTTTAACATGTTAAAAGGCAAGCCCCAGTGCTGGGTAGTAATGGAAGGTGCTACATACGGCTGTGCATCTGCCCTCGCGATCAGGATGCTCTCGCCATTATTGTTCACAATTTGATCGTGCCATCTTGTGCGTACATTTTGATGGGTAGCCTCGGGTTCTGGGTAATACCGAGCAATACTAGCTACCGCAGCGAGATGACAAGAATGTATAAAGGGCACCGTAGACTTACTTATATTAAGGTCAAACTGTGAATGCTCCAGCAAACAATTACCGAGCAAAGGCTGACCAGCTACTATTATAAGTTCGACAATATTCTGACAGAGGAGCCATAGTGCAATGGAACTGTTGGCATCATGCAAGGAGACAGAAAGTGGAGTACGATTCGATGAGTTTGTAGTGCCACTGGGGTACTATGGAAGCCCACCATTTATTCAAGAGGTGACGCCATGTATGATAACTTGACACCTGCTCTCCATGGCAGTTTCTTTGGAGGTAGAAAGTAAGCCTGCGTTTAATGCACGAGGGCTTTCCCCGCGCTAGCTGATCAGATTAAATCGAGGAGTACCCACCGGTTGTTTGCCGCCTATGTGAGGACACCGACAATCTACAACTCAGGGACGCTGGATCAATCGCGGGTGCCGGGATGCGCGGTCAAGAGTTAAACTTCTATTGCTAAAGCTCTGCTCCCAAAGCGGCCAATATTCCCTTGAAGTTAGCAATACCATGGGTAAGTCTTATGTAGATCGCTTCCGTTCGCATGTACACTTATCCTTGCGTGTGTTCTTATAGTATCAGAAGCAATCAAGCCTCAAGTATAAGATAATTCACAAGATACTACGAAGGCCTATTCCTGACATTAAGACGATCGTAATCGGCTACCTACCTAACAAAGAAGGTTTAACTTATTTGTAGCGTGTTTGCCTTGACATCATCACTGGCGTTATGCAGCAGATAGAGCAGATGCATCACGGCACCTGACGCTAAAAGCATTCGCTAAAAGGTCTCGGCTGAGTATAGTTGTAAAGTCAACTAATTCATAGCTGCATTCATACTAAGTGGTGACGCAGTACATCGAAAACTAGAATATGACATAGACCATCTAAACCACAAAGCTCTCTGTGACTAGCCAAAATGTGGAATCCGTAACCGCAAGCGGTTTCTTACCCTAACTACTGTGCCTATTCGGTTAGTATTTTCATTTGGTAAGCCATGGATCTTGCACAGTACCCCATGCAGAATCAGCCAATTAATAGCTGCATTAGTACTAGGTGGTGATGCAATACATCGAAGACGAGAATATGTCGTGACACAACTATCTACATTGCAAAGCTCCCTGTGGCTAGCCATAATGCCAATTCGGTTCATATTAGAATGTCTTTCATTATTTTAATTACTGTAAAATATCTTCCTTTTTGTGTATGCGCCTATGTTGATAGCTAGGTGGTAGTCCCAGCCCGAATTCCATCCCAGTAACCTGGTAGTAAATTGCTATATTCATGATTTCGGTCTCCTAGCTTTTTCAATGCTTACATGGCAAATGGTGGGTAGCTAGTCTTCACACTGTTAGTCCTGTGGCAACCGGCGCAGTGACGGTTTGCGCAGACGGTTTGCCATGTCAGTTTGCTTGTTCGTTATATGTTCTATCTACTATGTTTGGTCGTGGGGGAACGATGGAGCGTGGTAGTATATGAGGATATCTACCCTATTGCTTATCTCGATCCTCTTCCTTTCCTCTCCATGCTTAGTATTCTCGAAGGTATCGAATAGAGTTGATTTGGTTTCGTTTCCATCTCCGTTTCCTAGGCCATAACAAGTCCTATCTTCTCACTGCTGCATCTTGATACGTCCCTTCGAGACCTGACGCACAATGTAGTGAACTAGCCATCTCCATAGTTTCAGTGTAATGGATCGAATTTCGTGGTTGGTTGGATTACGGGACGACTCCTTTACTCTCCTATCGCGTGTCATGTAAACGGCTCTTTAGAGCCGCTGTAAGGCCTGGCTGACATGTATCTCCGGGAAATGACAATTACTGCCTGAATTTACTCGCCATCCATGTTGTTTCCGCTTTCATCGCTTCAACCCTTCACGAGTCCATGAATCATCAGCCACAATATTAACGGTACTGGGTAGACATCCCGGAGACACCTCTTTGAAATCTAGAATCGAGCGAAAATATTACTCGTACAACATTGTCCGTCTATGTCATGGAGTTGTTTTCTAGTACGAGGGTTTGGCCTGCCAACCTTTAATAAATTTGACTGGGTAAGTTCAAGTTGTTAGTAACTATATGCCGGGCAGCCTCGTCCGGATAAACCAGCCTACTGGGCAACGAATTCCCCATTCCTGTCGGCATTTACGCTGGAGGAAACGGGCGACAACATTGTTTTGGTCTCAGATTCGGCCGAGCCAAGATACTTTGGCAGTAGTCAATTGTAGTTTTGAAGTTGAAAAGCTTTTTTGTTTTAAAAAAAAAAAAAAAAAAAAAAAAAAATTTTCCAAGGGCGATGCAACGGTGGCTTTCGGAAAAGTATTGTTGTAACTACATTCTGAACGTCATCCCATTCTTTCCGAATTAAACAAGGTCAGCCAGCCGCATATTGACGATCAGTATGAATGCTGCAAGCGTGCCTACCTCACTGTGAACGTGGAGGTGAAAGAATGCTTGTGTAACACTAGTCGGGTTGTTATGATAATTAGATTCTAGTAGGTTAGGTCCGCAATGCCAAGAACAGTTCCGCAAACGGGGTAGTATTTCACTCCTAGTCGCTTGAGTCCCTTGTATTAGCCATCACAGGGGATATTTAAAGAGGAACAAGGACCATTTTTACAAGCTTTTGAACCCCCAAGTAAACGCGACATACTATATTCCATAATTTGTATTGGTGCTTATAACAAATCCATTTACTTTGTTCTATTTAAATTTTGCCACTGCGATGGGTTCCGGAGCTTCCACTCAGGGTAACGGGGAAAATCCCGAGATCGTGGCTGAAGCGCAATGGGTCGTTATCCGCGTGAAGAACAAAATCAGGAATCAACCCATATCTGTCAAGAACGCAAAACTCAAGTGGTATGTAATGTTCTAATGTGCCTGTAGCACATACAGTACTAATTCTGCTAGGGGCAAATTCTACGACGGAAACGACCAGGACAATGAGGTTCCTGCCAGCGACATAAACAAGCTTGATATTCAGCCTAACAAAACAGGGAACATTGCTGCGGCTGGCCGCGCGCATGCTGCGTCCGGTACTGAAGGAACTATCGATCTGAAGGATGGTGACACGAAAATATGTACTTTCTACTGGCTCTGCCCATGGGGAAAAAGACCAACGATTTCCAACCCGCGACCTAGAAGAGGACGATTATGGTGTAACTGTGAAAGCTTGGAACCGGAAGAACGGTGCGCTAGGGCATGTGGATGTCATTGTTTCTAAATACTAGAAAGAGCACGAGTAAAAGAGGTGGCACGGTGGTGGCGTGATGCTTTACTCGAACTGACCAGACGCAAGAGAAAATCAAGTATAAGATATTCCCACCGCTTCCGAGTAAAACATTCATTGCAAAATGCAGAGACTCGTTGTGGGTCTTATTAATTAACGCTGTAAGTATTAGGCGGCACCGGAATGCTTCTGGTACTTATTACTGGCTGTCAGCGATCCTGTTATTCCAAGTGAGCCGCGAAGTAGTTTGTCGAACATGGCAAGGACCAATGGCATGCGCGTTATAGGTAACATTAATTCCCTTTATCCTTGAAAGTTTAAGTAGAGTGTGTTAGAAGCTGTGTGTGTAATAGCCTGTATATCGCTGAGGCCAGGGTCAGGGTAAATGAAACCATCCAATCCTGGTGTATGCACAAGCCGGGCTGAATATACTGTAAATCATAATGTTGTGAAAACCTCGATGGGGTTCACGGTGCACAGGGGAAAATGGGGAATAGAGCAGGAGAAGCTATACCAGCTACACGCACGTAGCCTGCTAAGGAGCGTATATATTCAACTAGATATATATCCAACGTCTCAACTAGATGCCACACCCCCTGGTCTTCAACTGGGATAGGGGATTCGGCGATTGACAACGTTGTGCGTAGCCAAGGCCTAGGAAGGAATCGGTCCGAATACCATTTCTTCAACAGATAAATTACCATCTGGCCCTCTTATGAGAGTGTGGAGCAACCTCGACAAAGAAGAGCCGCATAACTCTAGGTGGGTTAGGGCAAGGACGATCGCCAGGTTCCGAACCTAAGCCAGTATGTATGTTTCCGAGATGTCTCACTCTTATCGGAACATTGTCAGATCCAGAGGTGGGTGTCGGAAGCGCATTGACCAGCAATCTGGCGACCGGATGAGGCTACTAAGAATGTTAGGTCGCCCGTTGATAAGGAAAACTTCGCAACACAATCTGTATGATACTGGCCATGGTTTTGAACGTAACGTCCACAAGGGTGCCTTTTCTCCCTATTTGATAATCTTATAAATAGTTCACCTCTCCTCAGAAAAGCCAGATTGGTTGGCGGGAAAAAATGATTAACCTTCTATAGGCTAGCGCAGGAAGCGAAGTGACATTGCCTCAGCAAAACAGAAAGCGCATTTTGGTCTGCAAGATATCGCTTTTCGACGTTGATCAACGCGCTGACTTTTGCCGGTCTTCTGCCTTATTTTTCTGCGTACTGTCTGTTCATTTGGCAGTGCTACTCCCAGAGGGAAGCATTGAGATCTTTTATCATACAACACAACTAAATGAGTCATAGACTTATAGTTATCTTCAACACATCATCATAAACCATGTCTCATGCGCGCTTCGCGAGCTTGGACTCTTCTCCCAGAGGCAGACTTCCCGCTTGCGTTTCTGATTAGGTGAAATTCCCCCTAGTGGTATTCGTCGGGTTTGCAGCGTTGCCCGCTCAAAATCAATAAACGTCACCCGACTACTTTTCTCGTCCCAGATCATATTTCCGGGTATTGGATCACTATGAAGCACGCCTAGATTGTGGATTGCCTGTAAGGACTTCTCAGCTAGTCGAACTACTCGATGGCGATCGAGATCCTGCTGCCTTGCAAGGGTCCTTCCGGCGTAACCCATGAACGTTAGATGAACAATCTCAGTAATACCATTATAAAAAGAATGCGCAGGGAAGTTGTAGGCTACCAAATAGCACTGGCACGGATACCCCTTTGATTGGAAAGAGACGTGAATACACGAGCTCCTCTTACAGTACCAAAACTCATCGGTTTTAAAATAATCATCTTAGGTACAACCAGTACAGAAAATTGCGCATTATTAGCATAAAGGATAAGCTCTGAAAATCAGTTCAGCCTTGGCTGCGGATACAGCATTAACCCTACCCAATTTGTTCTCACGCTAAAAGTGCTGGTGCAGCATTTAGTGCTCGAGCTCGTACGCTGTATCATCTATCTCACCCGCCAGTTAGACTTAGTTAAGTTGCCGTGCATTATCTGTTCCATTAGGCTCCTCCTCCTGCGTAGTTTCCATAAACAGCCTGCTCTGACAAGTCTCACAAATACCAGAGGAATAAACGTTCACTACCTCAGGAGCCGGTGTGGCTATGGGTCGCTATTTCCCCAACCACAGCAGAATCGTGCAAAGAGGTAAAGGTCCCTGAAAGACCAGATATCCGGCTAGCAGGAGCCATGTGCCGGCCGACGTAACTATGTTATAAAAAAAGGTATTTTTTTTACTTTGAGCACCATTTCTACATACCGGCTTTGCACGGCCGGGATTGTCAAGGGTTCGGACTTAGTAAATATCCCCATCCAATGCCGCTATTGTGCATGTTTATATTAGCTGGGTATTAATACTACTATACCTGTTTATAAATGTATATAATTGTATGTAAGTAAACATGTACTGTAAACTTAGTAGCTTAAAAATAAGCTTACAAGATTAAACGAGATTTGGTAGCAGCCGCCAGCCTGGAAAAGAGGAGCGAAAGTCACTGATACGTTTATATTATTATCAGCACCTGACTGCAAATGCTGCTACGGCACAATAATCAGCATATTAGTAGATATATTTACTATAACATATTAATATACATACAGTATAGTATAAGGCATATCTTTATTTTTCTTAAGCAAGCCTGTTTTTTGGTTGCTCTAGCTCACGCTGCACACTTAGTTACTCCCAAACTGTATATTTTACAAGGCTTTTATATAACTTAAGTAAATAATTTTAGTATATATCCCTATAAGGCTAACTATCTTACTAGGTTAAAAGCATATCCTATTAATATAGTACAGTAATTATATAAACATCACCCCGATTAATATTAACTATTTACTGCAGCAATATCCCATGCACAATCACAGAGTCTGTCTATCTCTATTACCAGACTTATTTCCATTAGTTACTAGACGTGGGGATAAGGCCCATTCCCAGACTAAAGATAATTAATTAACTGTAATAGGCGTCTTTCTTGCATATTTCTATTATAGTTATAACTATTCTTCTATGTTAGCCGACATGTGTTCTGTATATATATATATCAGTGATGTTTTTACTTAAAGTAGGGAAGGATTAGATCGCCGCCGGCGTACAACTTAATGGTCCAGCAATTTAAATAAATTGCAGTTTATTAACTTAAACACAGTGTATTGCGCACCAAAGCATATAACTACCCATGACCACGGAGAGATGCTCGCTCGAGAGTTTTGCACTAAGAATGGGACGGAAAGCCAACAAACGGCTTGTGGTGTGATAAGGCATTGGAGACAAAACAAGTCGAGCTATTCCTGGCATTAACATTGAGGCTAATGAAGTCTATGCCTATTTTAATCTACACGGGATAGAGCACTGGGTAAGATCTATGATGTTGGGAATTATTTAGGATGTCTCAGTGGAAATTTCGTGGCTTCTTTGGATGAATCCAGGGTGAAGACCACTGGTCACAAATGCCCTAAGCATAGCCACCTGTTTCTATTCTACTCACTTCGCTGTGCACTGCTATCTGCAAACACATCGAGTAAGCCAGACCAACCACTGCGTTTCGTGGGTCTATATCAACTTTAAAGAGGATGTCGCAGGATGATGAAAAGGGAGATGGGGCTTTCGACCCTGGAATGAATTCAGGGACTGGGCGCTAAACTGCACGAGTTAAGACGTGGTGACGTACTCCAATCCCGGCCATTTTGAAGATCAAACAAGCCTTAGCGGCACCACCGATCCCGGGTTGACGTGTACCTTGCCGATCAGCCTGCTGGGTATAAAATGCTCGTGTCATCTTTACCTGCGATGAGCTGCCTTGCATCTCGCCATCTATTCTGCCCTCCTTATCGACAATCGTCAGATCCGACCACCATGGGTTCGTCGCAGGATGATCGGAAGCTCGAGAGCGGAACCGCTGCCAATGCTCCTCAAAGCAATGTGCTTCATCCCGCGTTCTACATCATGTGCGTGCTCTGGCACCCTCGCCCGATCAGCGAAGCTAGGAATCGGTATACTGAACTAAGGTCACTAGATTGTGGATTGGGCTGAGTTCGAGCGTCATCCTGTTTAATAAATGGGTTCTTGCGAGTGCCAAATTCGGTGAGAACGGTCTACATACTTAATCCCATGTATTGAACCAAGAACTAACTCTACGTTTGTAGATTTCCGTGAGTCCGCTCTGCTGCTACTTGATTAAGCAACTGACCGTCCAGCGCTGTTCTTGACAACATGGCACATGGCTTTCGCAACGGAATGACCCAGGTTCTGCCCATTTCACTTCCACGCTGGACTCGCGACACAAGATCCCTATGACACCAATTAAGTACATGTAGGTAGTATGTTGGCAGGTCACATCCATTGCTGATGTGTGTATACCGAGTAGGAAAGCAATTGTACCAATTGGTCTCATGTTCAGTTTGAGTCTGATTTGTGGCAACCTTGCCTACCTCTATCTGAGTGTATCATTCATTCAGATGCTCAAGGTCAGCCACGAAGTAAATAAAGTAACAAAACAGAAGCTAAGTCCCTCAGGCTACCAATGCTGTCGCCACTCTTCTAGCAACATGGGCATTCGGCATTGCACCGCCCAATCTGCGCACCCTCGGCAACGTCTTCTTAATTGTTGTGGGTGTTGTGATCGCTTCCTTTGGTGAGATCAAGTTCGATGTTTTCGGGTTTCTCAGTACGACCCCTCCCCCTTCTATGGAGATCAGACGCATGTTCACATCTAACACACTGCAGTCCAAATCGGTGGAATCATCTTCGAGGCCCTACGTCTAGTCATGGTCCAGCGTCTTCAGCTCTGCCGAATTTAAAATGGACCCATTGGTATCAGTGTACTACTTCGCGCCTGCATGCGCCGTAGCCAATGGTCTAGTCATGTACTTCATGGAGCTCCCTCGACTAACCATGGGTGATATAAATTCCCTCGGCGTTGTCACTCATCGCAAACGCCCTGGTAGCTTTCCTTCTCAACGTAGCCGTTGTACTCTTGGTAAGAATCACCTAACTCTTTTTATAGACACAGGAACCACCACTAACTCATCCGTTAGATCGGCAAAACCTCCGCCGTCGTCCTTACAATGGCAGGTATCCTCAAGGATATCCTTCTCGTAGTAGCATCCATGGTCATATTCCTGACCCCGTCACTATGCAACAATTCTTCGGGTACTGATTGCTCTGGCTGGATTGGTGTACTACAAGCTGGGTGCGGAGAAAATAAAGTCGCTGACGACGGACGTGCGGTTGCAGATGGTTGATTATCAACGGAATAACCCGGTCAAGAGCAAGTTGGTTGTTTTGGCCGCTGTTGCGTGTGCTGGTCTCTTTGGTTTTGTGTGCTGCGAGCCCTGGGGGTATTTCTGGGTTTGGTGCTATCAGTACTACTGCATAGGTAGTGTTACCGACAATGGACTAGATGTAGGCATTCGCCATCAGGGCCTTATAATAGTGATTCTGTCGCATTCTATGTGCTACTTTAGGATGAGCTAGAGAGTTGTACTAGAATAGAATTTTTTTTGGTTTATTATTATTTTTTCATCCTTCCAGATCGTACTTCATCATTCAACGCCTCCTAACCTCCACCCTCGCCGATGGATCGCTCAACATCTCAAAACCATAATGAACCACGTAAGGCTGATACCCTCCTCCAGTCGAATATCATAATCAAGTAAGATCTTAGCCACCACAATCTTAGCCTCGTTGGCTGCGAGGAATCTCCCAGGACAAATCGACCGTCCGATCCCAAACGCGACATGTTTGGGACTAGTTGACGATAGAACCGCCGTGGTATCGCCCTGCTCTCGCATTTTCAAAAATCTATATCCATCGTACCTCCTCAGGAGAGGGATACGTCTCTGCGTTCGACCAGGTGGTACATTCCACTGCGACGCTGGTGCCGCAGGGAAGAACCATACCGTTCGGGAGAGTGACCTTATTAATAGTTTTGCGCTCAAGGTTCACTAGATAATTAGCCGTCACATTTCAATAGACATAGGGAAAGAGGGAAAGAATCACCTAGAGCACCAGGTTTCAGCCGTTGAGTCTCCTTGATGACACTATCAAGTAGCTTCATCTTGAACAATCCTGCTGTCGTCCATCCACTTTCCCCGACCGCATTCATAATTTCCTCTCGTAGGGTCTGGATCAGCTCCGAATGCATACATATATCCAAGATAGTCTGTTTAATAAGCTCCGTCGTAGTATGCAATGCACCCATTGCCATACCCAACTGCGCAGCTACGGGGTCGAAAGACCGACCTCTGGCTACCTCCTCCATCCATTCGATACTATCGTCGAATTTCAAACTGCAATTTTCGGCATTTGCGGCTTGTTTCATCGCTGCTCGGCTCTCCAAGACAGGGGTGAGGATGTCATGGGCTCGACGGACTTGGTACCGTGCTCTGCGGCATTCGGGTACTACCCAGTGGATGACAGGACGAAGGAAGCCGGGCCAGTGGCGCAGAGCGCGCACGCTGTAGAAGAATGTGAGGGTGTAGTTGACGATAATGTCTTGCCATTCTGGGTTGCGAGATAGCTCAGGTCCGACGAAGATACATGATGATATGCGGGCGATGAAATGGATCATGTCCTGGGGAAGTCTATGGGGTGCCAGTCTGGACAATATTAATAGGAATAAAATCGAGGTATATGGTTAGAGGCATACTAGTGCCCTTCGTCCACGTCTTTTCAAGAATTTCGGATATATTGTCGTGCATAATCCGGCAATCTGTACACTTTAAGTGAAAACCCAGGTAGGTGTGAATGTTGAACATACGACTACTCTGATTCAACTTCGTCTTAACCACGTCAATGAGTATATGACTTGGACCATGGATGGCCCTATTCCCATCCATCCCGGGAATATTAACAAAATACTCCTATCATAATGAGCATGGACAACGCGCCTATATTCATCTCACTCACATCGCGAACAAGCTGAGGATGGTCAAGATCCGACAATTCTTCACCCATAAAGTCCAAGACTCGGGAAGTATAACTCGAGATCCAAGAGTGGTGATGATACGGAACGGGCCGTTGAACTGCATATCATTAGTTCCCGTAGTAATAGCAATAACTAGCATGTACCATACCTTTTTGCTCCCCTCCTGAAGGAGGTTTTTCGCGTCTGAAAGAAATACTGCTCGCGCTTTTTTCTTCCTGAAGTCCCCGGGGTAGGCATTGATGGTTGGAAGGTTGGACGTTTGTAACCACTGCAGTGAGAGGAATAGGACTAGTCCTAGTAGAACTGTGATCGCTCCGTAACCTTTTATTACTCCCTGGGGAATCCCAAAGATGTGGTCTTGTGGGTAGTCGGTGTGTTCAGGGGGTGTGTCAAAGAACAGATCCTCTGGGAGTTCGGGGTCCATATTGTATTGCATAGTCTAAGGAACTAGGATATGACGACCGGTATTTATTTAAAATATTAAAATAGTCAAAGCCACGATTAGATCCAAATCATTTGGAATCCATTAAGGTATGTATTCAACATTACAAGTCATAGGAATTTTTAATTTTGCCCATTCTGTCTGCAAGGGATGGATGCTCAACCGATATATTCTTTCATTATTCATGATACTAAACCCGTTCGGGACCCCGCGGAGTTACGAGAACCGTAAGGCAAATCATGTGAAATTCTGGTTCACGGAGTGAGAAAATAATAATAACAAAAAAAAATAAGAATAAAAAAAAACTCACAGAAGGCTCAGTAGGGTTGGCTAGAGTACGGAGCTATGTTGTAGTAGATTGGGTTATGCAGTTCAAATGCTGAAGACCGTAAATATATAGCCCGTATACTGACCTGCATAATTAGTCAGTGGCTTGGTCTTAGAATTTTGTAGGTTTAATTAGATTAAAATGATAATAGCCGTGGAACTAATGCTCTTAGCTTTATCAGACTAGCTAAGTCCAATAAAATAAAAATAAATAAGCTTAGTCTTCTATAACTAACCATTGACAATCCATACCAAACTGACAACTGATTGGAATGATGCATGATCAGATGAACGAAACTACCACCTGACCAACCAACTCAGATGACACCCGCAGATGACTTCTAGAACCCATCTAATATATAAACAAGGCGAGATGACTCGACAATACGCCCCCACTCATAACCACCATACCCATCATGAAGCCAGTCTATATCGTAACACTTTGCCTTCCCCTTGTATCGACCTGGGTGCTCGATCACCGCCAAACAAGATGTATAAACCCCGTCCCTACCTGAATCATGGATCTGACCAGCGCAGCCGCAGCAGGGATGTCGAAAAAGACCCCGTGGTTCACGCTCTGGATATGGGCCAGACGGCTCTCGAGGCAGATAATACCCGTGTGTTGAATATACTCAACTGTTGCTGGAGAGGATCTGAGCTGCTGACTCTAATAAGGCTGTTATACATGCTCACCGCCTTGCTCTCATGCTGTCTGCTGTCATGGGAATTACCCACAGTGCTGTTCAGATGGGGTTTACTGTTATTGCTGCGTGGATTGATTTTATTTCTTCAAATAAGTAGCATTATATAGCGGGCTGTTCATGCTTTTACACATGGAGATAATATCCTCCGGTATGAACACCCTCAGGATATCAAGCAGTCTAGATAAAGGAATCCAGTCCATTGTTCCATGTATAGTTTGCACCGCACGTCCGCTATATAAGACTCGAACGTACAGTTCCGACGTCGATGTCTCCCTGTGGAAAGTCAGTACCTGGAAGAAAAAAGAGGTATAATCGAAACATACCAAACTTCTATAGCGATATTTGACGCCATACCAGGCCACCTAAGTGCGTTTACTCCCAACGCACCCAAAATAGGACCCACATCCCCATCATGAACAAAAAAGTATGGCTATACACCAGTTCGGAATTCCGCCGCTGCACCACCTCCAGCTTCCGCACTATCTCACCGATGAACAGCCCCTCTACAAGCTGGATATATCTCGTCGCGTTGGCATTATATCGCCACCAGTAATTCCATTCCCAGTCACCGGCACGGAAGACCGTGTACGCATCGTCCATTGTTGCGCATCCAGAGCCGTCCAACTGACAGGGCAGCTCGTATCCATTACAAAGACGTGCCTGAAAGTTATCGGCGAAGTGATCGAAGGTAGACATCCAGCTTGATGTATTGGCATCAAAGAGCACAGCGAGACGATTCCGCAGCGACTGCGTCACAGACAGATGCTCCTTCCATTCCGGGGACGATTGATCGTTGACAGCAGTGAACTCTGCGCAGCACAGGGAAACCCACGATCGACCGTGTCGATACCAGAGGCCTGCTGATGTAGCGAGATAGAACCTTTATGGTGTGGCCAGATCCCACGAAGGACTCCACCCGCGGAGCTCTGCGTTAATGGTGAGGAACTGGTGCGTAGCCAGATTTTTGTCCGTGTGATGGTTCAGCGACGATGGGATCAAGCCTAGCTTGTCGCCGTAGACGGCGCGAAGATCCCGACCGTGTTGATAGCCATCAAGCAGGCCCCCGATGGTGAGTTGGGGGTATTGGCATGACCCGTTAACGTACGAGTCTAAGAATGGATTGGTAGGGTCTGAGTAGGCCTGCCCGTAGACCTGCGCAGGGGAAACACCATGAGCTGGAGCGGCGTACAGATGAGCGTGGACTTTGTCGCAGCCAGGGCTGGTTCTGTGGTAATTAGTGAATGTTTTGTCTAAGATATGGAGAAAATACCTCGCCGCCAGGCAGGATATTGTACGGTGTGCGACGTTGGTGACGTTGCAGATACCCAGATAGACCAGACGCGCCGAGACGGAGTTGTTCGCGACCGGACTTGGCAGAGAGTAGGTTTCTGCGCGTGGATGGGGCATGGAGCAGTAATTGTAGACATCGTCATGCGAGTGTGGGCTGGCATGATCCTCAGGCGCGGTGTAGATGCCACCATACGGTCCTAGCGAGGTGTCGGTGATGTAGGTGGTGTGGTTCAGAGGGGATAAAAGGTATCCCTGGAAGCTAGAGCTGGCCTCGAGGCCAAAAGGCAAGAAAGAGAGAAAACATGTCCACCAAGCCCTGATAGATGGAAGACATGGCAGATGTCCCCGTTTTATCTGGATATCATCCTCTAGACTGCCTACTTCGGAGTTTGTCGACGGTAAAGGAGGCGATGTGACTGGGGACACTAGTCCGGGACTTTCACCACTGACGCGACAAGCCGTCCCACGGGGTTGCCAAACAGACGCGATATCTGGAAGCGAGGCGCTGAGTTCATCCACACCGTATATTATTATAAGACAAAGATCCATGATAAATTAGTATCCATCTGAATCTACACCGTGCATGGTATGTCCATGTGGAACATCACCAATCCCCGCATATCCTCTCGCCGATGGTCGGTCAACTGTCCGGACTGGGATGCCCCGGATTCATTTCATTCTATAGTTATAGTAAGTGTCTACAGAAAACCCAGAAAAATTGCCTAAAAAGAGCAACTAGACTATATATATGGAAAGTTTATAATAGTAGATGTCAAGACAAGACCATTCAACCAACTGAAAACCAGGCTCCTAGTGAAGCCATAATAGATAGTCATATAGGAAGCTTCAACAATAAATGTACATAGTCTTTAAAAAGACAAGCTTGTCTAAGTTATCTCTTGAAGCATTGGTAGGAGCTGGTCGTGTATAATGCCTTTCAGTGTATCTGAATACTTAGACAATATAATTAGACCAAATACAAAATTAGTGTTAATACAGATCTGTTGGTGCTTTTTGTAGACAAATGTTGTTATGCTGTAACTCCCAAAGTTTCTTTACCCGACCATCCCTGCCATGCTGACGTGAATAATGAGAACAATCCTCGTCTGTTGATTGCTAGTCCATATCCAATGTTGAGCATCTTCTGAGAGTTGACTGAGTGACTCAGGCACACCGATTTATTTTGGAATCACTGAGGTGTGGATTGTGTCAAGATACTTAATCGAGATGTGTTTGACTTTTGGCTGTCGACAACTTGTGTGAGTTTGGCACTCAAGAATGCTATTGTTCCTCCAAAGCAGGTCAAAGTATTCTTGGTTCGTTTGTGTTTAATTTCGTCGAGGATCACGCCGGTTCCATTTATATGACGGAACGAATCTTCGACAAATATAGTCGGCCGTCCAATTCCTTGCTTGGTATTCGAGGAATGGAAAATTCATCAGGCACCTTGTGTGACCTATATTCTAAAAGAGTCCGGAGCTGATAGACCAAAACCGCCCATACGGAGGCCAACACTCACACAGTGCATGAGAAAAGTTGTACAGAACAGTGTGGATACTGCACTCTGAGCTGGGCAGGCGAATTTGATAATTAGAACGGTCTCAGCTCTCTCATAATATGAGATATATTCTCTAGTTCCGATAAACCCATTCGATAAAGCATGGGGTGATTGAATAGGCTGCATCCTGAAGAGAGAATATGCCAAAAAGTCACCATTTCGCGGAAGGATACTGTATTGCACGACAATTTTCAGATGAGATGCTGCAGGCAACATCATAGATTCTGGTGCCAGGACAATTTGATATTTAGCAACCTAGTCATGTAATTGTTATGGAAGGAACCCGCAGAATAGAAAGGCATACCAAATAAATTCCAAAAGTGATCAAGGCTACTAATTAGCCAGGTAAATCTCTGAATTATTGAAAAGATGTATTGCTTAATGCGGAGGTGTATTCCGGATTGAATATCATATAAATAAGATAATAAATGGTGTAGAGGTAAGCAAGAGGTTATATGCGGGCAGGAAGGACGGTTAGAGTTAGGAGCAGGTAGGAGCAATTTATAAGGGAAAGGAAGTTGAATGTAAATAATAGAGAATAAATGAACGGAATAACGGCCAGGTGAATTGTCATGCATAATCAATAAATTGAATTTCTTAGAGCAATGATGTCCTAACTAGGCTGTGAATGCTGCCCTTAATATCCAGTAGCCAAATAGCAGAAGTATTACCCCCATTTTGTTCACATCTCCTAGTTATGTATCAGCGGAACTAGTCAAGTCCAAAGGAAGTCGAGTAATAATCATCCATTGCTTGGTAGATTAATGGGTGATTTGACAGCGCGACTTCAAGCTCAGGAGCAATGACTTGTTCTACATAGTGGGAGGTCTGGATTGACTGTGTGCAGGAAATTGTTCTGCCCAACCCCTCTGAGAGATATTGAGTATATATATTTCACATAATGTCCCGATCTGGACTATTCTGACAAGACTCTGTATGCACGGCAGCGAATCACTACATTTGAATATTAACCCTTTTTTCTTTCAGGTGGATTCGGCTATGGGACGCTTTCAACAATATCAACATGCTCAGTCGCTCTCTACAAATTAGCAATGAAAGATAGATATCTTAAATAACAAAGAGCTGGATTGTGGAGATAAGGCACAACACAGATTAATTGATTGGTCAATTCCCCTCATAGCCAATCATTTTATTCGGCTCTGGTTCCCCACTGCAACTCTAATTCTGACAGGTCTACTTGCATTCCCACATCGTATCTGGACACATGACCACGCAGCCTGTTCAGAATTAAAACCTGGAGTAGTGTATCTCCATTCTAGTCCTCAACAGCACACTATGTCTATTCAAATGGCTTCGCTCTATCTTCCGCCTCACCTCTCTCCGAAACGCGTTCCAGCCAGTGCCCTGGAGTCGGGCTGGTCATCGCAGTATAGCATCAGAAGCACGAAAGGAGTTTTTTGTATTGTTCCCGACAAGCCCAATTCTATTGAGATACGGAAACAGGTTCGACCGTGAGTGCCCTGTCTATCGTCTACTGCCAGCTTTGAATAATAATGCACAGGAAACACCTCGAAGCAGCGAAAGGACTTGTAGCATCTGGAAAACTTGTCGTAGGCGGTGAATTTCCCCTTTTTCTTCTTCGGTGAAGATTAATATTACCAGTAGCTAACACTAGATAGGGCTATGCTTGAGTCTCATCCCATGGAGGGACAGTCGATGTCGTTCAAGGGTAGTATGCTCATTTATACCGGACGCAGCTTGAAGATGTCCAGGAGATGATGATGAGTGATGTATATACAACAAGTGGTGTTTGGGATGTTGAGAAAGCCCAGATTATTCCGGTGTGTTCTCGAGAATTTACAAGTCTGATTGTCGTTTAATATGCTAACGGTAATTAGTTTGTTTCTGCTATTCGCGAAGCACTTTCGTGATTCTTCTGATGGCTCTGAGTTTCTCTAAGCATTTGATAGTATTAGTGCTTGTGCTGTGGATCCCTACTGTGCATATATTTGTCCAGCTTTGCTGTTTCCTGAATCCAAGTAAATAAACGGTGGAGAAGCAGCCCATGCAATGAACCTTATCCTACAGTCCATGAACTGGAAGAATATAATTAAATACCTCAGGGAATCATCTTGAGATCGCATTGGCATAGCACGTATAAATCGATGGCTATTAACTCACCATCAGGTGGTGGACCCGAGCCTCGGGTCGCGGAACCGACAAAAGTCCTATAAATGCGCTGCCGGAACAGAATTAAATCCGTAATCACGATCCGCCAATGTTTATTGTTGGGTTTTCGTCCTGACTGGGCAGAGGCAAGGATACGTATCGGAATCTGAAAGAAACGGAGAATGTGTCCTCAACACGGTTTCGAGAACATGATCGTGGCCGTGAATGTGGCGTCGATCGATGCGCCGTATGGGGTGTCGGAATGGGACATATTAGGCCTTTATAAGGCGCCCACCACGACCGTCAAACCAGCCAGGGTCCAGGATCTGTGTTCTCGATCGAGGGCAAAGTGGTCGACATCAAGGAATTCACCGATCATGTACAACCCGGCATGAGTATTGCTTCGTTGGTGCTTATCAAGGAACTCGGTTTTGGGTTCAGGAGGACGCGATCAACAAGGAGGGTAGCCACATTGATCTTGACAAGCTGCGTCCCTTTGGGGTCAGCTTGAGGGATGTCATACGGTCGCATCACGTCGACATTTGAGTTACCCCGGAAACAATGGCAGATGAACAAGCGAATAGTGAGCTTCTGACTCGGTTGGATGGGTCGAGAATGAATAGATGATGTCTGCTTGTGGTGTGAATAATTTTTTTTTTTTTTTTTTACATCTCGCATTAGCTGCCACATATTTGGCATTGGGTGCGGTATTTGTGATTGGAATAGACCTGGATATATTGTTTTAGAGTTGCAAATATTTTTCTTATGTATCTTTATGACTATGGAATATACTCGTGGTTATCTCGGTCAAAATAAGGTAAAAATAAAGTAAGACGCTCCGTCCAAAAAAAAATTAAAAAATTAAAATAAAATGAAATGAAAACAAAAGATGGACAATTGGTTTCTAGTTATGTGGTAGGGACTGGCGATCATCTCGGCGTACCCGGATACTGAACTTTCAAATACCTGATTGATTGCATAGCAAACAATAGCGCTTATTAGGCCATATCAATTGGCTGTTATTCCGTTGGGCATCTTTTTCCAGACAGATCTTTTAAACAGTCTCTCCTGCGTCTCCTATATGCGTTATTTAACTGCGGCCCGATGTAGCCCCCGAACCCTCTGTAGTTTTATGGCGTGATGTCGTTGGAAGGGCGCGCAGCATGACGGCTAACAGCGTTATGATGAGATACTTAAATTCCTTATCTATGTAGTTGTATCTCTTTTTCTTTTCCATCTTGAAGAAAGCAACTTCTACTAGAAATGGCGGAGCAAAATCGAGCGCCAGCGGACAGTATCACAGTCATCCACGCTATTGAGGTAGATGCTGGACCATCCCAAGAGATCTCCCCTAATGAGAGCCCCGTCGAGGCTCATGATCTCCCAGAACACCTAAAATTCCGCACAAAGCTCCGTCTCGCCGCTATCCTAGTCGCAATCTATGTACAGCACCCCAGTCCGAGCCACAATGGCCCAAGTGACTAAACCCTCTAGCTCGTTCTCTTCGTCGCAGCATTCGATCAAACTATCATTGCAACATCCATCCCAACGATATCCGCCTCTCTGCACTCCGCCTCGGGCTACACATGGATCGGTGGTGCGTACTTGCTGGCCAACACCGCGGCCGGTCCACTCTGGGCGAAATGCAGCGATATTTGGGGTCGCAAGCTTGCCCTCCTATCAGGAGTTGCCATCTTCGCCGCAGCTAGTATAATCGCAGCGATGAGTACAAGCATGGCGATGCTCATCACTGCGCGAGCGCTACAGGGCACGGCAGCCGGTGGCCTAGGCCAGATGGTGACGATTACAATCTCGGACGTCTTCAGTATGCGCAACCGAGCATTGTTTCTCGGCTTACTCGGCGTGATGTGGGCAGTCGCAGGGTCGACTGACCACTAATTGGGGTGCATTCACACAGTATGTCAGTTGGCGGTGGTGTTTCTGGATTAATCTGCCAGTCTGTGGATTTGCGTTTGCTCTTTAATTTTTTTCTTTGACGTGCATAACCCTCGCACGAAGCTAAGCGATGGAGTTAAAGCTGTGGACTGGTTTGGCACGTTCTCCATTTTCGGTGTTACCCTTCTCCTTCTCGGATTAGACTTCGGCGGCGCAATATTCCCCTGAACAGTCCGAAGGTTATCTGCTTGATTGTGGTTGGAACACTCATGATCGCGTTCTTCCTCTTCAGTGAAAACGCCCAGCCAAGTATCCCCTGATGCTACTCGGGCTTGTTCAAGAACTGGTCCAATAACGCGGCCTTTTGGCTGCATCGGCGCACAGCATGGTCTCCATGGGCGTGAAGTATTACCTCCCGCTGTACTTCCAAAGTGTGAAGCAAGCCTCGCCTCTGCGAAGTGGTATTCTAATCCTACTAACTATGGTCATAGAAGCGACCATGGATATCATAGTTGGTATTCTGATCCGGCAGACAGGTCGATACAAGGAGATCATCTGGGCTGGAGTTATAATCATGACGATGGGAACAGGACTATTCATCAGCCTCCAAACTGACACACCCATAGCCAGTATTATCGGGTTCCAAATCGCCAGCGGCATCGGCATTGCATTTTTATTCCAGTTACCCATGATCGCGGTTCAAAACACCGTCAGCCAGGCCGACACGGCAACAGCAACGGCGACATTGGGTTTCTTCCGAACCTAGCCACATCATTGTCCATTGTACTGGGTGGTGAAGTATTCCAGAAAAGCATGACAACACGACAGTCCTTCCTGATTGACGCAGGTGTCAGCGAACCTGTCCGCCAGGCCTTATCCGGTAGGCAAGCAGCGGCACATGTGGACATCGGCAAGACCATACAGGACCCAGTGCAGCGTCATGCAGTGCAGGACGCTTTTGTATGGAGTATCAGGAATATGCTTATTATGTATACCTGCATCGCGGGATTGCGATGATAGCGAGCGCTTTTATGAAGCAACTGAAGCTGAGGACCGAATACACAGAGACGAAAAACGGGAGCCCAGCAGTTGACGAAGTAGGAGACTACAATGTGAGACTGGAAGATTGGGAATAATCGTTGACTATAAGAATACGGAATTATACTCTGTACTTTGTGCCTGGAAAGCGTCTGCTACCATATGGAGTCTAGACCCACTGGCTGGATGATCTGCAGAACGCGTGTCTTGTGCGCAGTGCAGTCTCAATACATTTTTTTTTTTTTTTTTAGATCCATTAACTATGGGCTGCATAGTTTAGTCAGGGTCTGCTTTTAATCTGTCTTTATAGGTCTTGCGTAACATTGTTGCGTTGTTGTAACCCACAGCTAGTGCATTACAGGGATGATGCACTGCCCTAAGCACTCCTTATAATTACTATCTAGTTTTGGAAACGAAATGAAGCTTAAGTGACACATGAATGGCAGGAAATAGTCAGAAGCTTGACTTAATTTTACCTAGGCCTCTCTGAGCGTCTTTGACATTTTATGTCTCATCTCTATCCTGATTTAGCGGCTTTACAACTTTACACTCGGCCATAAAACTAAGCCCAATATAACACATAATACTTTAGAGACTATTAGTGTAATCTCGTTGGTGGTAACACTGCCCGATCAGGTCAGGCGCATCACTGAGTGAGCCTGGAGCAGGCCTTGAGCGCCGCAGTCTGCTCACTGAGTGGGCAGTGAGCGTTCACGGAGCAGCCTGAGCCAATCACCCCACCCAGCGCCACCTCTCAGTCCCACTCGCCGCTTTTGAGATTTCTATAAGAATCTCGCCCCTCTCCCGACCAGTTCAACACACTTCTCCTTCCCAAACGTCCCCTTTCCACTCCTGCGAGCTCACTCACGCCGCAGCTAACCGCGCTGCTGCCTAACACTGCACCCTTCAGGCAGACCGATGACCCCAGAAATGACGTGGCCTTGAGAGGCGATGTCACCATGGCTGTCTGTACGAGTCACTATTTGTCCGTACACGTACTAGCCCCATCTACCACGCACTTTGCACGGTTTCCTTCACATTTTGTCCCATTCCTGCCGCTTCCACAAAGGTCCAGACCTGGATACACGAACGAAGTTGATTTTGTCGAATTCCCCGCCTCCCTCGTGATCGACCCTCAGGCTAACCTCGGCATTGCTGTGCTCGATGGGTAATCGCCCGACACAGCCCATCACGCGCGTTCCTGGACGTCAGGGATAATCGGCGTTTGTTGACTGATTCCGTATGGGAGATGTTATTACTCCTTTCTTTCTTACATTTTTTTTCAGAAGAAAAAAGGAGGGAGAAAGCAAGGGTCTACAAGCATGGTTTACCGATCATTTTGGGACTTGGGTAGTGCCCCAATAATCGTGATCATGTCTTGGCTATGTTAAAAACGGATATCGATCAGTCCGGCCGCACCAGTCGCGTCATCCTCATCGAGCCTGCTTGGACTAAACAGTTATGCAGTTAGCTGTGGGTATTGCCGCCTAGCATAATATATACGTCGGGAGTGATGTCTCTGCAGGCTAAAAGAAACCCTTTCATTTGATGCATTACCAGTGGGGTTACAGTCAATGACTGGTTAGGAACAGCCGACATTTGTATTATCACCGCTGGTATCGGAGCGAGTTGTACACATAACATCTGACATTGACTGCGCCAGCCGGTGACAATGTTATCGTTCTTAAAACGGTGCGGGAACAGAGCCCACTAACACTGGCATAATTGGGAACCTGATTCGCACAAGTTATGGCCCAGCTGGGGAGTCAATCTCTTCGTCAGATCGGTCAGTCAAGTCCTCAACTGGCTCTCACTCTGGCCTACGGCAACAGGCACAGTGGCATTTCCAGAGTCGATCATTTCTAGAAAACACTCTATGCCACTCTCCACTATCCTAAACGTTGGCCACTACCTTGTCGCAATATAGGGCTTCGCTGGTGCTGCACACCCCAACCGCCAAGACAGAAAACAGCAGGAGTTTAATAAGTTGGTATAGTTCCATTTTCCACGAGTTGGCGGAACTGCTCTGAAGCCTGAAGGGCCGTTTCGATGCCGCTATCTTCTAAGCGTAGTCGATCTTCAACCTCCTCGGGCGTATTGTTCAAAATCTCAGCCAAAAGTCTGATTGTGATAATCACAGACCCAAACCCCTTAACTAATAGTTTCACAACTGGTTGACCCTGTTGGGGTGGCATTAAGTTGCTGTAATTTTCGAACTCGAACCAAGTCGACGTCCTAGGTCCTGTCTCTCTCCAAAGTGTCACTTAATATTCGCCGAAATAACATGGGCACTTTTCTTACCTGCGTTAAGAATTTTACCTCTAAACACTTCAGATTAATTATTATGCAAGATCTGGTGGGCTTCTACAGTGGAGAGCACGCGATTCAGGGTCTTTATAACTCAGGTTTCGTGGTACTTTTTCTTGTATATGAGGCATTTTAGACCATAGGCAGGTATTATTACGCGTCATCCATTAAAGGCTATGCCTAAGATTACCTTCATATCATCCAAGGAATTACATATATAATAGCACTTTTTATAAGCCTAATATCTTAACATGTCAATAGGGCCTAAATCTATCATATATAATAATACAATGGCATATATATATATACTAAGCCTGATCCTTGTAGGATTTCCAGTTCATTATATTTCTGTCAGGGCTGAACCCGTAGAACCTATGGGATAGGTTATGTACAAAAAGGAATCGTTGAAGAAGGGAAGAAAGGAAGAGGAAGATGAGCGGTAAACAAACAACGTTGAAAATCACGTGATATGGATCCAGGGCCGATGGCCCAAAGGTCACCAAAAGCGGACAGTAGGGACAGCAGGGACAATAAGGATAATAGGGATATTGGCCCGAGAGGTCAAATGGGCTCCAGCCCGTTACAATGTCAAAAATACATTTAAATACAGTGGCATTTAAAATAATCTTGTATTATATGTCTATAAAAATCTTAAAAATTGTGATAAATCTACTTGGCCGGGTAGATCAACCAACAGGTCAGCTAGGTAAGATAGTAGAAGGAAATATCACTATATCTTATGCCAAGATATATTAAAATTAATCTTTGATCTCTTCTTCGAATAGATCAAGATAATATATAGAACGCCCACAGATAAGGTAACGATACAGTCCATGAGATCATGACAATACATCAACGCGTCATTAAGATACTACCATAGCTTTGCGTCACTCGGCTTATCGATAAGGATTCAGGATTGAGCCTGGCCGATTCTCGGCCTATCCTTCACAAAAATTCTAATTAAATTTTATTAGCATTCTAAAATATTCATATATCAAGGAATATTTCTATTTTTATTATACTCTATGTTGTTAAAATATTAATGTAAAGGGCTGGAGCTCCTTTGACCTCTCGGGCTAATTACCCCGTTGTCCCCTTTGTCCCCTATTGTCCCGTCCCTACGGGGGCCCTTTTTGGCCCTTTTGGCCCCATGGCCCTCGAGGACCCATATCACGTGACTTTTCATTTTCCACTTTCTTCCTTGATTCCTTTTTGTACATAGCCTATCTTATGAGTTCTACGGGTTCAGCCCCTGACAATTAAGGTCATAAAAGTGTTAATTTATACGCAGACAGAGGCGTGTAGCTCGGTGGTCTGCGCAGCTCGGTGGTTGGTCACGTTAAAAGGACGTAGTTACGTAAAAAAAAAAAAAAAAATAAAAATCTTTCTAGACCCACAAGTCCAGGAACGGAGGTAAATGCCAATGTGTCATGCCAAGGACCAATCGCTATCAATTTACTGGGTTCAGCAAGTACACAGCCTCAGGAAACAGCAGATACTGGCAACAGCTTAGGCGTTGGATTGAATGTAAATAAGTCATGCGGAGTACGTAGTAATAAAATAATGAAGCGAACCTATTGGTATTCATAGTCTCATGATATAGAGGATCGAATTGAAGTCTTGGAGGATGTTATGCGTGGGGGTCGGTAACGAGCTGAATGGGGCGCTACGGTGCGAAAGGGAGTGTCTATATAGGAGAGAAGATAGAGCCACGTATATTGTAGAATCCAATCGCTGGCCTTCAAGAGTTCAGGCCCGCGGGTGCGAATATAAACACTTCGCACCTGACTAAGCATCTTAGCTAAGGATCTAGCTATCGCGCTTCCGAGCGCTCCTAACACTATCTTCCTCTCCAAGAGGCTTCGCCCTCGAAGCCTTAAAGACTGTAGTATGAATATATGCGTTATGATGGGTAATGTGTTATAGATTCCAATCCCTTTGAGTCCTTCCCATAATGGTTTGTGCGGTTGATCGATGTTTGGTACGATGTCTTGAGCTTGGGTGAGTGTAGGTGTGTTTTCGCAGGTAGTCGCTCCATGGCAACAGTTCTGCTTCATTCACTGCAGTTTTTCGCCCGTTTGAGCTTAGTTCTGTTGTTGACGCTGAGCTTTTTGCTTCCTCTCTCTCTTCTTTTTTTTCTCCTCTTCTCTTCTCAAACCACCAAACTTTTTGCGGTACGTGCGCACTCTTCTGCCTCAGCTAATAAGGGTAACGGCTCCTCCAGCGCTTTCTCGCATGTTTTGAGCTTACTAATATGGGTGTTTTTCGCAGATGGCTCGCCGCAAAGCTTCGTCGCCTCCATCGGGAGAATCCGCCCCACGACGCCGTCGCCTTCTCCGTGGAGTTCGTCCTCGTTCATCCTCTGAAGACGATGTCGTTTTCACACCTGCGCCCCCGCTCGGTTTCGCCGGAATGGGAGGGATTTCCATCCTCCCTGCTTCGGCGGAGCCGGACGGAGTCGAATCGCCCTCTCCGGACGTGTCTGGTAAGTCCGGTGCGTTTATGTAAGGTAATATTGCTAATTTGTGCGAAAGTTTCATCGCCCCTTTGTCTCCATCGGCGGCTTCGGTCGTCCAGGTGCAGACTACCCCTGCGCCGGTCCATGTTGATACGAATGGTTTGCCTTTGGCCCAGGGGGTAGTCCCTGGTGCCACCGTTGCCTTGTTCGTTTGGAGCGAGATGCTGCGTCAGCGTGTGTTTCTTGCCAGGTCGTTTAAACTGTGTTTATTGTACTGGCCAGCGACACCCTTTGTGTCGCTCCGGAGGTTGCCGCTGGTCCTTTGGCTGTTTCTATGGTTACTGAACATCGCACGTTTGTTGACTTCCCCAGTTCGTCGCCCTGCTGCGCAGGAGAGGGCGGCTGGGCTGGTAAGGGAGTATAGACGTGCGGTTCGAAAACCCTCGAATACCACGCGTGGATAGCAGTACATCTGTGCCTGTCCCTGAACGCACTCCATCGCATTCGCCCATGGCTCCTGTTCCTGCGACTCCCAGTCGCCTGGGTCGTTTTGTTGATGCGGTCCTTTCCCCTTCAAGGGTTGAGTTGTCTCTTTGGGTGGGAGGTCGGTGTTATTGGGCCGTTGCGCCATCTTGTCTTAGTTAAATAGAATGCTATTTTCCTTTTAGCCATGTAGCGCGTACGTCGTCGGGTAACAGGTGCTGTATTAGTAAGCCAGATGTCCAGGGCTTCAGTGTCTTCGACGTGCGATCTTGGTTCCCAGGTATCGTCATCAGGTGGATAGCCCTTCCATCGCACCAAATAGCTTATGTTACCACTCTTGTCGCGTTTTTCCTCCAGAATTTGATCAACTTCCCACCCTCTTCGCCATTAATTGGTATTGGCGGGGTCGGCTCCATTGACCCGGTCGTTCATGGTATGGCTCCAACAAAGACACGTGGAAAACGGGATGCAGACGGCGATATTTTGGTGGTAGCTGAAGCTTGTACGATTGGTTTCCCATGCATCAATAATGGAAAATGGGCCTAGCTGGCGGTGGTCTAATTTCGCATTAGGTCGCACTGTAGAGACATTCTTCGCCCGTAGCATGACTTGATCACCAATCTTGAATTGTCTGTCGATCCGACGCTTATTATATTGCCTTGCCATGGCTTTTTGCGCCTTTTCAAGCGCATCCTGACCAAGGATCGCTTTTCCTTGAGCTGTGTTGCGCGCTCCAACGCTGCTGGCGCATGGCCAGTGGGATCAGGATCGACATTGATTCTCAGGTTAGGACGAAGCCCATCAATGCTTCATGTGGGCTTGTCTTTGTGGATGAATGAATCGCAGCATTATATGTAACTTGTGCCATTGGCAGCCAGTCAACCCAATCATCTTGCAAGAAACTCGCATAGGCTCGCAGGTAATACTCTAATGTTTGGTTTTGGCGTTCTGTCTGACCATCTGTCTGCGGATGAAACGCAGTAGACAGTTTCCGCTTCGATCCTAGGGCAATAGCACAGTGTCGACCAGTAGCTACTGGTAAACAGCGAGCCCCTGTCCGACACCCATCGCTTTGGATTACCAAACATGGGTACCACCTTTGATAAACCAAATGTGCGAGTTCTGGCGCCGAGATATCCTTATTGCAAGGAATATAAAGTGCGAACTTTGTTAGGGCATCCACAACCACTAATATCGCATCATAACTCCCCTGTGCCCCCTGGGCTGGCAGATATACTCGGTGAACTGGGCGGTAGTCCAGTAATAAAAATCAAGAGTCAGCACTTCCCCAGGCTGCTCTGGCACCGGCAAAGGCTCCAGCTTGCCATAAGGTGCGTGTCTATGCACTTGAATTCTTTGACAAATATCGCAGGTTTTCACATAATCCAGCACATCGCCACGCATACCATGCCAATAGTATTTGCGTTCGACGGCTTCCAAGGTGCGTTTTCCTCTAAAATGTCCTCCCCTGAGGATCATCATGATTTGCTTTCATAATTTCATGTGTTACCGCAGGAATTCTGGGTACATAAACGCGACCTTGGTACCTGAGTAGGCCATTTTCGCCAATTCCCCAGGCCGGACTGCCATAGTCCCCAGCTTGCGATCAACTTTTCGCTTAATATCGCGTACCTCGCGATTCTCTTGGTGCAATTTGCACAAATAGTCCACCATGGACTCCTCAATGCTGGAGTAAGCTGATTCGGATCCAATACCTTGCGGACATAGATCCGTGGCACCCAGGTGTCTAGAATTCTGGTAACGCCGGCAGCACAGTCCTCATCCACGGGTGCGTTCTTATCCACGTGGGCATGCATACTCCCATGGAGATATGCGCATCAGAGCTCATTTTATTTAATTGTTTGGACCCGCCTTCGGTGTCCAGCGCCATTATTCCCGCCCATGCGGTTTTTAACTCATTGGGTGCGTCATCCCAATGACTTTGCCCATGGCCAATTTCAACTTTGATCGCAATGTGGGAAGCAGTGACGCATCACTTACTTCATCTGCGCTCGGCAGATAATCTGGCCTTCTACTTGGCGCATCTGCAGGGTTCTTTACCCCAGGTCGGTGCTCAATATGAAAATCGAACGCGCTCAGAACTCGACCCATCTCGCCTGACGTCCATTAAGCCGCTTCAATGTGGGCCGCATGAAACCGCTTAGGTTGGCATGGTCAGACTTCACCACTATTGGCTCCCCGCCCTTCGAGGTAATGTCGCCAAACTTTGAATGCTTCAATGATCGCTAACAACTCTTGGTCATGCGTATCATACCTGCGTTCAGAATCGGTCATCTTTCGTGAGAAAATGCCACAGGATGCCACTCGTTATCATCCTGTAATTGGGAGATTATCGCACTTATAGCGAAACCAGACGCATCTGTCTCTACCCTGGTCCTATTCCTAGGGTCATAATGAGATAGCAATGGTGCGCTCGAAAACGCACTTTTTAGTTTATTAAACGCAACTCTTGCGTCCTCAGGCAGCTCAAGGCGCTGGTTCAAGAACCATTGCCTTTTGCTCCTCCCCCTTGCTCCCCTCGGGTGAGCTGGGTCAGCGGCAATGCAATGCGGGAATAACCCTCAATAAAACGCCTGTAAAAATTTGCAAATCCCAGGAATATCATGATCTCTCGCACGGTTGTTGGCTCCGGCCAAGCCTGGATGGTAGCCACACGGCTTTCCTCCATCTGAATGCCCGAAGGCGTGATATAAATCCCAGGTATTCCACACTTTTCACATGAAATGAGCATTTGCTCAGCTTGGCGTATAGCCCGAATTGTCGCAGTCTCTCCAAAACTGCGGTAACATGCTCACATGTTCCTCCTCACTCTGCGAGTATATAAGAATGTCATCCAGATAAACAACACAGCAATGGTCTAGTAGGTTGCTTAATGCGCGATTAATATAGGACTGGAACGTAGCTGGGGCGTTGGCTAGCCCGAATGGCATGACAGTGTATTCGAAGTGACCATATCTTGTGCGAAATGCAGTTTTCCATTCATCCCCTTTTTAATTCGGATGCGGTGATACGCGTCTCTCAGGTCAAGTTTGGTATATATCTTAGTACAGCCAAGCGATCCATAGTCTCGCTAACAAGTGGTAAGGGTAACGATTTTGACAGTAATCCTCGTTCAAACCGCGGTAATCCACACAGAGTCGCAGTGTTCCGTCGGACTTCGGTACAAAGATAATAGGTGCGCCAGCTGGGCTTTTCGAGGGACGAATCCATCCCTTTCTAGCGCTGCTTCAATATATCTGCGCAGAACTGCGAGCTCACTTTCGGACAAGGGGTAAATTGGTCGGTATGGGGGTTCCTTTCCCGGTTGTATATCAATTGCATGGTCGTGGTCTGCATGCGCAGGTAGAATCCCTGCATTTTCCTCCGAAAAGACATCTTCGAACTCCTTTGTAGATTGCGGGTATTCGCACTCCTTCGCCGATTGTCGCAGAACCCACACGGATTTCGACCTGGTTATTTTCGGTTGTGGATACGTACGCTGCGTAGACTTGTTTTCCTCTCTTAAAGTGCGATTCACCTCTGCTTCGTTGATTATCTCGACTTCTTTCTCCGGAGGTATTTTCCGGTATTCCCATGTTCCTAGTTCCCAGTCGACGTTTGGGTTCGCCTCTCTCAACCAAGGGTATCCTAGAATCGCATCATAATGGTCCATATCAACCACATCGAATGTTCTTTCAATCGTTCTACGAACACCGTGGCAATCTTGGGTGGTTGCCCTCAGCCTGTAGCGTCCGTAGCAACGGATGCGGTGACCATCTAGGGCCACTATCCTCCGCGGGCCTATTGCAGGCTCCGGGAGGTGCGCATCTGCGAACCTTCGGCTGATAAGAAGGGCTTGACACCCCGAGTCGATTAACGCACAAGTTGGAATAGTGCGCTCTTGTGCTTGCAGCTCAACCATAGTCTCAATGGCATTATCTTTTGGATTTTCTTCCTCTAGGCCCAGAGCCGCAGCTGCTCGCATCACTGGGCCACCTAGTTTTTGCCTGGTTGTCGTCCCTTCTCGCACGTTTGGGACATTGAGGCGCAATATGTCCCTTTTCTCCGCAGACATAGCATTCAATATCAGGGTTATGCGACTGCTGTCGCTTATGACCTTTGGGACCTATTAGAGTTTCCTCTAAAGGCGCGATTGTTGCCTCTCCATGGCTTTGTCTGGGCCCCGTTGACTGGAAGGTTGTTGTCTTTCCGTGTTGCCTGGGTCGTCGTCCGGTGTCGCATAGCTAAGCTGTGTTGGCTTCTCCTATTCTTCGCTTGCGATATTTCCTTGCGTCGACCCGGTATGGAATCTTCAATTGTTTGGAGGTGGGCGATATAGCCTTCATATGTCTCTGGTTCGTTGGGGTATTTAAGCGCTTCATGTCGCAGGTCTTGCTTGACTCTTGTCCGGAGGTGATCCTTTCGTTGATTTTCTGTGTATGCTTCTGGGAGCTGAACTTCCCATTGGTTAAGGTAAGCTGCGAATTCCCGCATCGTTTTGCGATCCTGTTGTCTGGCGTCATGGTAGCGTTGGCTCGCATCTCTTCGCAGGTTAACAGGGTCGTTTAATTGGCGTAGTAGAAATTTGCGAAAGTCCTCCCAGGTAGGTTTATCGGCGACTTCCTCCTCGTGTTGCCTCCATAGGCGGATAAATGTTGCGCATAGATGTGCCGTACCTTCCACCACTTTCGTCGTATCATTAGTAAAGTAGTAGCGATTTCGTTCGAAATGGGTTTCCATGCGTGCGATAAATGTCTGATATTCCTGCATGTTCTTTCCCATGTATTCCGAGACATGTGCTGGGGTGCTGGCGGTTTCAATGCGTGCGTGGGCTCTGGCATAGGCTGGGGTGCGGTTTCTTGTGGTATTCCATGGTCGGGTGTGCTTATATTGATTCTGGCCGCGAAATTGTTGCACTTCGGTTTTCTTGATGCGTTTCTCATAATCGATAAGCTCTTGCAATGCCCTCCTTTTATTTTCCATGCGTAATCTCTTGAGTTCCTGCTTTTGTTGGCGTATCTGGTCCCGGAGTTCGGCAAATTCATTATCCGATGAAGAATCGTTTGTTGTTGTGGACCCAGTAGCCCCTTTTCGAGGGCTATCGCCTTGCAACACAGCTGTTTCCCTCAACTGTTTCTTCAGCTGGGCCCGGATTCATCGAAGCATCAGGTTGTGCTTGGATAGATGCGGTATTCTCTGAGACGGGGTTGACAGAATTCTCGGTGTTTCGGGTGACTTGGGAGCCAGCACGCTGCACGCGTCGAGGTGCCATAGTGCCCTTTCAGCGGGTTACCGTTGGGGTGAGCGATTAGAACTGTTATGCGTGGGGGTCGGTAACGAGCTGAATGGGGCGCTACGGTGCGAAAGGGAGGTCTATATAGGAGAGAAGATAGAGCCACGTATATTGCAGAACTAATCGCTGGCCTTCAAGAGTTCAGGCCCGCGGGTGCGAATATAAACACTTCGCACCTGACTAAGCATCTTAGCTAAGGATCTAGCTATCGCGCTTCCGAGCGCTCCTAACAGAGGATCACGTAGTATTACTCCGTACGGCTATCTGCAACTTATCCTAGCTGAGTATGATGCGATTGGATGGATCGAACAAGCAATTTGCTGTGCAGGTGTCTGAAGAAATACAGCGATTGGCTGATAGGAAGGAGGTAACCAATAGTAAGACAGAGCCTATCAGTTACATGCCGATCTTGTACAGAGTAGGTAATTGAGCCACCACAGGATAGAGGTGGAGAAATATTATATCCACAACCATAGACTGTTTTAGGGGTAATTGAATAACAAAAAGCAGTTCGTCAGGTTAACTATTTAAAGATAAGCAATTCCAAATGTGAATGTAGTCCCATGGTTTGTTTCCCCCACCTCGTTCTGCCTTTTAGTACATTACCCTGATCGGCCTCCGATGGAGAGCTTTTATTTTTCCCGCTGTCAATCCCGTCACGGCATGCATATGAGCTATTTCTTATATTGATTATTCTTATCCGTTGATTCTGCTGCCTGTGTCATCCCATGGACTGTTCTCAACATTTTCTTCTCATTGCTGATGTATGGATACTATCTTTTGAGCTGGCCAAATTTTGGTAGCGGTGATACCCTAGAAAAAATTCTGATTTTGGATTTCATTTTTCTTAGGTCGTCAATATTTTGCCAGTGGCCTGTTAGTGCTTTGAATTTTAAGCTCTACCTACGCAGTGTGTCGTCTTGGTCGATACAGAGTGTATAATGATAGTACGCAAAACTACGGGCGTTCTGGTTGCAGTGGCGCTGCTGGTCATTTTATTTCAGTACTGCATCTCGGGCTGGGCGACTCGTCGCTAGATTCACCCTCATTTTATCATAATGTCTTCAGTCAAATAGAGAATGAGACCGATTATTGGGACTGGGAGACCTCCACTCGCTTCAGGCGCCCGGACACCGCTGCGAAACTCAACGTTAAGAATGATAATATCTGCGACACATTCCCCACTCACCTTCTCTCACGCATTCAAGTAGTTTTGAAGATCGGATCCTCGGAGCCGATGGATCGCCTGACGACCCAGACTTCGACAGTCACTGGTGCATCTCGAACCTTATTATCGTTTCCGACCGCCGGTCCGAGCTGAACGGACACCATGTATATGATATTCTTGCCACACTGCCGGGATCATACCATGAGAGCTCCGAGGACTTTCAAGCATACGATTTGATGCAGAGGGGTAAGTCAATCGATGCGGCCCAAGGTTGGCGACTCGATCGCTTTAAGTTCCTCCCCATGGTTGAATTTCTCGTATGAAATGAACCCGACTGCCGAATGGTTTGTCTTCCTCGAGTCTGATACCTACTTTGTATGGGATAATTTGTTCCGTCTTCTGGACCACTTTGATCCGTCAGTTCCTTTGTACTTTTGGATCCCCGTCACCGGGGAAAGAAGACCGCGGCAAGAGAACTTTTTTGCCTATGGTGGGGCAGGATTCGTACTTTCGGCAGCTGCAATTGACAAGTTGGTTGCTCGGAAAATCGGGTCGCATGGCGAATATATCGAGTCGCCGTTGAGCAAGCGGTATGAAGAGCTGCTGAAGGCTGATCCTTGCGGGGATTCGGTACTGGGGTGGGCACTGCATGAGAGAGGAGTGCAGCTGTCAGGGCTTTGGCCTATGTTTAACCCTCATCCTCTCCACGGGATCCCATTCGACAATGCATATTGGTGTCAGCCTGTTATCAGCATGCATAAGTCGTTGCTGGCAGATATGGAGGCGTTGGTGAAATGGGAGCATAAACGGGATCGAGAGGTATGTAGTGGTACATTTCGATTGAATCATAAACGACTGACTAGACTGTGTAGAAACCTTTACTATACGCCGATTTGTTTGAATACTTGAAATTAGGGGACCATGGAGCGTCAAAATGACTGGGATAATGGAGATTGGGGCGGATTCCAGGAACCCCGGAGTCAGCGGCTCACAAGTCCGTCGAGAACTGTCGGGAAGCATGCCATAAGCACACCGCCCGTCGCTCATACACCTACGACCATGCAGGGCACTGTGTCTTTGTACCAACCATGCGACTCGGAACGGCAAAGCCCGCGACTGCAGACGTGCAGCTATCTGCTGGTTGGGACCTTGAGAAACTCAAGAACTGGAGAGCTACTCACCCCTGCGAGAAGCCATTGTGGGTGAAACCAAGCACAACGCGAATATTTTAGAACGGATGAGTGAAGGGAACGATGATAGACGCTTTACATATGATACCAATAACACAAATGGATTAATATGGATACAGTCGTTAAACTGAGCAACCCCGCGTTGGGGAAAGCTCATTATGATTTTATACTGTACGGAGTAATTCCGTCGCCTTTCATTCGCCCAGCGGAACCAGATTCCGAGCTTGGTCCTCGCAAGGACTTTCCTAATTCGGCAAGAAATACGCCCCCGATAGTACATAAGGAAGTAGAGGACGTCTCGATCTGCCAGAATATACCTACCATAAACATAATTCACTGCAGATAATGGCCCCCATCCGCTTGCAATCCTCACGGAGGAGGAGACCAACATCGCCCGCGATGTTGTCGTCTCATGTCATCCCAACACCGTCATTGACTTTCACGAGATCTACTTGTTGGAACCTCCCAAGGTCCAACTGAGTGAATTTCTCGCGCTAGAGCACGCAGGTCGTCTAAGCCCGACTACCCTCGTCCTGCGCGCATGGCCCTGTGTCAGTACCGTATTATTGGGTCCGATAAGATCCCATCATACGAAGAGGCCGTAATTGACGTGGAAAACCGAAAATGTGTCAAGCACAAGGTTGTGGCGAAACCAAATCACGCAGCCCTCACACTGTATGTCTGAGTCAACGTCGGGGCGAAATACCCCGAGAAAGACTAACTAACATGTCATAGGAGCGAATTTGACATCCTCGTGGAGCGATGCTTTGCCTCCCTCTGTTCAAACAAGCTCTAGCGGAGTTCGACCTTCCTGAAGGCTTCGAAGTTGTCATCGAGCCTTGGCCATACGGTGGATTGACTACCCGATGAGAACCGACGATACTTCCAGGGTTTGTGTTTTGCTCGAGACGCAAGCAAGAAGAATGACGATGCCAATTTCTACTCCTACCCTCTGCCTGTTATCCCTGTAATGGATGCGCACACCCAGGAAATCATCCGGGTTGATCGTCCCGCTACGGGAGGCAAGGGAGAAGGTCTACATGACCAGACATTCAAGAGGGATATTATCGGACACTGCAAAGCATCTGATTATGTACCGAACTGCTGCCCCAAGGCACACGGAAGGATCTGAAGCCGTTGAACGTGGTACAACCTGAAGGGCCGTCATTCCGGGTTACAAACGAATCGCTGGTCGAGTGGCAGAAGTGGAGATTCCGCGTTGGCTTCAATCCCCGTGAAGGAGCCACTATTCATGATGTTTGGTATGATGGACGTAGTGTCATGTACCGGTTGGCTATCAGTGAGATGGTACGAACTGCCTCTTATCAGTATTGATGAATCCATGCTAACCAATGCAGACCGTGCCATATGCCGACCCCGTCCTCCATTCCACCGTAAGCAGGCCTTCGACTTCGGTGACGGCGGTGGTGGAAACATGGCGAATAATCTGTCTATTGGGTGCGATTGCTTGGGTGTCATCAAGTACTTCGACGCCTTCGTGACTCAGTCGGACGGCACGGCAAAGAAGCTACCGAATGCCATCTGCTTGCACGAGGAGGATAACGGAATCGGCTGGAAACACTCCTAATTGGCGCACCGGTCGCGCCGTGGTGACCCGCAACCGGGAACTAATCGTGCAATTTATCATCACGCTGGCCAACTACGAGTACGTGTTTGCCTACAAGTTCGACCTTGCAGGTGGCATCACCGTGGAGTCGCGCGCAACTGGTATCCTGAACGTGGTCAACATCGACGCCGGCAAGGTCAGCGAATACGGCAACGTGGTCAGTGGAGGTGTTTTGGCCCAGAATCATCAACACATCTTCTGCGTTCGCATCGACCCTGCCGTTGATGGTAGCGATAACTCCGTCGTCGTGGAGGAATCGCACCCCGTGCCTATGAACGAAGTCACCAATCCCAACGGCAACTTCTACCAGGTGACGAACGACACTATTCAGCGTGCAGGATGGTTAGACGCCGCCCGGAGTTGAACAGGACAATCAAAATGGTCAACCCGCATCGCATCAACCCGATCAGCGGCAAGCCAGTAGCCTACAAATTCATTCCTCTAGCAACGCAGCTACCGCTAGCAGACCCCAACTCGATCCAGGCCAAGCGCGCTCAGTTCGCGCAGCACCATGTCTGGGACCAAGTACCGCGACTGGGAGCTGTACGCCGGAGGACGGTACACACTGCAAAGTCAGCAGGAGATTGGCGGAGTATCGGATGCGGTTCGACGCGGAGATTCAGTGGACGACACGGACGTGGTGGTGTGGAGTTGCTTCGGAATCACACACACAACCCGCGCGTGGAAGATTGGCCTGTGATGTAAGTTCTCCATACATGCATGAATCTACTATGATTGTAACATTAGACAGGCCTGTTGAGACTTTCCAGCTCATGATCCGACCTTCGGATTTCTTCACGGCGAACCCCAGCGCTGGATGTGCCGTCGGACAAGAACGCCGCATCCAAGGTGGTTGGCGGGGAATGCTGTCGCAATGCACATATGTAGAGGACTACCTTGGCGATTTTTGTAATTTACACTATGATTTACGACTGTACATTGAGATTTGCAAGCGATATTGTACATATCGAGAATGATAGATATCTATCACTCGGAACAGTTCAGCCACGATAACGATAGTGACCACGATAAGATACCGGTACAAGAAAGATAAGCGGGCGTTTCCGCATCCGACCTCGGATCTTCGGAATCTGAAACTCCTCCGCCACGTTGCATTCAACCTGCACCGATTAGACCCCGGAAATTGCTATCCAGTGGAGCTTTGCTCGCATTATGGAGTAATATAATCCATTTTATGGCCCCAGTCAGACCTACCATATGGACATCGGCACGCCAAAACGAGGTGGACACGCGTCGGAACTGCCTCGGAGCAAAAACGAGCCAAATACACCCAGGTTGCCTGGTAAGTGCTGTAGCTTCCCGATCCCCTGCATATCCATGGCTCGCAACTGTGCAAACTAATGAAATTCTAGTAACGAGTGCAAGCGAAGGAAACTTAAAATGCAGCGGAGATCCAATCTGTGCACGATGTGCGCGCGACGATATAGAATGTGTGTACACGCCGAATGCGCATGCGACGAGTAACGCTGTGGAATCTGTAGGAGAGTCCAAGGATGATGGGTATTTAAATAATCCCGGGCAGAATTTTGGTTTATCATCATTGACGTCACGATAGACTCTCGACTCGATTCCGAACAGTCGACTACCAGATTGAAACGCTTCGGCATGAGATGCGCGATGGCCGCTCGTATACGCCGGTTGGAATCCTCATCTAGTGGAAGCGTTGCGAACAGCGCCATTCCCACCTCCGGATCAACTATCTCCACGCCGTCGAATAATGCTGGTCTACAGCGGATTATGAACCGGCCTCAGTCGCCGTCGTATGTTGGCCCCACGAGCGCAGAGTTCGGTCTCATGGCACGTCAAAAGTCTGTCGACGATAGCGATGGGGATGACTTCGCGTCCACTGCAGCGGCTAGTCCTGTCGCGCAGTCGGATACAGAGGCGATGTCGAGCGATCCGCTGGGATGGTTGGGATTGACGGAGGCGCTGCGACTGGTGACGGCGTATGAGAATAGCGTTGGGCTGATGTACCCGTGTGTTGATCTGGATAGTGTACGTGCGTATGTGGCGGAGTATTATCGGACTGATGGTCGGCCGGGACCCGCGTCCCCTGTTGCCGTGGAACAGGACTGGTTCTTTGCGCGAGATGTCGAAGTGTTGAAGATTATCCTGGCTACGGCGTTGTTAGTGGAATCGCATGGACGCAGCGAACGCGCGGCATTTTAGCTGATAGTGTTGAGGATCGGTTTGCGGGGCGGTTGAAGATCGCGGAGGTTGATATGAAGGAACCACTCATTTTAACTTTATTGGTTCGTTAGTCGGGTGGTCTGTGATGAATGTCTGCTAATGTGAGGTGCAGTCGATATTCCACTCGTACCGTGATGACGAGGTTATCTCCTGGCGTCTCATCGGGATGGCTGTCCGTGGATCCATGCAGCTCGGTCTACATTGTCAAGAGACATGGCTGAGAACAGGAGGAGTGTTCCCCGGAGAACTGCAGTGGAGATGGGCTAGCCGGTTATTCTGGTGTATTTACGTACTGGACAGAAAAATGGTCATTTGGTACTGGGTTACCGTTCGCCATCCAGGACTCAGACATGGACACTAATCTTCCTGAGCCGGGCGATTCCACGCCGTACCTGACCTGCATGATTACATATTCGCGATTGAGCACGAAGATCTGGGGACTTGTAGTGGGATGGCGCAGTCGCCTCTCGTTCCGCCACTTCGGGATTATTGCTCCTATCTCGACTTCCAAGTCCAGCAATGGATTCAGTCGATTCCGCGGGAGTTACGTTTCGATCCATCGGAGCGTGGATCAGGCTCTGCCCCTCAAACAGACAACGTGATGATGCTACAGGTTCTGCTTGCCCTCCAGGCAAATCAACTTCGTATCCTCGTGTACCGACAGAACTTGCTATCTGGAGAGAGCATCGAGACCAATGTCTCTGGGGCTTCGGTTGCCGTCGAAACGGCTAAGAGCACCGTCCACATGCTGGACTACTTCTCACGGATTTCGAGATCTATTTCCAGCGTCCAGAGCCGTTCAATTACTTCCTTATTTCTGGCCCTGGCGGCACTATTCCTAGCTGTGTTACATGCTCCTTCACAATTTAGTCAGGTGTGTCGTCCGGAATTCTACGCGGCGGTCAACATGGTTCGAAATCGTCGACCAGGGCCCGGACTTCTAGACGGTTACAGAAGATTATCCGGAGCTTGAAGCTGATCAGGCTGAATCTGCCACCGGGACGAGACGTACCATGCCATCAACGAGAACGAAAACACTCTCAACAGCATCGAATTGCCCAGTCAGCTTCATTACCAACGGCTACCCCTTCGGCCAACCCTGTCTCACAACCGAATCAGCAGCAGCAGAATCCTGCATCTGCGACACCCACACCCGCAGGTAGCGGCATCTCTCTGGTCCTTCTCCCTGCACCTACGATGACCGACGATCATGCTCGAAATGATAATAGCTGCGAGGACCTCACCAGTTTCTTTGAACTAGCGGGTGGTTTATACTTTGATCCTCGAACGGACCGAATGACGGGCTGGCTACGGAGACAGGAACCGAGGGGATTGCATTCCAGGCGGAGGAAGAAGCATTGACGAAGGTCATGGCTGGTTTACTCTAGCGTAGCTAAATACTGCTCTCTGCATTGAAGCCGTAAAATGGTTCATATAGTGCACTGAATATATATAACTTAAATTTTATCCATACTCGAGCTAAACAACAGGCCAGCCGCTTGAGAAATCGATAGTGTTCCATCCAAGGAATTTCTGACCATCTCCATAGCCAATTCTCGTATCGACCTAGTGATAGTACAGGACAGGACCTTTTTCAGGGTCAGTGAACACGCCCCTGGCCAGTTAGCCTTATCTTCACTGTTCTCATAAGGTGAACATACTGTTCTCCAGGTCCATAAATATTCTCCTGACTTTCCAGTACAATCGTTCCCCCTCCATTCGTGCACGCGATATCATTAGGGACCCACCTACCCATAAGCTGATCTTTCTCTCACTTAATCGAAAAAAAAGACAAGAAAAGAAGAAAAGCAAAAAGGGAAACTCACAAACCCACCTGTCGGACTACTCGATCGACACACTCTAATCTTATACTCCTCCCCCTGCGCCCAACGACCCCGATCATATCCACAGCAAATCCCCTCTGAGAAGAACAAATAGTAATACCCTCCCTATTTATACAGAAACGCACCCCTCAACGGCGTGGTCTCCATTAGGATCATATACGATATTATATGCCGAGGACGACACCTTCATAGCGGTGGAGTCCATCTCCACCTGGTAGATGTCAGTCCAGAAGGAGCCAAAATTCAAGTAAAATACTCCATCGTTGAAGAGATTTGCATCAATGGCATTATAGGACTTAGACGAGTCAGATCGAATACCTGTGGCGCCATGCTCCGTCCATGTGCCCGCATCCATGGTATCAGACGTGGCGAGGCCGATGGCCGAGTTCTGGGATCCGAAGACCGAGACAGAGTAGTAGACGGGTAGACGCCATTGATGAGCTGGACGTCTGGGGCCTGGATTGATTAGAGGTTTGTATGCGGAGTATTTATCTGGAAGGGAAGGTAGAGGGTACCCAGAGGTCGTCACGACCGTCTAAATCAATCGATGAACCATTCGGGAGCATGGGCCCGAGTACTTCCCATGGTCCTTCGATGGATGAGGAAGATGCATGAGATATTGTTGCCTGTTGAGAAGCGGAAGTAGACACCGTCGGACTCTCGCTGGATCAGACCTGATCGTGGACGTTGCATGCCCGGAGCAGATGCCTGGATTTACATAGCCGTGGACTAGAGCTGATAGAGAAATGGATATTAGGGATAGAAAAATATGCATGATGAAATGGTATGAGTTGGTTTGCGGACCAGTATCTCTGGTTGCCTTTATATGCGTTGATTCTGAAGAGGGCTGGATTCCACCAGGAATCCCATTTTTGTGGAATTAACTGAACCTGCGGAGGCCTGGAGATTATAAGCTTGGAAACGTTGTATCCGGTGGAGAGCTAGGAGTTATGTGTATTTACTAAACTATTAAGCAACGCAGTGTCTCAGAATGGATGGAAGGCCTGTAGTACTACATGTTCCTCTCGGTTAATTTTACTGATCCTTTTTCTCCAACAAGAAGATTTAAGGCTGCCCAAACACCCACGCATTCGATGGCTTAAGTCGACACGGAGCATAATCCGATTCAGTGGATGTTCTGTTGAATCCTTCTCCCCCGGCCCCCTTTATCAATTAATTCGCGAGAACTCTCATGAGCCAATAATTACTTAACAGTGCCATGAAGGATCTTCCTATTCAATATCTAACTAGGTACAAGATATAAAATAGCATAAAAGGATAACACATCCGGCACATCTATCTAGCTGCAGGAAACTACCGAACCCCACCGTCAGTCGAACGGGAGATTTCCCGTGGAGAAGCCAGCGGATCGTTGTAGGCATCAACTGATCCGACATGTCACATCCGCTAAACACGTCAGGATGCAATTAACCGACTGACGCTGATATTTTACTTCTCGGCATTCACAGATCTCCAACAAGGACAAGCATTTTGGCTGTTTTCTGCAAGAGACTTTCCACCAATTGTATCTGCACTGACGTCATGTTTATATTGGGATCAAGGTATATCATATTTAGATTTCCTGACACAGGAAGCATGCATGTAATCGAACAATTGTTAAGATGGTTCCACCATTCCACAGTCTTCTTCAGCTTCCCCTATCTGCCTTGTTACTGCGCGCTGCACATACGGGTACCTTCACCAATCCATTGAAAGACCCCAATGGAAGCGATCCGTTTGTTGTCTACGTAGAAGGGCACTACTACCTGACGACCACTGCTTGGAGTAACGTGCAAATCACTCGGGCCACCACGCTGGAGGGTTTAAAGACCGGTAAAACAAAGTTGTCTGGGGCGATGACACTCCCTCTCGATGCCGCAGTGCCTGGGCACCTGAGATCCATGAGATAGATGGGTCGTTAGTACTACCAATCTGGATAATATAGATATCTAACATACATAGATGACACCTGTACTACACCGCCGGAAGCAGCGACACTCTCGACAACCAGCGTTCCAACGCCCTGTAAGGTACCTCTATCCATCTAGTATAGCAGTAACTAACAAGTGACAAGACGGTTCTAACCCCCTGGGACACATACGAATATCTCGGTCAACTCACGTCCGAATGGGGTATAGATGGCGCGGTCCTGGCGATCAACTCGAGGAACTACTTCGTGTGGTCGTGCATGGCAGACGGGATTCAATCGCTCTACATCGCTACACCTCAAAACTCCCCGACGAACATATCCCCGCAGCCGCTCGAGAAATGGGAAAGAGTCGACGCCCCAGTCAATGAGGGTCCCGCGCCGCTCTACCACGATGGAAACACGTGGCTCTTTGTTCATATCTGCGAATGGGACCTACGGTACTGCACATAATGCGTCCTTTTAATATGGAACTTGTGGGGCTAGTCAGGCGAGTGATACATTGTTTAGATTTTTACAAGTCCCGATGGCTCTCAAATTTGGAACGTCTTTCATGCAACTTCGAACCGTCAAAGCGCTTGCGATGGGAATCAGTATACGATGGCCTTGAAGGTACGGTGAGGCGAGAATGGAACGCGGAGCTTGGTTGAGGTGATAGGGGGTCCTTCTGGAGAATTGACATCAGGGAACAAACAGGTAACCAGCTAACTAGCTATGTATTGCTAATTGCAACGTGGTATATTGGAGTGGGGTGCATACATAGATAGAAGCTTATCCACGAGAGCAGCAATAGCACCAGGGCTAGAATTGACCAAACCCACTTAATATGAAAAGCACATGAAATCAAAACAATGTCTTAGTCGGAGGAATGCAAATCCAGTTAAATGAGTCTGATATCCGCCAAGAGACTAATGCAATCAACAGGCCACCTCTCGGACTAGCACCAGATGAAACACCACCATTACGACGCCATCCAACAGGGATGAAACTTGACCATTCAGGAGGAAGATTATGAGCATAGCTCAGATGCGATTGCGGGTAGATACGGTTCTGTCATTTCGAGCATAAACACTGTGGACTCCGATGACAGTACTTTAACGTCCAACTGAGATGCTACCTAAATATATATTTATTAAGACCTATCAGCTTCACTTAATTACTGCCAGCTGCAGCCTAACACACGAGCGACATGGAGTCTTCAACGCTACAAAACAGAAACCACGAAATGACCCGCGAGGAACAAATCGCTCGCATGTCGCAAACGCATCGACATCATACAAGAGCAGAACCCGAGTCAGATTTCAAGACTAGTGCAAAGTGGTGGGTTCCAAGTATTGATCTCAGCGCGGGATATCAAGGTGCATCCCTAATGGAATCTCTGGAAAATATCATTGTTAACTCTGTCTTCGCAGGAAACCCTCGACCGAGACTCCTACGAGAAATATAGCGCCTGCTTCGCAAAGTTGTTCGCTGGGAAAATTCGCACCGGACGTTATGGCCGAAACACGAAGCGAGGCCCAGGAAACTCCAGCTCAACATCCGGATTTATTTGAACGTGTTGATGTGATGATCTTCAGAACGAGAAGATTCTGGGACAAATACATGGCTTTGCCACGGAAGAAGAAGCTGCGGGTCTGGGAGGGTTTGGAAGATGCAATGGTGCTAGGGTGAGGTTTTACCTAGACTGATCCATGGGGTCTATCTACGGAATGAGTTGGGAGGCGATGTCATTTGATCTTTTTTTCTTTTACGGCAGGCCGAGCGTGATATCTACTTGTATATTCTTTTGTGAATATTTTGTATGTTTGATTTTCCTAACGGGCAATGGCCCAGTACGTATGACTATTATATCCCAAATATATCATGAATCAGTTCATTTACTATCTGATTCTCATCTACTGCAGCAACCTTCCTCCAGATTCCTCCACGACCAGCCTCAAATTCCGGCTGGAATTCGAGGTAGAAATTATGCTACAAAATGTCAATACAATCTCATACACACTCGGAAGTTCCACCGGGTCCTGACAGAGTTGGCCGTAAACTGAGCCACATCGTCCTGATGATCTTTTTAGGAACGCCATTCGCAGCAGCACCTTCGGCCATCAACTGGGAATGGCATGCTTTATCCAAGCTGTAGAAGAGGAATGCAGTTCTCATCAACCGTCGACCCGACGGTAATCAATCTATCAATATTAATACTTATCAAACCGATAGCGAGGCTGCAAGCACGTACCCATGATTCTGTAAGATACATGCAATATTATCCTTTCCTAGCGCATTGGCAATCGCTTTCCTTCATCCTGGGCCAGCGCAATGCCTCCATGTTCCTCATACACGCTCAACTTACCATAGAAATTGCACGCATCTGCAATCATCAGCTGCGTTTCACGTGAAACTGGCGAGACATTCACCCTGCGTGATCATTTCCAATTGGCTTCCCAAATGCACTCCACGTCTTCCCATAAACCCCATGCGTGTGAGCTACGGCCATCACCTCCGGTTCTGGCACGGTGCACCTCGGAGTGGATCATGAACCCAGCCTCGTTGATAATGGCCTGGTTCCCACCTTTCTACAACATATCCGTTCGCATCAACCAAGACGAGATCCGACGCCTTGATCAGCGAGAAGTGTTTCGCAAACGGATTCATCCAGAAGTGGCCGGGTAGAACCGGATCTAACCTCAGATCAGTTTTTCCCAATCTAAAAATTCCGGAGTGCCTTGAAAGTGTCGGTAGTGATGGGATCCAACCTCGAACAGAAATATGTCCCGACACGCCCCTCACCGTATCCCTGTTTTCCGAAAAATCGAAACGCCCCGCCATATGCTCACGCACCCACTGTCGTTTTGCATACGGGTCGTCGAAGGAGGGGATCCCACGCAACTTCAGCTTTCCATGTTGGTCTCCGCGGGCCAAAAGCCTGGAAGACGGGGCTGTTCTCTGCTGGGGAATGGTATCTTCAGCGACGATAGTGTGGCGAGCAGGTTGTGTGATGGTAGTAGTGGACATTTTGATGATCAGTGTTCAGGTGAGTGTTAGACGTAGGTGGGTTGGAGTGATGGTAGACGCTTATTTATCAACAGTATGGAATGCGGGTGTGGGGCATGTCGACAGAGGGCGCAGATAGTGATATGAGATAGAATACACCAGTGATATTATGGGATAGATTCAAGATTGTGATGTTATCAGATATTCCTACTTAATCCATGAATCTGACGTCATGATATCCTTTAACAAAGTCGGTACTGAGTATTTATGTTCGCTATTTACGGTAAATACATTCTACTATATATTTTAATTTAATTTTTGGCCCAGTAGAAATCTACGAATTCTTAATGTAGTGTTTTATCGACACTTAAACTTCCTCCATCTTACGTACTGTAAAGTGTCGAGATGTCTTTTTTCTTGGCTAATATTATTCTCTGTTCGACGCCGATAATTTTCTTGTTCCAATAGAACTTGCTGGAGCTTTTCAACTATTGCTTGTTCTACAGCCGATTTAATAGATAGATCTTACTTTTAGACATTTACCGCTGGTAGGAACAAAGCCCACGCTCAGCTGAGGTAGAGAAGTATAGGCAGACGGGGACGAGCATGGTAGGCTGCTTTATATTTGCTTGTTTGTATAATTGAGCTTCATGAATCAATGACCTCTGTGGGTTCCTGTTGGCTGATCCCATCGGAACTTCAGAATAGACGCGTTGTTTGATATTTATTTCAACCAACAGTTAACTAATCCATCCCCTATTAATGCTGGAATATATGAGCAGCACTATCTTAGAATTAACTGATTTCTATAAGTGGAGAATATCTGATCCTGTAAACCCTATGTGTAGGCGTATTATTCCAGACTGCTCTCAAATCTTTATTCATCCTAAATTCAATCACATCTTAGTTATAACTTATCCTTTGATCCAAATCACATCCGTGGTTCTTAATCTATATCCTGGCTTTTCCCTCAGCTATCCTCAGTAGGATTAATAAACTTCGCACTTTTCTATGCCCCTTCGCTTTATTCGACCCTACATTACGAATGGACGGGCCAGAGATGTTAAGACGATGGGAGAAGCAAAGAGCTGGGTCACGGAGTAGGAGACCTCAGCACGCAACGTTCAATCCTGTGCTGTGGTAGTCTTCTTTTCTCATGGAGATAACGTCTACAAATTGTGTTCGTCCTGACATACCTGGTTAGTTTCTTTATTCTCTCTGAATAAGCACCAACGTGTAATGTATGATAGATGAATCTGCGTATGCCCCAGTCTCTTCATATTGTGCAAATGTCATTGCCTGTTCTCTGAAGACTATGAGTAGGTCTTCCTAACATAAGGTTCTATTACTTATGAAATGCCCTTAATGGGGAGAGTATAGACAGTATTAAACGGATCACTTTGCAATAAGCCAGGCAGATAGCTTCTGTGTATTGCTTGGATTTCGTTCCCAAATGTATTCATCCTAGCTCTGCTTGAAATAACCTTTCTTTTTTCTGGTCAACTGTTACTGTTACTTTGATTCTCCTTACTTCCGACTGTAGTCTTTGCTAATATATTGTGCATACATATAAAAGCACCGAAACGAAAGTTAATCGCCTGGATAAATGAACTAGCAACTAGAGAAGATCCAAAAATAATGGGTGAGAAACAATGTACGGTGATCTATCATCTAACCAACGGCCATATAAATTGTTTTTGCGCATGAACTGTTGAAGGCCAGCGATTAGTTCTGCAATATACGTCCCATCTTCCCTCCCAGATAGATACTCCCATTCGTACCATTGCACACTATTCAGCTCGTTACCGACCCCACGCATAACATCACCCTTATTCCTAAATATCAAGATCAATCTGATGAGTAAATCCACACTCTTCTAATAATCTAGCAATACCGGTCTAAATTACAACACACCAAACTGGCTTCTATATCCCATAAAGTACAATACAATACACTGGTATTGAGCAGTATCCATCATCCTCACCCAATCTTAGTCCCGTTAGGCTTGAAGCCAGCATATGTAGGATAAGCCGGGAATTCCCACGGCACGCCCCTGCTCAACAACTGATAATCCAGCCCTTACCGCCCGCATTCATATACATAAACTTGGTATAGGGTATAGTAGCATAGTACGAAAACGGTGTACTGGCAGGGACGAACGCTACATCACCATGCAATAGATGCACCCTGGGATAGCCCTGTACCTGGAACGAAAGTTGTCCTTCCTCCATCTGCAGCGCGAAATGATGTGGTAATATCGCCCTGAGATAGTCTCATTTGCCATCTTAGGCGACATGATAATAGTTCCCATGGTGAAATTTCCTGTTTGTTTGGCTGTTGTTAGAGGCTGGATGACCTTGTAGCCGATGTCGGTGTTAAGATATTTTGGGCCGTAGTCCTTAGCAATAAAATAGGGTTGTCGAGTCATCAGGTAGGGTATTGGGTCCATCGTGCCAGGTTGTTTGGTTTCTCCATCTCCGGCGGTGCCGTTTACAAAGTCACGTCTCGATATACTCTTCCTCTGGGGCAGCGAAAAAGGTCTAGCGAAACGAGGAGGTTGTATTCCTTGGGTGTCATAGGTCCAAATGGGGAAGAATCATCAGTAAGGGGATATAGGGCGCTGATGCTGTGAGTATCGTGGTCTCCTTGGCTGAAGACATTAAAGAGATTTTCGAATCCACCGGGGTGGAAGGCATGGGTCAGCTGGGAGTCGGATCAACCAGCTGGAAAGTGGATAGTGCCCGGAGGGATATTACCGCAATCCCCTGGTGTAGCGACGCGGCCCGTGGCTGGCGTCGGTGACATTCTGCAAACCCCAGAGTTGACAGCGACCCGAGAGCAGTACAGATGCTCGTGTGTCACCCCGTGGGTGTGTGGTCGTGCTGATAACCAGCCTGGAAGGTTTGCCGTTGTGTTGGACAAGAGAGAAGGCGCCGTCAGACGAGCTGGCAGTGATAGAGAAGCGAATTGTTTGGCCCGACTTCGTGAGCCCAATTCCATGGCCCTTGTATTTCGGGAGGACGTATGGACGGACGAATCTGGGGGCTTCATCGACAACAATACTTCTGTTTGACGGAAGGGTATTTGACGCTCCCAAAGAGCTAAACAAGGCAGTGGATAGTATCCACCCAACGAAGTCTTTTTTCATCTTGGGGAATCGATAGCATGTACTTCGTAACAGAGACGGCGGGATAGAATTGTTAATAGTAGAGATAAATAAAACCCAGCATAAAAGATGAACAGACAAGCTTATATAGAAAAAGAGCATCAAACGTGCGAGGTACAGCCACCGCAGAGACTGTGAATAATGGCCCACTATTATCATTGCAGGACCCAGGGCCCTGTCCAGTGTAAATAAACCGACACCATACACCTCATGTTTTCGATGCGCCGAGAAAGGATTGTCTTGCCAAGGAGGTTCTGCTGAGAATATTACTTGGCCAACCCGAAACTGTGCACGTCATGGTGCCGTGTTGATAATCTCAAAAGGCAGGCAGATACGTTCATCATAGCCTTGATTCACGATGCCTGGTGCCGGATATACAGCAGCATGGTCCTGCGAGTATTTGAGCAGTGATTTACAAACGAAAGGCATGGCCTCAGCTACTACAGCACCTCGATAATTATCTGTACGACTAGTGCAGCATAAAGCAAGGTGCTGACGGCTGAGGAAGGGTGCCGTCGGGTATCAGCGGGATTTTTCCGCTGGGATTTTTCCGCTGACAGGAACTTCTGTACACGGACTTTTGCCCGACCTGTTAATTCAACACTAACACCTGGCATTGTGTCAAGGGTGGATCCCCTTTCTTTCCAAACCCGCCTAAGTCAACCTTACTACCAATGGTCTTGCAATTTCTGCCGCACTTTCATTTGCAAAGCCACGGAACTATGTAGTCGGAAGAAAAATCAAGGCAGCCAAGAATTTCGTCACATATTCTAGAACGCTTCTGTTCCAGAACGGGTATATTCCGCGACACTCCTGCCTCAGACACCTTGTAGATGTTTTATATGCCCAAGCTCTATTATTACTCAACCGTCACGAGTTTCGTAAACGGAACTGACTTTAAAATTTTACGTGATCATTTATAGGCTCAGCGGAATGTCGTTTCCCGCAGAAACATGCCAAGCCCAGTACATACATCAAATTAGGCAGCTAGCCATCCAAATCGTTCGTGTGGAAGATTTATGCGCTGGTTATATATATATCAAGATTGACATTGTTTAGTTGAAATATATACCGGTTTAGAACGATCTACGACCGAAGGCGTACCTCGTGGTAAATCAGTTACGGGTATAAGAAGTTATGACAATTATTCTCACCCCGTCCCAAATAGAGAACCATATTTATCTCCTGAGATTCATCTAACAGGAGCTTGCAACGCTACGTTTCCTCTCGCTGCGCCACGTTCATGGGGATTTTGCCTTCGAATCTCTTGGCCATACGTTAAATATTGCCTACCACAGACTGATGTCCCATGGTCCTAGTAGGGAGACTGCTTCGTCATCAATTGGGGAAAGAATGGTGCTTAGAATTTATCTTGACTTGACACTTTGAAATAACTTTGGCTGTCTTAGCCATGATTAACAGTTTCTTAGTTTAGGTGTCAGTTGTTTGCCTGGGTTTCTACAAGACATTAATATGTTTACAGGACGGATCAAAATCAGATTCAGCACTTTATTCTATTTGATTCATCAGACATGCATGCAGTCTCCCACTGAACCTAGAGCTTGCGCGACCTAGCGCTGTAGTATGTGAAATTCACTGATTATAAGATATCACCAAGGCATATATAAACAGCGCATCCCGTCAGATCCTTATAACAATCAATCTTACGAGAAAGTGCATCGAAAGAAATTAGCTCAAAAAATCGTGTGATTATAGGGATGTACCTCGCCCGAATTTCGACGAGTTTCCCGGAGGCGGTACATTTCATTGGCCTGCCAGGGTTAGATGTGAACGCAAGAGATGAAACCGGGCATACCTTACTCCATATCACTTCCCAAATAAAAAGGATGGATCCTACATGATGAGGATCCTCCTCCATGAAAGTGGCATAATATAAATGCCACCAACTACCTGGGGTGACACCATCGTCTTATTCGGCATCTAATAGTCATTCGTTCCCCGCTCAGCACGCTTCCTTCCGATGCTGTGATATTGACGTAAATGGGGCAAATTCGAAGGCCAAACTCCGCTTTGTTTCGCGGTAAAGAGTGGTAGGAATCCAGCCGCGATGAAGCTACTCACTGGCTCCAGGGCAAACCCTAATTAAAGTTCAAAAGGCGTATATGATTACTTTCTTTTAACAATTGGGTCCATAAGGGACTTGGCAATGTTGAAAGTTTTTGTGTGATGAGCACGTAGAATTCAACAGTCGAGCGGAAGATTGTGTGGCCCTTTCTCATCTGTTTTCTGCTGGCGCGAGAGAATGACCACTGTGCCCTTCGGCTGCCGCGTGAGTGCCCAAGATTGACGTTAACTACCATTGAGCCCCTTGGCTGTCCAATCTTAGCGCACTCTCAAGCCCCGAATCATAGGAGGAAAAATTCCTTTGTAACCGAAGTCTCGAAGCGCGAGGGGGTTGATATCAATCACCAAGATATAGTTGGCAGAACCCCTTGATGTTAGCTGCAGAAAACGAAAAACGTCGAAGCAATAAGCACCTTTTGTGGACAAGGAAGGAGTTGCCGTCCACCTTGAGGTTGACCGGGGCGGAGGGACATCAATCATATAAGAGAACATAGGGCAACAACACCCAGAATTCCATTGCACGTGGTGATTGAAGATAGGGGCAAAGAATAGAGCTCTTGTTGCTACTTCATTGAGCAAAGAGTCCACACAGACAGTAGCGATTAGTATCAAGTGGATCGCTGGTGGATTGCCGAAATAGCCAATTGTTAAGGCCAGTATCTTTTAGTCAATAATGCGCCTTGCCCATTCGTAAGTTCATTCCACCACAGATTTCGACATTATAGGCACAATCATGCGAACACCTAAGGGGTGAGTGAAGAGGACCGGTCATAACAGGCGGTCCAATTAGCAGCCAGAACACGCCGGTAATGACGGACTGGAAAGGCAGTCTGAAATGAAGTCAGACAAATGAAATAGCCACTTTATTACCTTTAATGACTATGAGATATGACCAATTAATTCGTAATCCGTAATGATGCTCGTTCTGAGTGGGTCAACCTGCCCACCAATGGTGTTGCAAGGTTCCATACGAAGGTCGTATGCTCGTATAAGTGCTAAAGTACTACCGTTGTTATGATATTCGGGGAGCTACAAGCAGATATATTCACAGAGGCGCTGCTGTTCTAGATGGATCTCAACCACTAGCGTCTTCTCGCAGAAAAACGTGCAGCAAACAGCGACTCCTCAACATGCTGCTCATCCTACCATTTCTCCCCCCATAACCACAGCAACCTGCCAAACACAGCCTTCCCATACATCAACCTGGGATACGCTACACACGCACCTACATTCATCAACACGACTTCATCCGGTCTCCAAATAGCCAACTACAACAACATTCGTTTCGCCCAAGCTCCAACTGGAGATCTACGCTGCAAACCCCAAACCCCTCCCCCTACCACGAGGGCGTCATTCATGGAGATGAGTATCAATCCACTGAGTGCGTGAACAGTGTCCCATCAGTGGCACCATTTCCAGGCTTCAATGGTACCTTCTTCAGCCAGGAGGACTGTCTTTCTTTGAATGTACAGGTACCGAGGGCGTCAATGAGGGCGATAATGTCCCTGTGATCCATTGGTTGTATGGCGGTGCCTATGCTTTGGGAGTAAGGATAATATTCAACTTAGCTGGATGAACTCTACCGGACTGTTCAATGCTTTGAAAAGTCAAGATGAGAAATTCATTTTGTTGCTAGTAACTATAGGTCTTATTATCGACGGTCCTTAAAATGTCGATGGATTGGCTGACTTTGATTTGGTGAAATAGACTTGGACTCTATGGATGGATGTCATCCCCATACGAAGACATGGACAGCAATATCGGCCTTCATGACGGCGAAGCAGCCTTCGGTGGACGAAAAGTACATTGCCAAATTCGGTGGTGATCCGATAGGATTACAGCCATGGGACAGAGTTCGGTGCCGGAATCTTGAATTATCTTCTCGCCGAACAGAAACGAGTTACCGTTCTCTCAAGTGAGATGACTTAGTCTGCAAACCCTTTATCAATATGTATAACACAGAGCAGGCTCTCATCTCCTCCCCCAGCGGTGATGCCGCGCCGGAATGTCACCGCACGAAGGCAAACAAATATATGAAGAGGTATTGAGTGCCACCAACTGCTCCTCCTGCAATGTTTGCGCTTCTCACCAGAGGTGCTTTCAACCGCCAACAATTATCTCATATAAGTGAAGTCCCCACCGGAACTGGCGGCGGTTCCTTTGGTCCAGGTATATTTCGCCCCGTCACCGGACGGTATATATCCCCGACGGGACCGATGATACCTCCAGAACAGTAGTACGACGCGCCGCAGCCACTACGCCAACTACTAGTTGGCATATGGCACACGACGGAATGACACTCGTTGCTGATGATAATATGCCTGCTGCATTTGGAGACCTAGTCCGCACTGCCTTCCCCCACAGCTGATAATCAGACTGTCCAACAGATACAAGCTCTTGTTTCCCCTCCCCCGTCAAGGCCCTCCCAGCAACTTGCCTGGGATTGGGCTACATCTCTTGTATGCTTGCCATTCCCAAAGCATTGCCGCCGCATACGCAGAAAAAGGCTCGTCGCTATGTCATGGCTATTCCTCCGGCTACTCATGGTGGAGGATATAAATTGTGGGTTGTCCAACATTATTAACCATCATTTTTACATTATTTACTATGTACTTCCCTACTAATTCTCCTTTGACAGATACCTTCTTTGTCGATAACACGACCGACAGTGGCTAGTGTCCCGGCTGCTCAGCAAATCCCGCTGCTCATCGCGGCGCGCAATGCGAGTCCATTTCCTGTGTATGGCCCCAACTCTGGAAGTCACATGGATCACGGAGACAGGACTGGGCGACGTGATCCATGGGTTACCATGGTGCGAGAAATTGCGCCGTCCGGATAACCCGGCGAATGGTGCTTAGTGGAAGTACAGTGGTGGTTTTATAAGGTAACCAGTAACAATTCATACTGAGATGACTGGATTAAAAGTTATGAAACAGTTGAGTACATTCCACACGTAACGTTTAATCCGATAGCCCCAACTTATTATAGTGAACCATGACCATTACGCAACTAAAGCATCGCGAAGAGATCCAGGACAGGCTGTCGCCCCTGTCCGTGAGCATAACGATATCAAAATAGGCTCCTGGTTAATGCTCTGTGCCGCACGTCATGTCAAATGCGATGGTCGCCTGTTGCTAGTCAGAACTGCACCTTCACTGACCATGCGGATACGAGTTGCAACGGCTGCCTCGCGGGAGCACATCCAGAAAGGCCGCTGATTCCCCCGCGGATTGCTACAGGGCTAGGTTGGGTGGTAAACGTCAAGACGAAGTCCGATGCCTTTCTCACTTCCAACATCGATTCCATCCCCCACTTAGTCCGGTTCTATGCGTCCTGCTGCCTCGCCCCTCTTGTAGCGTTTGGAATCCGCATTTGCTACTGGCGACCCTGCTGTTCATCATACACTGGGTGCGCGATCAATCGATAAAAAATCGGTATGCTAAAAACGGCAAGATGTGCCGGAAACCTGGCACCGGTTTGCGCTGGAGCAATCTGCGCGGACAGGCGCCTTGCCGAATAAGTGTCGTATATCACAGGAGCCAAAGCTGAAGGAAGTGATCTTGATTTGCTGTCAGCTGTTTGCATCACATGCGAGCTACCTGTGGGGCTATGATAATGCATGCGCGCACATCCCCGGTGGATTACAGAATCTAAATGAACTGAAGGTCAAGAGGCGTGGTCTCGGCGTGCGGCCCTCGTCGATCGGGCAATGTGTGCTCGAGGCTTTCTTTGCATCTGCGGATGCAATCCGTGTTTTTCGATCGGGGCACCCTTGCAAATTGATAGCGAGTTCATCTACGAGCAGCCTTTTAGAGGAGTATCTGCTTTTTATTTCGCAGCTTGCAAATACCCGGCGAGCGTGTAGTCCCCCCATCAATACCGCCTTTGCCTTTGTGGCGGAGTGCTGGAATAAATCAGATACCGAAGCTATGGCCGAATATGGCATGTTGCAGCAGCGGCAACTGCGACTTCTTCCCACCTAAACCGATTCATGTTTGTTCCTTTATGAAGTTTGATGGATAGAGCACTAACTAGTAAATCCAGTTGCATGAGATTGCCAATGTATTTGAGACAGTTCCTTGTTTAGATATGTTCGATTTCAGAGATCTATTATATCGCATGCAGTCTAGAGCTCGGTACAGAGATCTGCAGGTATTAGATGCTGTCATTTTTGTCATCGGGCTTTTAATGGCTGTCATTTGTTATTTATTTTTTATTACCTTAGCTGTGCAGCCTGAGGCTGCATTGTAACCTCCTTTGACGAGTGTGTTGGGTCATCTAATTACATAGTTATATTCTGTTGCCCTGTTTCTTGTGTTCTAAGCGCCTTGTGGCTATAGCGAATTGTATCACAGCCTTAACTACTTCTATATTCGGTCTCCAGCCCTTTCCCGGTTGATTTCTTGTCCTGTAAGTCCTTCTGTTTCGATCAACCTCCTAATATATATATAATAGATTCCTGTATTAGTTGCCTATCACCCTTCTTAGATCAATTCCTGCTTTTATTCCTATTTTATGCTTAAAAAGGTATTAAACTGCTTATAGTTCTTTATATGGTTACAGGATTTATCTACTATTTATCTAATCCTGCGCAAGTATTGGTTTAACTGGATATAATTTAAAAAGCTAAGCTAGAGTAGATGCTTGTATCCTGTTTCTGCTAGTTATACAGGGTCTTGGTGTGTGTCTTGTTAGAGCGCTCAGAAGCGGATAGCTAGATCCTTAGCTAAGATGCTTAGTCAGGTGCGAAGTGTTTATCGGGCCTGAATTCTTGGAAGGCCAGCGATTAGTTATGCAATATACGTGGTCTTATCTTCCTCCCATATAGAGACACCCTTTCGCACCGTAGCGCCCCTTATCTCAGCTCGTTACCGACCCCACACATAACAGCCTACCTATCAACGAAGGCCCAATACTTGGTCATTCACCCAGATACGGATATCGCACTGTGTCCTGGTTGTCGTCCACGGCTTCCAAAAAGCTCGGAATAAGGGGTTCAATGCCTCGTTCCAGTGCCAGAGAGCTCCAATCCCGCAAATTGAGCTCTTGGAACGGTCGACCGTGTACTTTCTCCATGTATTCTCTGAAGCTCTTCACGGGAATCTTGACCTTGCTGGAGGATGGAAAAAAAGGACACCCGGATGTTGTAAACGATTGAGGAGTGGAGGGTCTGGTGAACCTTGAGGTCACTAGGGTGGCGATTTCCTCAGCGACGATCTCTACTTTCTGAAAATCCAAGTATCCCTCCATTCTTGTCAGGCGGGTGTCGTACCGAGAGTGGCAGAGAAGCGTAGTGAGAGAGTTCAGTGCGTCAGGAGGCAGGAGCTTTATCGCCGATTGGCGTGCAGGGGCGGTGGATACCGATGTTTGCACCGGTCTGCTCGGTGAAACGCTCGAGGAACACCTCGCTTGCCCATTTTGTTGCGGTGAGGCCGTCGGACCCAGTCGAGGGAGGGAGGGTGCATAGACACGGAGACGGGCCGAGGGATGTCTTTTCCGGACTGGAGAAATGACCGCCCCGAAGAGATATATAGTAGCGGAATCTGGGACTGAGGGCAAATTGGGCAAGGCGATGGTAGAGCCAAGGTCGGGCTTTCAAGGAGTTGTAAGTGTTGAGACAGACCGTTGGAACCGCCGTGGATCACTACGTCGATGCAGGACTGCAGGGACGCCCATTCTGTGGTAGACAAACCGAGCATTGATCAAGAAGGGTGCCGTAATACAGGGATATTTTGTCACTGGTGGGCAGCACGTGTTCTTGCTCCTTTTCCACGGCGATGCAATGCACCCGTGCACTTCGGGCATCTGACGAGAACCTGCACCAAGACCCTCCAAGAAAACTTTGTCGACCCAGTTAGGAGGATTTCACAGCCTGATCCTTGATAATTTTGCGTTGGCATGGTGTTTGGCGTTGGGACCACATGCTCGAGGATATTCTGCGGTATTGCTGTTTCCGCCAGCCAGTTGATCGACGTTGAAGGTGCTTCGGCTTTTCGCCCTTGACTTTGAGCGCCATCAGTGCCAGTGTACTGGCACCGTACAGCTCCCGAAGCGTGAGCGAAACGCCGATGGAGGTGCGGATAGCGCCTTTGCACCTTGACCAGCAGTAGAGAATTTCCCCAAGGAGGAAAAAAAAGTCAGACTCAGGCTGATTTGCTTTACCAGGAAGGAGATTCTGCCAAAGAAGCTTGAGCTCACCTTCGTCCAAGTTAGTCGTTTTGCAGGTTCGGCCGGCTGGTGATTGCGCCGTCCATGGCATGGCTCTATCTGTTTTTTGATCAATCTTTCCATTCTGCATTTCGGGGTAGCCTTCGTTCAGACAGATGACCGCTGCAGGGTGCATGTACTGTGGCAAGGGAAGATTGCTGGCGAGATGCTGCCGCAGCCCTCAGCAGGACCAGCAGCCTGTCCAGGGTTCAGGGCAACAAATGCGACAAGACATTCTGAATCCCCTTGGCTCTTGACACACACAAATCGCTGACGAGAGCAGATTCGAGCGGCAGTTTACCATTGTGGAAGCCACGTCTTCGAGATCAATACGAAGTCCGGCGAAGCTTAATTCTGTGTTTCCGTCCATCCGACCCAGGAGAATTAGGAGAATTATCCCTCAAGCAATTGGGCTTTGTCACCGGTACGGTACATTTCGGGTCCATCCTCCTGGCCATATCTTCGGTAGAGCATATGGATCGTCCACGAATTTCAACCTGGTCTGCTCCCTCATTCAGGTACCCCAATGCAATCCCGGCACCGCTGACACAAATTTCCTACCTCTCCAGTGGGAACGAGGTTGCAGTCTGCGTCCACTATGTACAGAGAGGGTGTTTGCGATTGTTCTTCCAACGCTGCGTGCTTCTTCAAGTTGTGATGCAGACATCGTCTCAAACGTCGTACACGCGGATATCTCCGTCACACCGTAGGAGTCCCTGCACCACAGGGCAGTTCGCTCCCAGTCGAGAGCCGAACTCCCGTTTGAGCTGGTCCGTGAAAGGCCCACCACCTGTGACAACGCGTGCCGCCAGCCAGTGTAGTCATGGAGGTATTTGCGACCGTGCTGGAGCACGACAAGGTACTCGGATGGAGTAGCTAGAGGAAGCCAATCTTGTGGTCGCGGGATGATCTTTGCAATCTCGACCGAATCCCTTCTGAATTTCCTGGAGGTACAATGACAAGCCGCCACCGTTCATAATAGCATTGAGAGTCCGTGCGAGGCCCATGTCGAATCCTGGGAGCTTTGCTGTACCCAGGACCACTGTCGAGCTATCCAGACCGAGCTCTTTCTGCTTGGCGGCAAGGTAGTTGATGAAACCACCTTTGAGGGCAGACAGACTCCCCTTGGGCTGTCCCCAAGTTGAGCCGCTTGTAAAGTAAGATGGACAGGGAACCGCCATTTGGGGACGTCTTTGAACGTTCTCATGGACGAGACCGAGTGCCAACCACTTCAGACGCGTTGATGACGGTGTCAACCCCTAGTTCCGAGGTTTCCTGGGCTGTGGAAGACGAGCAAATGATCGCTTTCACTGCAGAAGCCTCGATCATAGCCCCATGTCTGCTGGTTGGGAGGGGAGGCTCAGGATCAAGGGGCACGTAAACAGCCCAACGTGGAGAACCGCCGCAGCATGCTCGCCACTACCGGGATTGACTGACGGGTGGCACAAGACTGCGACTTTGGTTCCCGGATGTGACTCCTCTGGAGGACAGTCTGATAAGGGTGCTACGCTCATTCAGTTGCAAGTAGGTGAATTCCCTCCTGTCTCATCAGTGACGGCGATCCTGTCGCCATATTGATCAGTCATATTTGGAACCTTTGAGACAGAGTTTTCAGGCCAGCCGTGGCCCAGCCGTGGACTGCGCTGAACAGAGAGACCATCCTCATTGATCGGAGATGCAGAGGAAAGACCGCCCTGAATAGACCGCGAAGGATCCGAGGACAGGATTCAAGTAACCGGATAACCATCATCCATGATCCATGGCTTCAAAGCGAATACAAATAATCACGACAGTTAAGTTCCACAATACAGGAGCCGTTCGCACACGGCGTGACGTGGAAGGACATATCATATGGTGCGTTGCCCATCACACTTCTATCGTAATTGAGGTCAAAGTCATCAACCGACATTCGTAATCTCCTCACGCGGTAGTTTATGGTAACCTGAAAGAGAGGCGGACATTCGACGCTCGCGGGATATTGAGCGCGTCCACGACCAAGCTTGGAGGGAACTGAGGAATTCGAAATCGCAGTGAGAACCTTCGTAGATGTCTTCTGGAATACTTTGGGCTAAAGCTGTCCGTTTGCTGGACGTGGAACCTGAGAGGCAACATGTTCAGAAAATAGCCGACCGTGCCGATGAACTGCTGGTGTTTGCGATTCGCGTCGCTCATACCGATGCATAGATTTTCGACCTTGAGCAATCCGGCAAGGGAAGACCCGCAAAATGTTGCAAGGTAGAAATGAAACGGCGCCTCGGAGACTGCGACTCGCTTGTTTGATCCTGTCCGCGACTTCGATGCTAACATGCGCGTCGCTGTGTGCACCTTGAAATTATCTGTTGGCGCCCGGGTCTTCTCCTTTGGCGAGGAAGGACAGGCATCACTTCTGAGGTGGTGAAAGCTCACATTTCCAGTACTCTAGCCCTTTGCAAAGGTTCCATTCTCGATGTCGCGATTCAGCATCAGCGAATAGTCAACGTATTGCGCAACCTCGCGTGGTGGGCTCCCCTCACTTCAAATCATGGTGAATGTAGACCAGCTAGTCCGTCCATGACAATGTGATGGTATCCAAATATGACCGTGTGCTGGTCCTGTCCAACAGACACCACTGTAACGCGCATGACTTCACCTTGCTCCAGCCGCCATTGATGAGACGCAAGTTTGTCAAACTCCCTTGACACAGAGGCAGCGCCAGAAGCCGTGACATGCTCGAAGAAGGGTGGGTGGCATTTTCAAGACACCCTGAAGAAGGTCGCCACCGTTGGGATCCGAAAAGAAGGCAGTCCGTACGGACTCGTGCCGGGAGACGGCCTGTTCCAGGGCTCCTTTGAACTTCTCGAGCATAAAAGTTCCCTTTGAAGATTGTAAGATATGACGACGTTGTACTGGCTAGGTCCTTCATCCAATGGCCGGCGAACCAGATCTGCGATTGATGAGGAGACATCTTTCAACCTGTGTAAACCTTGGCTCTATGACACTTTGTCCCTGTTCAAATCCAGAGTCAGAAGGGCATAGGACACATGATGACTCTGAACTAATGATATCGAGCGATAAGTCTTGTACTGAGCTGTTGTGTTCCCGAGTTGGATGCAGTTGTCGCGAGGTCTGTGAAATCGATCTCGCGTCGGCAGGCTGGTCTTCCTCTTCTGCGGCACTAGAACTTTGAGAGCATCAGGCTGTGGATGGCTTTCGCACAACCCTGCGACAGTGCCTTGTAGTGCATCCATGGGAGCAATGTAGATATCGCTCTTTTGTAAACCATGTTCGAATATCCACAGCCAAAAGTGAGTCACAACCCAGGTCCAGAAGTGGGGTATGCACATCCAATGTTTGGGTGGAAGCCGGAGCATTGACTCGACCTTTCTTCGATAAACGCCCAGCAGCGTCCTTCATGCATTTTGTCTTGGCTCCGATTCTGAGGCTGATGCTCAGGGGAAGGATGAGGATGAATCCTCCTGTTTCACAGATTGCCCCTGTTTGGCTCGAGCGCCATAGGTAGTGAAGAAAAGCAGAGGATTTGAGGGCCACGAGGATTCACCATCCCGGTCAATCTGGCGGTCTATCATCCGCAGGCCAATGAATATCTCGGGATTCTCTTGGGACCCAGGTGTCTGTCCAGCAGCTACCACTTCACCAAAAGGCGATGTAAAATCGGACTCGCACAGAGGCGCATGTCCATCGTGCATCATGCGCTGAATCACCTTCCTGCCTTGCTTGGCAAAGTATCCAGCATCGACAACCATACCCAGGGCTAATATAGACCCCACCAGGCTCCTGCCTACGCTGTTGAATGAGACCGGTCATGAACAGCGCTGAAGCATGATATTCTGCCTGCTTTGAGTTCCGATAACAGAGACAAGGGGATGTCAATATCACGAAGAAGTTTAGTGTTGGTTCCGGGAACAATTCGTCGAGATACGTTGCTGTGTTGATTTTTGCACTGTGACAAGACCTCGCTCGTCTTCGATAGTATATTCAAACCCTTCGTCGGACAGAGCCAAGGGAGCATAGCAGACACCGACAATGGGTGGTAAAATCTCCTTGATTTTAAAGAAAGCCGACAGAACGGACTTTTTGTTTTGAAGTATCCATCTTCAAGAGCTTCACAGTAGCTCCCAGACGAGACATTTCTCGAGCCAAGCCTCGTGTACGCGCGGGTTTCTGCTGGCAAGAACAAATGTCCGTGCCCTGTTGCCATCATCCATGTCAGAATTGACAATCCAAGCGGTGTTGCATATCAATCATCCAGTAGGTTCCGCCTCGAGGAGAACATGGTTGTGGCCCCTAGGGACCCCACTCTGGCTCGCTATTGGAGTATTTGTCCAGTCCACCACCTTGGGGATGGCGACCGATGGACTGTTTGATGGGGGTCTCTGCCAAAGAAGTAACTTCCGGACCACGCGTGGGAAGAGTCGCCAACCCGGTACAAGCTTGAGCATAGGTATCTGCGATAAGCTGTCCAAGGTTTGCAAAAATGTATTAATGACGATAATTCCACAGTCCGGATCCGAGCTTCAGAACAGATACGCGAAGTATAGTCACCACTACGATCGTCGCAAAGAGGAAGATAAATCGACAAACACCGACACATCTCTCGGCAGCGCTCGCTCAATCATGCGCCGCGATGCATGAGGGTGGACTGCTATCCACCCTTTTTGAATCGGTGCACTTCGAAGTGATAAAATACACAGTGTGCTGAGCCTCGCGCGCTTGCCTGACAGCAGCCGCAAGTAACTCATCAGGCTCAAAAAGAAGTATAGGTCCAGATAGTGACTTCAACAGCAGGTTTGCTAAACTGAAGCTAGCAGTAGCTCGCAAAGCGTCTGGGCTAAGTCGTCTCCGTCAACTAGATTATGAACATTCTCAGGCCTTACTTGGACAACTGATGAGATATGCTCAGAAATGCCGACAACATTTCCCTTTCCATCGAATACCGACTTCCAAGCCAGAGATACATCCCGTGCAAAAGAAGGAAGGAATATCTGACCCTGGAACATGTACCGAGCTGGCCGGAAACCTGGCTCATTGCCGGGACAAGCACTGCTTTCGGGAGGATAAGCAGGACGAAGTTCCCGATGCCTGAATTGTATCGTTTATTTCGCCTGTGATCCCGAACCAGTCGTGGAATACGCAGCGCATCCGTCCCAGTGCAATCCGGGTTCATTTTGTCCAAAGTGTTTGCCCGTCCGTCAACGCCGGCACGAAAGACCATGTGAGGCGCAGGAAGACCTCAACTACAGTGGAAGGCGACATGTTTTCCACCGTCGACGACAAATCTAGAAATTGAGGTTGATATTGTCTCCCCTTTTGATCTCATCGCTCTTCCAACCGCCACACTTGTACTCTTGACATATGTCCAGCGGTCAGCCAAAGGACGTGCTTGACCTTTCCATATGGGCTTTTGAAGGCCAGGAGCCTTTTCGTGGAAGAGGCCTCTGAGAAGAATGGCTCGTCAAGCCCACCAGGGAGATGATTGAATGTTCCTTCGTGAGGCCCCTCAGGTCCAATTGGTCAATGTCTTCACTATTGGGCTGCAGTACCTGATGCAGCGAGAATTCTCTGAATACTATGGAGAAGGCGTGGATACTAGCAGTGTCTTGCCCCAAGGAACACCACAGTTCAGTAAGCGGCGCCAGGCCGGTCGAATTCATCGGCTCGAAGCATCACCACAGTATCATCCACCGCCTGTGTGACCTTAATACTGAGAGACCACTCCATTATCTGGATTTTATCGAACCATGAAAGATATGGTCGATTCCGAAAACCCGTAGAGCGGGAGCTGCGTCGGCCCTAACGGATGACATGTCCAGCCAAGCCCGGGCATCTTGGTCGTAATCTTGCCACCACTAAAGTCAACAACCACAAGTAACAACAACGACATCGGCATTCCTCCCGGTGACTTAACGAATACAAAAAGTAACCACTGGCTTTTAGCATTGCACGGCAACTTCGAAGAGGCTGGTGGATTCTTCGGTTGCATGGAGCGGATTGGCAGCGATTACCATGTCATACTTGTCACTGCCAATTCAGTAGCAACGACAGTGGCCGTGACCAATCACCTTGAAAACCAGGTTGCGGTGCTGGAGCTGAGAGCCGCCCACCGGGTCTGGTTGAGCAATTCTGGAGTCGCGCCGCTCAAGCAATAAGAAGCATACTTGTCATCAAGAGCCCAGCATTCGCTGGGTGACCACACCGGTGCCAGCACCAAGCCCAGGACCTCCATGGGGATGCTTGTGTGGCCAATACGCTTGACAATACAACAGATGTCTCTGTTCAGTGCAGACAGGATTCCATCAGTATGAGATAGAAGGCTCGAGGATGCCAGCCCCATCTCCTGGTGGCATGTCAAGAGGGTTCCACTTCTCCCTGCAGGATCGCTGGCAAGGCCTACCGAGTGAATGGATTGACTGAAGATCCACGATCCCCTGCAGACTTGTCGACCATTGCAGGATGTTTCCTCAGACATTTGGGACTGATTTGGCTGAACAATAGAGTAGCACAGAGCCCTTGCCATCAACAGCAATGCGGGCTAATCTCACGGTACAAGAGCTGGTGGTGAGGTATAAACCTTGCAGATTCGAGGATCAATCTCATCCAGTGTTTTTCGAAAATAGTATGGGCGATCATATCTTTTCCGCATCTCGCCAGCACCTCCCTCCTCCTCTGGCTGTGATAGAAGATACCAACGAATACCCAAAAGGGTCGCCTCCCACACCACGTGTGCGAACATGTTACGGTCACTTGAAGTGTCGGTTTGAGGGGCACTCTTCATGACCAAGCCCCTCGATTTGCACCATAGTGTTTCCATCTGATTGTAATAACGACACGTCGCCTTCTATTTCACCCTTGTCTACTGCAGTCACAAATGCGTCGATTTCGCATGAAAAATTCTTCAAAGCAAGGTTAGGATTAACAAGAGCTCGACGAATTTCTTTTGCGTGAAACGAAGTCCACATTCCCTTGCTGAACGGCGAGGCAAAGGCACACATCATAGCCTGGAATGATGCCTCTAGTATTAGCCGGGTGAAGTAGGGATCCGGAGATAATAATCGGCAGCCCAAGATGCAGAAGCAGTGGCTTGGTCCAGGGAGCGCCTGATCGAGGTTATGCTTCGAAAGGGTCCGGAATAGCTAATGCCAGCTTGTTCAAAATGAGTGGTACAGGATCAGCGACATCTACAGAAGTAGAAGGCGGTGCCGCTTTTCCCTTTGGGGTAACTGGTCATCACCATCACGGAGAGCTTCGCCAAGATAAAAGTGTTAGGGCGTGCAGTGCATAACTTGGTTAAAGTTGATCCGTCACTATGGCACGCATGGCAGGAAGCTTCGGCATCGAGTCTGGCATCCGACATTTTCGGAATTTTTGTCATGGAATCGTACTGTCGTGATGTATTCTATCCCATGACTATGTTCTTCCAAGATTAATGGCTCTATGACAACGAAATTATTGGATCTCGAGTAACGCAAGGCGGATTGGCTTGCAGCCGCAGAGCCAAGCAGCCGCTACCAGAGAAGAAAAAGTAAAAGGCAGCTGTAGCCAAACCTTGGCCTTCGTGCTTGTGTCCTGGGCCCAAATTCTCCCTCTCCGCGCAGAATATTCCTCCAACACATCCCGTTTGTTAATTCGCTGGTAGATCGCCGGCCCAATAGGGGTAATTGCGTACCACCAAGACGGTATCTTCGGGACACGCGAGAGACTCTCCCAGTATCTCTTCCTATGGTCCCAGGAGTATGCTGGTAATCCTTTGTCAGTTGCAAGGGTTGCTTTCCAAAAGCTTGGAGAAACTGCCCAAGGTCCAAACGTTCAGACATCAGTTCCCAGAGGGCAACCGGACGGTCGAGGCAGCCTTGAGATCATTTTGCCCTCTGTGAAGTAACGAGGTATAAAGAACACCTGAACTCACTTTGGGCTTCAACGTATCCAAGACTGGACCACGGAGAGCCGGATGAGGTCCGATCTCGGATACACGCACCGAGCTTTTTGGCCGTCACCACCGACCTCTCCATGCCTGAGAGAAGAGGACAGGTTTGACCATGTTATCGACCCAGTAAATATCGGCGAACCCTTTTGGATATCTTTTTTCAGTATTGCACTGTTCCCTCGTCACGCTTGAAATCCATACGTGCAGCCGCTCCTGGGTGTTCCGTAATTGATGTTGCATGCCTTCAAGGATTCTAGATATGCTGCACTACAGGGCACCATATGGGTGAGTGGTACGCCACATCAACCTGTAAATACCCTTTGCGAATATTTTCTTACGGTCTAGAAGTGCCTTGGTTTCGAGGATTGTATCGTAATCGCCCGATAACGTCGTGCTGGCGGGCCCATTGCTTGCTGCCACCACGATTTTCCCAGAAAAAAGATGGTTGAGAACACACCACTAAGCGTCGGGGAATGCAAGACCAACGGGCTGGGGCATGCCACCTGATTGAACCGGCTTAGTGTGCAACCCACGGTAATAGGCTATCTTCATGGCATCCTCTGCCGAAATGATATCAAGCGCATAGGCGGCCACTATTTCGCCGGATGAGTGGCCAACAACCGCATCGAGACCGATTCCACACGCACAAAGAAGATCGTAGACGGCTATTTCAATTGCCGTTGTTATCGGCTGACTTTACTGCTGGGATTAGAGAGGCGTGACGGGGTTTGTCTGCCAGAAGCTCTACCTGAAGGGACCACGAGGGGCCGTCACGAAGGTTTGTAGGAGCACGCTACACCGCTCGATAGACTTGCGGAAGATCGGAGACACACGTAGATGTCGTGCCCCATTTGAGCCCATTGTGCGCCTTGTCCTGTGAAAATGCCCATGATCCATTGGTTCGGGTGCATACCTCCGGAAAAAGGGATATGTTCGCTCCCTGTTGGGGCCTTTGCATTCCCAACAACCTTGTCTAAATCCCCGACAAGCTCCTCTCTGCTTAATGCAGGATGGGAGACCCTGGAAGGCAAGGCGGTTCTTTGGGCGAGGGTCCAGGCCCAATCACCCAGGTCCAATGCTTCGTTGTTTTCTGGACATAATGGGCCATTTGCTCGATGGAGCATAGGGAATCCTGAGTGTGTGCTGAGAATACGAATGGCCCGGCATGACGTCTTCTTATGCATCGACCTTTGCAGTAACCGACTTGTTTTGCGATTGGTGGAAACGTGGCTTCCTCAATGATGGCATGAGCGTTGGTCCCTCCAAAACCGAAGGAATTCACGCTCGCCCTCAACGGACAGCCAGGGGCAACGGATGGCTAACGGCATAGTGCTTGTTGGAACACTGAGATGGTCAGAATGGAGCGATATTTGATTGAGATTGTCAAAGATGTTTGGCGTGATGGTCCTATTCTTGATGCACAGAATAGCTTTCATCACGCCCGCGAGACCCGCACAACCCTCCAGGTGGCCGATTAGGGTCTTGATACTCCCACATACAGTTTGTCCTCTGGGCTAAACACGACGCTCTTTGGGTAGAATGTCTGCTGGATTGCCTGTGCCTCTACGGGATCTCCAGCCTGTGTTCCAGTCCCATGGCATTCGAAATATTGGCATCGGTCCCGAACCGGATCCCAGCCCACAGCGTTCATAGGTTGGCGGATTAACGTCGCCTTGGGCCTCCGAATACCCAAGGTAATTCCTGGATCGGCCGTCAGAGGCTGACCGCGGTCTGCCGAATGATGCACCCCTACATCGTCGCCATCTTCAGCGCCTGATCCAGGGTCTTGATCACGACGGCAGCGCACCTTCTGCCTCGGGCGTACCCGTCAGCATCCCTATCCCACATGCGACATCTTGATGTTGGAGACAGCATGTGTAGGTTTGGAGGACTGATGTAGGTCTCAGGGTCGAGCAAGAGGCTGACGCCACCTACAATTGTTGCCGTGCAATCGCCGTTGCGGAGGCTTTGACCGCTTGGTGCAATGCCACCAGTGAGCTGAACATGCAGTATTGATAGTCATTGATGGCCCCTCTCAGGTCGAAGAAGTACGAGACACGGTTTGAGAGAATACTCGGCGATGTGCCTGCTGTACGCCATCGGGCTGATTGTGTCCAAATCCTTGAGCTTTGAATGTCATGATAGTCCGAAGTCATTGCGCCAACAAAGACCGATGTGGGACGAGCTGCGCATCTGTTTCACGTATATCCTGCAGCTTCGAGCGCTCTCGTATGTCGTCTCGAGTAAGAGCCGTTGTTGATCCATTGCCTCTGCCTCAGCCGCACTGATGTTGAAGAAGGCAGCACTCGCGATGAACACGGTCGTCCAGTACGTAGGACTTATTCGACATCTGTAGCCATGATGCCCCCATGCTGATGGTGAAAGCCGGAGAGGTTTAATCGTTCGTGTCTAGATCCCCTCCCCGACATCCTTAGGGCTGGATAATAGCTCCCAAAAGCGAGAAGGCGACGCTACATCGTTTGAAAATCGGCAGGCAGTCCCGACAACAGCAATTGGCGTCTTCATGGCAGCGAGATGGACTCTACATCAACAAAATAAAATTTATTTCCAGCAAGGGTATTGAACAATAACGGCGGCCTCAGTAACAGGAATGTCCGAATGACTACAGCAAGATAAGGTGATGTATATACATGTAACCTTCGAGTCCCTATCCCTTATTACGGAATTCAGCCCCATTGAACAGCAAATTGTTACTCCACTGCGCTTGACAAGCCGATCCATTGTGTACTCTGAGTCTACTAACCATAACAGTCTTGGGTGCGTGGCGCCCAACGTCCCTTTGGTAAATTTTTCTTGTTCCCCACCTCATTTCAGCTCAAACAAGCGGTAGCGATTTCCTGTCGCCACAGGAAACTTGTTCTCTATTCAGCTCCTTCGATCGGCGTATCAGACCAATCTCCCACTAGTCTCTTCCAGTCGGGGCATCGGCCATTTCGGGATGCCACATCGTGTAGATGACCAATACCCGGCGGCAGGATAGATCACGCCGATCAGGTCTACTGTTTGGCATGTACGAGAAAACTCTTGGTCTAGAATTATCACATGCTCCTTTGCAATATTGCAATAGATTGCATGCTGCGCGTTGTGTTCTGCCATTCATACGTCTACTTAATTTGTCTCAGTGGGTCAAATGGACCGCCCCACAAATAAAACTATGGTGCACTCAATTGCTCTCGTCCTTGAACCCTTGCAGATAGAATGTGGACCCCAGCCAGCCATCAGTCAGCTAATGCATATCAGATTGGGTCTTCAAGAAACACAGTTACATCTAACTAACTGACCCCTGCGCAAACCTCCAGGTTGCTCCTCGGTTACGCGGACAGACGTGGGCACCGCATGCATCAGGGCTCGTGTATTGCTTGCGTCATGCGGCCGCTATCACAAACGCACAGTGAGGGCGCGATGGCCCCAAGAAGGTGATGAATATCTTACATGACCTGACCAGAACAACCAGGGTAGTATTCTTTGAGCTCCCCTTATCTTTGTTCTCCGAACCCATACCAGAAGCCAGTAACCAGAGTTCTGAAAGATGGAAATCTCCAGGAAAACCAGCAAATACAGCTGCCAAAGCCCTTCCACGTGCTCAATCAAGCCCTGAACCTTCTAACAGGGAACCACGCAAATGGTGGCAGCACGGGCCCCGATGTTTGCCGCCATGATGGCCGGAGCCAACCACGACGTTCACGCACAGTACAAGTTCCTCTGCATCCACCAGCGAGGTCATCATCCCGGCGTTGGGTCCGGTATCCCGAAAAGCCGGCCAGCCCATGCACTGGAAAAGCCATCTGACGCGCTTCGGACCCCCTTTCGAGCTTGAGCTACCACCACGGAATCGTTGTTGCGGTTCGTTTTTGAGCCCCTCGGTGGTCCTTAACGGGAACGCAGGAGGACCCATTCAACACCCAGGCTATCAGGGTTTCCTGTTCTCAAGGACCTAAAGGCCATGGTTCCGCGGCTTGACCGGAGTGGTTTGATCATTTTTACCAACGCACCGGTCATTTCCGACGAGGAGGCTCAACGTCCCCACGATGGAAATCTTCCAATCCCCGTCTTCAAGACTCAGAACAAACTGGCGGCCGATTTGGAACCATCCGGGATATTGGTTCTTGAAAACCTAAGCATCTACCCCTTCGGATGAAGTCGATCGCGACCGGGACGCCGAAAGAAAAGCTCATGTTTACGCAAATCAAGGCGCCGCCGACAAGGAGGGTAAAGTCGCCACGCCACTGGCAACCCGAGGAGTTTATAGCTGAGCGGGCTCCAACCCTCATCGGCCACTTTCTTCGTGTGATTTGTCAACCCATCCGAGTCGCGGATCAAAGTTCACTGTATGGAACGCCAGCTGACCTGGCCTCCATCGAAGGGGATTGGACTTTGAACGGGCGACGGAACGATCCAGAGACACTGGATGGACTGTAGGCGCTCAGGAGCTGTGGGCAGCCATTGCCCGTCACGGAGGGTCTGTCCACCGCCGACTGTTTTACGAGCCTGGTACCTCACCACAGGAGCAGTTTCCCCTCATCATCACATTGTTGTCCCCGAAAAAGTCTTCGCCTTCCCGAGCCACAGATCTATTTCCTGCATTTGGGAGGAACGACAAAGCCATATCGCGGGAGGGACTGGCTACCTTTCTTTGAGCGCAGAGGGTGGGGAGGCTTTGGCTAAAAAGCTATCCATCGGATCTGGCCGCGTACTAGTAAGTCTTTGTATCCGTGAATTAATGAATGAATGATACTGATCTCCATCCGCAGTCCGGATGTGGACCTGGGCACCGCAAATCATCTACAAGCGTGGGATCTCATTCTCCTATAAGGGAAAGAAACCGTACATGAGTGTCTACCTCCATACTTTCGAGGCCTTCAGTGCTGCAGGAGGGAAGCATGTGCCATGAGGGACGTAATTATTAAGAGCAGCTTTACGTGGATCCATTTATGTGGACCCATTAAATGTTATATAATTTTGTTTCGGTTACTCGTAGCTGCGAATTATGTCCTTACTCCCGTATAGAGGCATTAAAAATCCAACGAGATTATGAAAGAGGTAGAAATAAGAAAAACCAAGCAATCTGTTCTTTCTTAAACCATTAAAAATCTTGATTTTGCTCTTGTCGCTAATTTCTATTTCTTTGTCCGTATAAGCACCGGTAGGTCTTGTTGCCACGCCAGTCCATAAAAAGACGACAAGGTCAACTTTCAGCGCTACTTATCGCCAAGGATCTACAAGCTATTTTTGGGAACTTCCAAAACTAATGCAATTATTCGTGTACTTTACTCGCCCAATCTGTAAAACAAAGAGTGCTTCCAAAACCGCAGGACGAAATAAATAGTATGTATTCACTTGCTCTAGATACTGCAATTGTGTGAGACCTTCCTAAACAACAATCAAGGTGCAACCGCTATCGCAGAACCGGGTAAATGCAATCAGGAGGTAGGCAGATACCCAGGGTAAGGACTGGAAGAAGCCATCTGCTCGAGAACCCTCATCCATACCCCCCAAAAGCAAGGTCGAGTAATCCGGACGCCCAAGTAGCGCCCGTCCAGAATGTGCTGTTCCCCCCCCGAGCTCATACAGCTGCCGATAGAACCCTCCGCGGGATTTCCCGCCGAAACGAACATGGTAACAGGGGTGGGCTTGCAAACTTGACGATCTCAGGCTTGTGCGTAGAGCATGTTCCCGGCATGGAGAGACGCCTCGAGCTTCATACATGTATGCCTCGGCCTCTCCGAACTCGGACCCACCGACTAGCTTTTGATGTTGTGGTAGCCAGGAGCCCAGTGGGTATCCAGGCGCCAGATGAATGGTTCCTCGGGGACACCATACGGGCGCTCCGTGTCAACGTTGACCAGGTTCACGTCGTTGGGGAGACCGGTGTCGTTGATGAGCGCGGCCCAGTATTGGTGATACTGCCATTTGAGAAGATGTGACTTTTGTTCGCTTAGCGGGAAGCCGCAGACTGTCTAAGAGGGCGGAATGGCGACCAGAGCTAGCTTGCCCTATACGAGCGTTGTAGTCCCGTCGGCACCGCGCACGGTGACTTCGACGCCATCCTCAGAGCGCTGGAATGGACTCGGGAGTCGTTTCCAAGAGGACGTCGCCGGTGAGCTTTTTGCCGGCGCCTTTGTACAGAGCAGCGATACCTTCGGATGGGACGGACGTAGCCCGTTCAAGGCGGCGGGCGTGGGGACCCCGATATATTGGATGACGTAGAGGGTGATCATGTCCAAGACATCGCCGGAAGTGGAGAGAAGATGGCATACACGGCATCCTCGAGATGGTAATTTCTTTACGAAGTCCGCGAAAGGACTGATGAGATCCTTCTGGCACCGGTTCTGGGATTCGATAGACACCGTCGTCCAGGAAGCCAAACTGAGATGGCATCGACCCATTTCGCGAATGCTTCCCCTGTCCTGGAGCTGGCCTGCCGGGTATTCTGTCCTTTGCCCCGTGTTGAGGTTTAGGTAACTCCTCGTGCGCGGGGAGTTAGGCCGGCGCCCATATGGGCACTTGAAGCCGCTCGAGATAGTTGCGAGTCACGGTCGTTGAAGAATCCTTCCACACCAAAGTTAAGAGGCGTATTGTTCAGTGTAGGGTTTCGCCGTGACCGCCCAGATAGTTGCGTTAGTTCTTCAACAACGGCGACGGTTTTGCCTTGGATCCCTTGAGACGAATCGCGGTATATGTCCCCGAGCTGCCACCGCCAAGAATGATTACATCGCGGGAGATGGTGTCAGTGGGCGACAATCGCATTTGCCAGACTGAGACAGACGACGCTGGAAAGACCAAGGAAGCTCGCAATTTTGGCTGCCATCTTGAGATTGGGAGAAAAAGTTGAACAGGCTGTGAATACAGCCCAATGCGCAAACACTGCCGGTTTAAAAAGCAACAGACGACCAATCAACGCCCGCCATCTTGAGTTTGAAGCTTAACCCGAAATTGTTCCGCCGACTTTGACTTTTGCTTGATTGAGATCCCCGGCCCGCAAGGCTTTGGCGTCTTGGGAACCCAGGGGAGCAGCGCCGGTCTCCACGGCTAGTCACTAGCTCTTCGGATCACATTTGCAGAAAGAGCCTTTGCCACTGGAGTTTCACCGTGAGCATCTTACGCCAATGCTTTGAGACCGCATGCCGTAGCGCATTGCCCGTCTTCATCATCCATATTGAAAACTACTTCGAGCTGAAAATGGAGTGCGTTGATCAATGTTCAGTGGATGGAGATACTGTACATGGAGATTCCCACTTTCTGGTTGCAGTATCGTATTTGGATTATGTAAAAAAATACAGTTCTAGATTCTACGATAATATACGACGTGCATATAGCTAGCGGCTGGCTAGAGTTTATGGCCAGATGACCTGCGTGTCGATAGGATCATGCAACGCAACGCCGGCCAAGGTGCTTGAGATATGCTTACATTCACGCTCCTTCAGTCAGTCTTCCAGTCTCTTCCATCGTGCCGTTTTCATTAGTTCAGCAGGGCTTCTGCAGTTTATTAGCTTGCATATCGGACCTGATCATACGATGCATACATACGTCGTGATTGAACCTGAGCTACTCCGTAGCTGAAATGCAAGGATATGGATCGTTGCCTGGTGAGGTCGGTCGGATTCAGCCGGCCACGTACATCACATTGCATCTGGGCATACATGGATTCCGGCCTGATAATTTTGATGGTCGCCCCTCTCATGTAATCAACAGTGTTACATTGCGTATGAGGGCCCACGAGCTGTGAGGTTCGTGACGGTCTGCTCATGTTGACCTGAGCCAGCCCTCGTCCATGCTAGCAGTCTGCAGTTCGAACTATCAGAATCGGGGTGTGGTGGTAGATGCCCTTCAATCCACTTGCCTTGCAAAAAGATACTATGTCTCCCCTTTCAACGTTTTGCACTGGGATATACCCACCAGATATAAGTTAAGATTAAGAAGTAGAGAACTGCGAAAATCAATAATTAAGAAAGAAAGGCCATGCTTGAGGATTCCATTTCAGGGGCCCTTTGTAGATTGGGAAGTAATCTTAAGAACAGCTATGATATTCTGATACAGGAGACACCGGAGACACAACGCAGAGGCGATGCTATTTTACTAGTGATGAAAAGACTGGCTAAACAAACGGTAAGACCGTCTTGACCATCAACCTTTCTCCCCGACTTCAGCGTGTCACTGAAGTAAATTGATCTTCAACGGCTTCGTACTCCAGACATTGAAGACTAACGCCTTTTCCCACTTTTCCGATCCCAGGAGCGAGTTCCCAATCAAACTCCCAGATCAGCCGAGTTTGAAACAGACGCATCTCCAATCGGGCGAGAGGCGAGCAATGCAGCTCGAGGACTGTAGCTGAACGCCTGATAATGGCGGCGATCGTCGAGTATAATGTGGGATCCCCGAGCCATCGTTCAGGGATGAAACTGTGTGGATCGACAAAGTTCCGGCTGCAGCGATTGATGCAGAAGTGCGCGATGCCGACTTGTGTGCCACCAGGGATCCAAATGTCCGTCGATGATAAAATCGCCACCCCGAGGGGACACGGCGCGGAAAGACCGCGGGACTGGAGGGAAGATCCGGCGCTGCCTCGTCTGCATCGCGTTCAGATACTTCAGCTGATCTCACGCTGATCGAGTTGATGTTCCAACGCTGTTGAAGGTGCTTCGAATTTCGCTGATCACTTTGCGCTTGGCGTTTACGTTCTGTGTCAGGGAAGCATAGTGTTGCACTGAGAGCCGTGGCCGTTTTTCCTGCCGGCGATGATGAGGGTGGAGCAATTCCTGCCAATCTCGCACGCTCGAGCCCATTCTGTGGATCGAACAGACTGGCCGTCAGGTCCCTGCAGTGGATCTTCGGTCCATTCGACGCTGCCCTTTGTCAGCGGGTGTACTGGGTGGGTTACGAATTTGTCGCGCAGGGACTTGGACGAACCACATCAGATGTGGAATATCCATGATAGTACCTCACGGCGTCATGGCGCGGAGTTTCATCACCTCGAGAATCATTTCCACCCAGGGTGGTGGTAGTGCGAGTTCTCGAGGGGTAACCGTAGGTCTCGCTGAATGTAAGTTTCCCGATCAGGGTCAAATGTCGCGGGTACTAGGGCAATTCACTGGTCAGCTGCGGGCTTTTTTGTTCAGTGAGTTTCGAGACTTACGTTAAACCAAGCCGTCATTTCAGGTGTCTTACCTGCCGCTACCTCCACTTGCAGTCTCTACCAATAGATTGATGTTTCGTTGAATCACTGGCTCCTGCTCTCTCAGCGCAGCATCCGAGAAGCCCTTGGCGAGCAGACGGCGGTAAAAGCGATGAAGGTCACCGTCTACCGTCACGATTGAATGAGGCGCAGTCGGGCCCTTGTAGAGGGGTCCTTGTCCATCCTCGCTTCCTGGCGCGCGCCGTAAAATGTCATCCCATGCACGACTGGGAGTGAAGAGCACCTCGTCTGGAGCAATCCGCAACACTGGTCCGTATGTTTCGTGTGTGCCTGCGTGAAAGGGCTGGAAACGATGTCTCCTGGTGCATAGGTACGAGTGCCACAGACGTGTCACTGCCGCCAGTTTCGGTCCGGGATACTTTGCGAGCGGATGGAGCGTGAGCCGGTAGATGCCGACGAGCATGCAGTACCGGGCAGACTGCTAGCTTGAATTATGCCTTTTATCGGAATTCGACACACTGGCCACCACCGTAACCCCCATCAACAAGACCGCTGTCAGCGGCCCCTGCTGAGTGATAGACCGTCCGCACGCCGCCCGTAGATTGTGGTGTAATTATCTTTGGTAATTGTTTTGCTTTTTGTAGTTCTAGGCTAATGGGTGACGTAAATCCATAATCAAAGGAATTTGGAGAATAAGAGAGCGCCTTTAAGGGTGCCGCATTCCGCTTCACCAATTTTGCATGTGAAGTAGCCAAAACGCAGGAATGCACGAATAAAATGCAGGTACGGATCGATGCCCTGGCCTGGCTGGCCGCCGCACATGCAGCAAAACGTCCCCGCTTACACCATAACTTCATCTTTGAAGTCCTCCTATCATCCCATTTATCTACCTTTCGTTCCGGCGGTATCACCGCGAGCGCTGAGTCCACCCTCACAGCGTTCTTCAGAGCACCGACCAATCGCCGCCCCGCAACCGTCACCGAACTCAGTTCTCGGCCATCACAAAATCTGCCCCCTGGTTTTACGCGGAGATGTGGAGGAGGCAAGTGATGCCGGCTACTACCATTCCTTTACTGTATTTTCTAGACACAGACCGACTTTCTCCGCCTGAACAGGGACCAAGTGTCGATCTCAGTCGCCACATACCCCTCAAACTCGTCATCAGTTCAAAAACCTGTTACATCAGCAAATACAGTGTGGAAGTGAGATCGATGAAATCTGCAAAGATGGATATGACATGTTTGAATTATATGGTTCGTACAGCAAACCCCGGAGAACGAAAAATCTCACTGGATCAGCTTTAGTAGGTGGCAGAGTCGGGGATGATGTTTGAGAGTGGCAGCGATCACGAGATATCTGAGGCGAAAGATATCATACTTCAACAGCTCGTGCTTCACTCACACCACCGACGCGAGGGAAGAAAAGTCGTACCGTCCGAATCCTGACAAAAGACTCATGGATTGGACCCCGAACTTTCAAGGGCAAGCAGTGGGTTTGTCTTGCCAGCGGAAAAATGGGCCTAGAAACTATGGTTTTTACCCAGCCCAGTGCACCACCTCCGTGAGTCTCGATCGAAAAGGTTTACATGAAGCATCGGCGGACTTCAATTGGGTCACGGAAGCCTCCTGCAGTCCATCCTGAAGCCAATTGTTGATGTGTTGGAAAAGCATCTGGCAGTGGTTTTGTGCGTGTAGAGACTTCTGCTAAAAGCAGAGGCTGAGATATACATGGAGGGTCGCCTTTGGCACCCTCGCGCATTTTACGGAGAAAGTATACCACATACGAGGATGTGGTGATCGAAGAGGGAGTTTCCCGGCGGACATATGGCATTCTTTGACATGCTGGTCACTAGTAAACAAATGCGCCGGGTCAGGACCACGATCGAACCAACACCTAGCAGGGTTATGACGCTTTGCCCCTCGCTATCATGCTGCTCGGGCCAACACCGGGCTAAGCGGATGGCAGGAAGACCTGAGCGACTTCATGATTTTCCGGCACGGTCCTTGATTCGCGTGTGGAAACGGTGAATTTGAGCTATCCTGCACGAGCATGGCGTTCCGCAAAAATCTCCGGCATCGATGTCTCCGCTGGATGACCTGATCCCCTCAGCGGCCATCCAGGATCACTACGAGAAGCCACTTGATAGGGCCGGATGGACGAATTCATAATGGCAAGTTCCCCAATTTCCTGAACATACGTTTTCATCCATAGCTTGGTCACCACCGACAACCAGCGCATGACTGATTTAACTCCATGGCCTTTGTTTCAGGCATTTCAAATCTGGACCCCGTTCACTTGACTGCGTGTTTGCCCCGCATGTTCATGGTTGCCAGGAGCCGGTGACTGCGATCCATGAGGATCTCAGTGACATACATACATTGAAAATATGAAGAAGCGTAACGGAGAACCGTGTACCATCACCCCAATCATATTTCCACGCTGGAGGAGTTTGGCGTTCCTAAGGGTTGGAAGCAGGTTCTCATGAAACACTTTCCCTTACATGACAACCCGAACATTGGGGAGGTGGTGTATGGATTTGCGATTCGTTTTGAGAGAGAGCCTAAAAACGACGAAATTACATCGTTAATTTCATTGCTATAAGTATTATCTCTGTTATTAGTAGTAGTGATAGTAGTAGTATAGGTATTGTAGGGGTTACGCGCTTGTAAGGGTGATTGATCAAACGCGCGCGTATAAGACGCCTATCTCCCTCAGTTGCCAATAATTACAGCTTTCCTAAGATTGTTCTCAAATGAGTCGCCGTTCCGCCTAACAGGCCCAAGGGCGCCTTAGCTTCGTGGAGTATCTTGTTGCCTCGTTGACTGGAAGTCCCGTTGTCTAGTTGAAGCTACTGTTGACTCGACTTCGCGAACCACTTTTGTTATCTCGTTGAGACGTCATCTAAAACAAGGCTACCTGTCCTTGACTCCGTCAGACCGTCTCAGCTGTCCTGGTCACAGCACGAACCACAATTTGTTTCTCACTTTGTACCAACAAAAATT